AATCCATGTATGGAAGACTAATGAAAATTCTAGAGGAGAACTAACCAACCCACTTCGTCTTTCTCACTACAAATGCATGTACATAATACGTCATATCATGCTATCTACAAATACACATGCATTAACTAAAATTTGCTATCACCGCAATGCAATTTAAGCATTCGTTTATATACGCCATCATAAAAAATTAGGTTGATGTAGGTATGTATGTTTTATAATATTTTAAATATTCTATGTAGCAGTACAATTTCTTACTATTAGTGAATCAAAATCCATACGCATATTTGAGAAATTCCCAGAACCTACAAATGTTATGGGGATTCGTTACGCAAGATCGTGACCTGGTCGTAAGCAGGCTGCTTAAAACCAGTTTCCAAAAATTATCAATAGCTTCATAAGTCTTCAAATCTGATTAGGTCTTCAAACGATGATAAATTTATAGCAGATCCTGATGAAGTATTTACATCACCATGGCAGTAGAGTATAAATATCATGGCTGATGATAATCATAGTTTTTGATTGTATACGTATAGATATTCCAGCGAAACCAATTGAAGCAAGTATTACGTAGGTATTGAGAGTTCTCGATAACCTTATCAACTCTTCTTCCGCTTGACTATCACGCCTGATAAAATACCATTCTTGACACGAAGGTTTCCAATCCAATTTTGTAACTCATTCTATCAATGATTTACATATTCTCCAAGTGTTAGGAATCATGGGAAAAATCGTCATATTCCTTGTGACGCTGCAAGTAATAATATTCTCCACATCCACCTACCTCCCCGTAGAAGGAGATGTCTTTGTCATGCAAAATATTGGAGATGGTGGTGGCGTAAGAATTTTTACTTACTTACATCCGATTTAAAGACTTGGGTACTTATAATTATTTGTTTGCCATATTATGTGCAAAGATTGTTCGACCCAACGGTTACGGCAAGGTGTGCGAACGTCTCGCAGATATTGACTCAATTTGGAGACTGACACCCCCATATGCCGATCGGTACAAGTGGATAGCTACAATTAACAATTTTAGTAAGAGCAGGAAAACATATACATCCAATGCATGATTTAAAAGTCAATCATAAATACATATTTCCGCAGTACTTTTTTTTTAATTTCTTTAAAAAAATTAGCCTCTATATTTACGGTTTTTTGTCTTAAATTACCACCAGGCTCCATAAAACAAATAAGTATGTATAGGTTCCCATTCTTCCCTTATTCTTACTCCCAGTGGCAGAAGTAGTTATCAATGTGGAATTTTAATATCATTGATAACAACTATGTAATATGTAATTGTCCCACAATCATACATGTTTTCCTTTTTTTCCAGCCGGTCAAGAATTAATGACCCTCCACTCCATCGTTCCCGAAGAGGGACATCTCGTCAACAAAATCACGTATGATGACTATCCTCCCTTTTGTTTCTTGATGGAGAGAGAACTCTCCGTCCTTCCAGATAGCGGGTATTACATAATCAACCATCCAAGAACAAATAAATGTTTGACATCATACGGGTCAGAGGTCGGCACGTTGTTTTGGCTCGACTGCGGTAACGTGGGGCAACATTGGGCCTTTATTAAGACGGATTAAAAAAGTAAATTAATTACAATTGTGGTAAAAATATATAAATATAATATATCAGTCAAAAAATTACGAGATATGAAATTGGAATTTTATCTGGTAATTCGTCATACATATAATTTAGCGTTCATATCTTTCCATACAAATTGCGCGTTAGTATGACCGGATAAATTTTACGGATTGTTGATGTAGTTGACACTTTCAGGTGCATAGAATTTAAACCGAAAAATGAATACGGATAGGATAGCAACATAAGTATTTGTATTTGTATATATTTAGATACATTCTGAGTAAGTATAAGTTATGAGGGTTCGGAAAACCCCGGTGTTTTCTAGAAAACCCTTGAGAATTTTCATGCGTGACTTCAACTTTCAAATCAAAAGATGGTTTTTAATTTATATATAAGCATAGGAAAATCGTGTAAATAAGATAATAGCCTTTAAAGAGTCAAGTGGCCCATGCAAATACTCAGTTGGGAAGGAAAGGCAAAAGGAAAGGCTGCCGTTCCTTTCGTTGACAGACTGATTACGGTCTCGAAGGGGATCGTGCGCCTATCACGAGGACGGGACGGGAGAGTGTAATAAAGACCACGTTGACCGGAGGCATACCTATGTGTTTACTGTTTAGTAATGTGACAAGACGCACGTGATGGAGGAAGCGTGCGAGACATCCATTAAACTAGACGGAATATATTATTTCGTAACATATATATAGAGGACCGCGGGAGACGGGCTTATTCACTAGTTTTTGTATAATTCAAGTATTAAACATTCTAAGAATTAGATACCCAATAAATCTCAGAACCCTCAAACCTTGATTTGACACCAAATTTCCCATAATTCAAAAATTGCACGTACCAGTACATGCAACACGAAAATCAGGATCATAACGCAAATATCAAGTGTTTACATGTGTGGTAGTTTTCCCCATGTACCTTTGCATTGGATAACTTGCATACGACAGTATAAAGTAACACCCGAGAAAGCAGTGGAGAAAGTGAGGAGTCGGGTTGGTTCGTTTCTTCTCTCTCTAAATTCGAAACACCATCCATTCTGCTAAACACATGTAGGGAAACTTTCTTCAACAAGTCATCTTGTACACAAACAACTCGCACACAGCACCATCAACCCCAGAAATATCCACATTTATAAACACCATCGCAGTTGATATTTGTAAAACCTCATTTTACAATAATATTACAATTGTGTATCATTAACATCCTTTTAAATTTATCTGCTGCAAAAGTACAAATCTTCCTCTCATTTGAGTTTTTATTCAATCTTCACAATTATAATTAACTATCTATAATTAAAGAACTAAAAAGCCAATCCGATGGAAGCCATTTTCCTAGCAGCAGTCATGTCCAACAACACGGAACAAGAACCCAAACCATTAACAAAAACGTTACGAATCGCATTAATTGTATCCATGATCGTGTCACTGATCCTCCTCATTTCCGTTGCAATGATGTTCAATAACATGTTCAAATCTGCGTCCACATTAGTGCCAGAAATAAAGTTGGGCGAGGATTCAGATACGTGGGAAACAAAGTATTGGTACAATTATGACGCCAGTTTACCACCAGGTAGAAAAAATAAGGACACGACCCACATCGAAATTTCGTTGTCCCGTGTAACTCTGATTTTCGGGAGGTGTGACGAACCTCAACTTTCTCCTCGTGCAGGAATGGACAGATGAAAGATTGACCGTCAAGGATGGAAGTAAAGGTACAGTGTTTTTTTCCTTGTAAATGTTTCCAAAGTTGCTGATAAATTCTTTGTAAGGAAATTTCATAACTTTTATATTTATTTCTACTTAAATTGACATATTGTTGAATTTTTTTATATTCATATCTTCTCGACTTACAACTTTTTCCTGAAATCCTCTGTATAGCAGGTTTATATTAAAGTTTTAAGTTACCAAAGCTTTTGCTAGGCTGAGGATTAGCTTTTTCATATCTTAATATCTTCAAGAACTCGAGAGAGTTCATAATTGGGTATCTTTAAATTTTAACAAACTTTGCCCTTCCTGAAACCTATTATGTTTAAACATTTTTAAAATTTTTAGGACAAAAAAATTTGAAAGATTTTTCATAAATTCTTAATATCTCCTAGAACCAGAAAGTCCCGTCATGAATTTTAATTTGATCAAAAGAACTGATCAAAATCGAGAGATGACCATTTGGAGACCAAACCTCGCAACGGATCCTATGGGAGCGAAGGTCCATAGCGGTAAGAAGGATGAAACGTGGATTTGGAAAGATGGCAAGGTATGTCTTGTTCTATTTAGATTAATTTACCTTAATATTTGTACAATGTGAGCAAAAAAAGTGTGCGCTGGTAATACTGTTACAAAATTTATCACAAACTTGCCAGCTTAAACAAATTTTTGTATATGTAGGGACCGCGAATTTAAATAAAAAGTGCGAGAAATCATTCCATGCGTGTGATTGATGAAAAAGTAAATATTTTCACCAATAATTAAAAAATATATATAAAAATGGACTCCAAGTATAAAACGTATATGGACTTTTTAAAACTTTACCAAAGTGCAATACCCCAGCAAATCGTATAAAACATGTGAATACGAAATCAAGCCAATCTGGAAGATTATTAATAGTGACACAGACAAGATTGAGGCAGAGTTTCAAAAACTCAGAGAAATAGAAGTAACAAGAAAATCCAAGCTGCTGTCATTTTTTGTAATAAAAAAATAAATCTTCTTACTCAAGGCCAAAAAATAAATATTTATTTATTTTGTTTAATCCAAATCAGAACAGTGTCCCTACATTACCTGAAACGGCTGCTGCGACGGAAAATTCTACCGATAAAACTCCGGTAATACGTTCAACTATTAACGAATATCCTATGTTGAATTAATTTAAGTAATCAAATAAACAAATGCAGGAAATTATCACCACCGACGCCGGAGCACCTACAAATTCGAGGAAACCTCCACGGACCCCTGCTCAGGATGAATTACAAAAGAAAATTGACGAAAATAAGGCCAAGCTCACCTTTCTAATCCTCAAGAAAGATAATGGAACAGCATCCGACGAAGAGCTGAAGGAGTTGAAAACGGCGAAAGCTAACGTGAAAACTTTTGAAAACGATTTAGGTGTTTTAATTCAAGGACGCCAGCGTCAGCAAAGGAAACGGGAAAACGATAAGAAAATTATTGACGAACTACTAGAGAATAATTCGGAAGCCAAATCAAAATTGAAACGACGCGAAAAAGAAGGCAGGCCAAGATTGGAGGACGACCAGCCCGGCTTACTTAAGGCGATCGTGGATATTGCAACATTTGGAAGTGGCGCCGAGGAGCGACGTCGCTCGGATTGCATCCGAACAGTGAAAACTTTGGATGACCTGACCACAGAATTAAATAAGCAGGGATTTGAGGTAGCATAAATTTGTTTAATTGTTTAATTATACAGCCGATTAACATATTTAATGTAAACTCTCATAATAGCTAAAGCGGAGCGGCGTATATTTACGGCTGCTTCCACTCAAGGTCCCATCAAGGGGGAAGACACGTATCAACGGTTCCAGTCCGTCTCGTCCGAGCCACAAATGATATTCACAAACAACATAACGACACGAAATTTTGCAAAGCTTCCATAATGTATCTTGAAGAATTAGCAGCTGCTCTTGGTCCTAAGCAAGTATTATTTCTCAGCCAGGATGATAAAGTGAGTAGTAAATACGATATTTGTCCTTTGATAATAAAAATGTATATAGAAAATATTTAATATTTAAATATTTGGAATTCTCAGGCTAGAGTTCCTATAGGGAAGACCGCCGCTAACAAACAAACGCCGCTTTTAATGCATTTGGACTACCGAATACGACTACCAGATCATGATTGGGTCGTAGCAGACAAACATAAATTAATTCCATCTGTCTATGCAGTAATTAATATAACGGAGAATAGAATTGGCGACCCAAAAGCAGTAACCTACAGCGGGCCAACTTTCATTAGGATTAGAAGCGGAAAACACAGTGGCAGCACGGCCTATTCTCACGCCAAAGATTTCCAAGAGATTATTAAATGTGACGATCTAGCGGAATACTGTAGGGACGATGCGGGCTACTGCAAACCTATAGTTATGATTGTTGTCGATGGTGGACCAGATGAAAATCCAAGGCAAGATGCCAGCAATTTTTATTAATACTTTATTACATCATTCGACGTCGTTTATGATTTTTATTGGTTATCCCAGGTACGAAAAGGTGATTAATACGGCAATCTCAAATTTTATCGAGTATAAGCTTGATGCAATCTTCATTGCCACAAACGCTCCAGGGCGCAGTGCGTTTAATAGAGTCGAACGACGGATGGCACCGCTTAGTAGGGATCTTGCAGGCTTAGTACTCCCGCATGACCATTTCGGAAGTCACCTTGATGATCATGGCAAAACCGTGGACCCTGAGTTGGAGAAAGAAAATTTTGCACATGCAGGTCAGGTGTTAGCTGAGATTTGGTCCGACAAGATCATTGATGGCTATCCAACGCTTGCAAAGTATGTGGATCCTGCGGATAGTGAAGTTGAAGAGGGTATGCTGTTGAAAGGTAGTCCGGGTTGGAGAATTCGGCATGTGAGAGAAAGCCATTACATGGTTCAGGTTAGAGAAATGTACCAAAATATCCGGTACGAATGGTTTTATTGAATGTTTATTCGTTACAGATAGTGAAATGTTCAAACGCTGACTGTTGTTCATCACCACGAAGCAATTACTTCAAAATAATGAAACAGTTTGTCCCTGCGCCGCTCTCCATTTCTCAAAAGAAGGGACTGGACATCATCCCAGATGACAAAGAAAGCTTCCCATCCTTGTTCTTTCGCCTAGCTATTAACGACAATGGGTTAAAACTAGGTTCAAACCAAGAAGTTCCCTTTGATTATTGCTGCCCATCCGTCAGGGACATCATATCTCAGCGCACCTGCGCGAAATGTGGAATTTATCATGGTTCGATCAAGAGTCTGAAGCTGCATGAAAAGGAATGCAAAATGGATCAACCAGCATTAGTTAAAATTGGACTTTCTGCAGCATGTAAGCCGACTAATATTCGCCCAGTTCGGGTGGCCGCTCGACGCCAGAAAGAGAAAATGATTATTTGGAAATCGCGATTAAACGATGAGCACGTTGATTGGTTTGATGACGAAGATATCTCCACTGAAGAAATTCCCGGTCCTCCCTGTGATACAATTGAAAACGAAACCCAGGATTCAATTCCAATTATTGACATAAATACACTTATGTCAAACCCATGGACCGAGGATGACAACTGATTTTTGAAAGTGACTAGTATTAGTGAATAATACGCTTGAGCATTATACAATATAACGCTTTAATAGTTCTTAAATAATAGCTTTTATTTTATGTAGTTTCCGTTCGGATTAAAGTTTAATAAACTGGTGACATGGAAGAACTGTGACTTGATTAGAAAAAATAGTTCACATATACATATCTATTTCATCGGTGGCATCTGAATATTTTGTACGTTATAAATACTGGACGAATAGAAATTTGCGTTACGTGACATGGGGGGGGGTGGGCTAAGGCATTCTTGTTACACAAGCGTGACAAGGGGGAGGGTGGGGGTTAAAAAATTCCAAAATTTGCGTTATGAAGTTTATGAACGTCCCCATACCCAGTTGATGAAATTAAGACCAACTTTAAAACTAATACAACTCAATTTTTCTAAATATCAAGTGTTATTTTCACCAAGTATGTAAGAATAAATATTTCTAAGTCTTCATTTTTTTAACTATGCTGCCAAACAGATAATCCGTCTTCCAGGAAATTCTTTGGTACATTAGATAATTAACTCAAGAACCCGGCAACGTAAGGCCTTCTTGGACTTTCATTTATTTCTGACGTGATTATTTATACATTATTTATACATACATAGATTTCTTAAGAAATATGTACGAAGTAAACCCCCATATAAGTATACTAAGCACGATTTCGTCCACCACGTTATTTCAAAACCGGTCTTAGATGCATTTAAGTCAGGGTTGCAAGTGGTATATATCACCTGGTGAGATTTAGTGAGATTTAATGATTTATATCAATCATCTCAGTTGGGGCTGAGTGAGAAATATGAGAAATAATGAGCTAAACTTGTAGTCCATGACCGCGTCCGCTAGGTGGCGCTAGTGCATGGCTCACAAATCTCACTATATCTCATATTTCTCATGTCTCACTATTTCTCACTATTTCTCAGTGAGATGAGATTTGTGGAGGTGAGATGAGATTTCTGCAACCCTGATTTAAGTATTTATGGCAAAATTTTGTCTTTTTTATATTTCACATAAGATTAAGAATGGCCATGCCCCTTAGCGGCTACACAATCCTACGATACCGAAAATTTTTGAAAAACCCCAATATTTTGTCAGAAATAAACGAAGACTGGTTGGTTAGTAGAAAGTTTTAGAAATCTCACGCGTTTCTAGACCGTCGCATTACAAACCAATTTAGCAAAACCATACCCAGGTTATTATTACCCATTGAAACAAAATTTGCGTTTGCAGAGACGCATGTATTCTGAGAATCGGAGAAAGTACAACTTTCCCCGAGTTAGTTCTCGTGGTTCAGTCTGCTGATCTTTAGTTGAACCAGTCCACCAGTTTAGTCATGTAACCTTCTTACCAGTCTTTCTTAACATCTAAATAAAAGTCCTATCCTTCCTTCCCAAATAAGTCATTGTCTCACTGTTTCACTTATTACATACTCGCCTTCATACGTAGTCGCTCAGATACCATCACTGACAACATATACATATATAAATATGTTAAAATTATTTACATATACCACTAGTTTTCTCTTCCTAGTGAAAATTCTGAAAGCCAAACACACCATTCAAGCCTGTAAGAAGGTATACATAAAAACCAACGGTCCATTTTTGAGAATCCTTTCGTCCATATATTTTTCCCCCATTGTTTCTAAATACTTAGAATAAAACCTTAACCTTTTCATCGGCTACCTTCTACATAAATAAATAAATGTGTTGAACCTTACACATATCCCACATTCACAAATTGGTTCTACCAAAAATAAAAGTTTGCCTAAGGCCGACATATATTCATCGTAAATTCAAAACAATTTCCATTCTTCACATCACTGTCCAATCAAGTTCAATCAGTTAGTCTCCCCACAAAATAAAATAAATCCGCTCTATTTCCAAAAATGTCGACATATTCCACCCCAACTAATAACACGTTCTGGACAAAACAACGGGTCTTCCTAGGTGTTGTAACATTGTGCTGGATACTTGCAATTATTGCTTTGGCGATGGCTCATTCCGCCCTAAATAAAAGAATCCAGGCATTGCCAGAAATTACATTTGACGTCGACTCCGGTACCTTCGAGACGACAAATTGGTCGCGATATGAGGCCAATTTGCCACCACGGAGGAAAAATAATGATTCGACCTCTGTCAAAATTTCGTTGTCCCGGCTAACTCCGATTTTAACGATGGGTGACGAACTTCACCTCAATTTACTCCTCGTGCAGGAATGGACGGATGAAAGATTGATCATCAACAGTGAGAAGAAAGGTAGGTTTTCCTTAAATTTTCAATTTCATTGAATAATTTGTTTTAACTAATTAAGCAATGAATTAAATTTATATCCATAATTATTATATTTTTCGTTTCGTTACATACATATGTGTAATTACACAATATGAGAATACAGCACATTGCGTGTGGTGACTTGGTGATAAATTTGTAATCTCTGGCAGTAAATTTGATACCACTGCATTTACATATATGTATTTGTTGCTTCTCGGCTGTACACAGCTCGTACAAGCTGGTATCAAATTTAATACAATGTAAAAGAGATAGCACAAACCTCAATAGTCACCGCTTAGTAACAATTTTTTGCCCTATAATTTTTTAGTGAAATTTTAGCACAGTTTCTAAAATCATTTCATGCAATGATTTTAGAAACTCTTTTAGAAATTTTAGAAAATACGTGTATTTTCTGGAAATATATATTTAAAAGACCTTCTATTCCTTCTATTGTATTTCGAAAATTGTTAAAATCTCTTTTAAATATTTCCCAAAACTTTAATTTCCCTTATATTTTTCTCTCAGTACAAGAAAATCTCGTCACAAATATTAATTTAATCAAGAATCGGCAAGATAAATTTGAAATTTGGAAACCATCCCTAGCCACCGATCCCATGAGCAGTGGAGCCTGCAGCAGTTTCAAAGATGAAACTTGGCTCTGGGGAAATGGAACGGTAATCAAAATAAATTTTCTTTTTGTTATCTAAACTTTGAGAGCATGTTGTGCCCTTAGCGGCGGAAGCTGGGGGGACCTAAGCATTGTGAGATAGGAGAGGGGATGGGTTCATAACATTGATAGATTAGGAAGACATTACAAACCTGGGGAGACAAGACAACATCTCCTTGTCCCCACGCTCCGTCCATAAAAATTTAATCAAGATATCTCAATGAATAATAAATTAATCCATCCATGTATATTATCAATATCAATAAATCATAAATCAATCAATAACTAACTTATCTCAATTTCCTAATGTTAAACGTACGAATAAATAGTTTAATCGCTGTATATGTAATTTGAAATGACATTTTTAGCTCTCATCTGTATGTTAAACTGAATCATTTTCAGAAATATATGCATCAACCTGTCGTAAAATTGATCGTAATTATTATGCCCCAGTTACTATGTACATAGCACCAATTGTTATAGGATTATTGGTCAATTTCCAGTTTCAGTCATGCACTTAGGACGTAGACATAAATATTAGATGCGCCTGCATAGTAGTCTCATATTTGTACATACATATGTATGTATGTATCAAATATGAAAATCAATACATAGCAAAAGATATAAAATAAAGTAAATCAAACAATATTTCCTTGTAATAATTATACAAATTTGGATGATTCAAAATTCCAATTGATCTTTTATTTCAACCTGAATGTAAGCAGAATTTATTACTGAACAATAAATACATACATATATATTCGAATTGGGTATAACGCACATCCACAGGGAAGCTACATGTATGATTTCCAGATTATTCGCATAGTGAAGTGTTCGAAGGCTATAATACAAACCCAATACAGTTTTTAACTCAACAATAAATATATATTTTTATTTCATACAAAATTTGACTCGCAATAATTATTTTCTCTGCAACTATAAATTATAAAAGTCAACAACCATTTATACTTTAGGTTAAGTCAAGTAATAAAATTGTATACAGCGTATGAAATAAATTATGAACATAATTCAACGTAATGATTCATAAGTGGCATATAAAAAATATGGCGTAATATAAACATATTTAGTCATAATTTTTAAATTAAAAGGCAGTGAAATGTTACATTTTTTCTAAGGCAGTGATTGTTGTTAGATAAGAGGAATAAATTAATGATAAAGCTTCGCACAGTGACGTAGATAATTGAAAAAAGGATCTGTTTCTTATAAATATATAAACAATTACGTAACCTATTGTTAATCGTGTTCAGCGTGATGGACCTTTTTTAGTCCCTCCTCCCAAATGACCAGAAGGTTGGAAATTGCAAAATTCGCAAAAGCCAGGAGGACCATTTGGCCCGGGACTCCCTTTAATTTTAATTAATTATTATAATAAATTGTTTAGTTTAAAAAAGCGTTTATCATGAAAATAACTCTCCTCACATACCTCTGCTGCCGGGGATTCCTCTCATGCCTTGGTCACCCCTTTCTCCAGTACGACCTTGAGAAATTTATTGGGGGTTTGTTTATAATATTAGGGCATTCATAGAAATAAAATTAATATTACCTTGCGCTCCGTGAGCTCCTGGTTCACCTCGTGGGCCTGGCAAAAATTCGGAAAGATTATAATAGATTTTCATTAAATTTATGTAGTTAGTCAAAATTCTGAGTGGTTTGTGAACTGGCGTGTCACCAGACAGACGGACATAACGGTTTCATGAACCATGGTTCTAACTAATCTGTTCTACGAGGGGTTATAATATAATACAGACTATTGCAGTAAATACAAAGATTTATTAATGGGATTTTTTAATAAGTTATTCCCAGAATGTATCACACCAATAATTTGGTGTGGAATAAAGCATCAAATGAAATTTGGTCCAAATTTCCTTTGATACTTTATTTTTAACTTCTATTATAAGCTTGCATGCACATAAATAGTTGTACCAAATTTTGAACAATAATGATAATAGTTTAATTTACCAGGAAGACCAACACCGGGTGGACCTTCAATTCCGACACCTTCTGGGCCTCGCTCTCCTTATAAATTAATTAGAATAAAATTAATACAAATTTTATATTAACGACAGAGTATTTTACTGACTGAGTGTGGAATTTTCTATTTGACCTGTGGCAAAAATTGAGATATTTATATTTTACACAAAATTGCGCTCAGTTTCTAGGGATAGGGATTTTCCCTAGCTGAGCTCATGATATTCGTTTATGGGATAGAATTGATCAAGCAAATTATTGCATGTCAATTGAGGGTAAAAAATGTGCCTTTAAATCTCATTCGAAATAATTCACGTCAGATTATTAGATTGACAAAGTTCGAAACTTCTTTTATGGAAATTCACATATGCAAAAGCGACATGATTTGACCGTAAGCCGTCAATTTTGCATATGTACATCCTGCGAAGCTGCCTAGTCAGTATGGAGCCTGTGCATGTATGTAAAACATTGATTACAAATCACTCAGGCTATGAGATGTCGAACCCATCAACACGAATGGCAATTTTGAGACAATTTTATGCTACAAATAGTGACATCCACCCTCAGTGCATAATATTATTATACCTTGATCTCCTCTTTCTCCCTTTTGTCCCTCAGGTCCCCGAACTAATTTTAAGTTAACGGCTTAAATTTGAGCTTATTTTCTTATTAAAGGGGTGAATTTTACCTCCAGGAACTAAATAAAAACTAGAATTTAGCCACGATAATGCAACTTTTCTCTTGATGAATACATACCCCCAGGAAGTCCCATGAATCCGCGTTCTCCTTGTAATCCTTGGCGTCCAGGATCACCTACACATACATATAATTTGGTCACATAAATTATTTCATTTCTGTGAAATAGAGCTTGCAAAAGTTGAGATTAATTGCATTGTGAAAGCAAAGCATTTTGCACACATATATGCAGTACACATACATATATACTTATTAATGCTATTGTTATATGAGTTATACAGGTCACTCTTGTAGACTTTCGGTGTCAAATTTTTCTACCTTGAATTCCTTGTTTTCCCGGACGGCCTATTCTTCCTATTATAACCGCAAATGCAATATAATTTAAAGAATCAAAATATTTCCGCTGGTGAACCCTTTGCCTCCCAAAACATTGGTAATTTTTATATTCCTCAGTACCATGCAAACGACAGCCAAACCTCCCGCACACTTGGAAATAACAATTGAAATTGTAACACGATAACGGAAAGTTTTGTATGCGTTGCGTTTGTACATTATTATCTATGTATAGGCATAATTTGATACATAATTACAGTTTTTAATTATATTTTTTTCTACATAATTCACAACAATATTTGTAGTTTGTGCAGGTTCATGCATGCGTAATTTGGCAAGCATTTTATGCAACCTTTCACTATGGGCGTAGTGCGTCACAATTAATTACACAAGTATATGTTTGCAGCTACCGAGCCAATGTCATGAATTTGGGAGGCAACGGATAAATTAGGTAAAGCATAATAAAATACCCTGCTTGCCAATTCCCGGGACGCCAGGAGGACCTCTTAACCCACCGACTAGTTCTTCCATGCGATCTACTCAACAACAGACAAGACAGACACATGCAATAACAGAAGCAATAATATTATACATAAATGTAGACAGTGCATTACAATATAACATAAACCACAAGTACATTTACCAAATGAATGATGCATTTACGGTACAAATACCAACATATTATTTTTATCTACATTTATACGCTGTACATATTTTATACACTAGTACAATATACAGACAATGACTTTTTTGCTAAAGCACATTCAGGCGGTAGCTCATTATATGGGCTAATTTATTGGCTTGACCTTGCTGTCCTTGGGCTCCTACGGGACCGTTTCTACCTGGTTTCCCTGATAACAAAAACAATGTTGAAATCTTTAGGTTTGAAAACGCAAAAACATTGTTTGGTTGGCATTATACACATGTTTATAAGTATGAAATATTACCTCTCCCAGGCAAACCAGGGGGTCCAACCAATTTAGCAGTAAGTTCTGCTAGTTGATCTAGAATAATTTCTCATACAATTGGCAAACATCTTGTTTTTGATTGTTGAAATCAGTGTCAGACAGGTGTACATAGTTTTGTGCACTAAATTATAACATACGCGAGCATACATCAAACGATTACCGCAGGACCTACCTCTCAAAACTGATGCACAAATATCCCTTAATTCAGCTTCAGAGAAACTTCTTCCCTAAAAATCAAATGTTAAAAAGTCAAATATTGGCACCCTACTACCGATAACGCTACCCAGAATCACCATGCATTCAAACGGACAATGAAATTCCGTCCATTGATTTTCAACCTGGATTTTAAAGAGGTCAAAACCTTTAAGAAACAATGTTTCGAGGGAACGTTTGAGTGAAAATCGACAAATGCTTGCCATTTATCTTAAAAATTCACTCCATCTAAACATTGTAGACAAAAATCCTTGATTTTGAGCAGTACAAGGGGACATTATAGTTTAATGAAGACTATTCATACATATAATATGTAATAGAAGCGATAGTAAATGTGAGATTTTCATGGCAATATGCACGGTTACAGTTCATTTAAATGCACAATGATCCTGTGTACTTGGCTTGATATACATATATGCATGTGATAAATTATTACTGGAGCGCCTTGTAATCCCGGTTGTCCGCTAAATTTTGAGGTAAATAAGCCTTGTCGGAATAATTGTTTATGTTTATTTAAAACGTGTTAATTTTATTAAACCTTGGTCCTCTCTGTCCTGGGCTTCCTGTTGGGCCAACTGAGCCGGGTACTCCATTTAATCCAGGTTGACCCTTCCAAATTAGACTAGATTAGTTTACTCCAAATATATATGCAATTTTCTGAATAGACATGTTTTGGATCTAGATATGTACAAAGGATGCACCTTTATTGATGTAAAACATTTAAGTAGATTTTAGATTTAAGTAGTTTGCAGATTCATGGACTAAAGAGAAAAATGTAAATGTTAATGTTTTGAAAATCTTCAGAAAGTCTTTAGAAAGTTTTGAAAGTCAGAATTTCTGACTCAGAAATGTTGATTAAATAAGTAACTGCCCAGAATTAACTATTGCATACTATAGAAATGGACCAGAGATTAAGAGGTCTGGTGTCTGGTCTTTGTGAGGAAAACCACTTAAGATGAACATAAATGTGTCCTGCAATTGAAATATCCGATCAAAGTATTTTAGTACAATTCAGCATGAATATCATACCGTAGATCCCATTGGACCTCTTTCACCATGTGCTCCTCTTTCACCCGGCTGTATAAATCAGTTAAATTAATCTTTAATTCTTCGTATCATTAATACTAATAGAATATATACCATGCCCGGAGCACCAGCAGGTCCGGCAGGTCCCCTAATTCAGCATGAAAAACGTTAAATATTATTAAACATTAACGTAACATTTAAAACACATTAACATTTCATTTAAGCAGGATGGAAACAAGCTTGCCTTTCTCCTGGCATCCCACCACCATTACCGCCTGACGCAGGCGCGGGGTCGCCGGGAGGTCCAACCTTGTTTTATAGTTGGAATTAATTTGGGCTTTTTACAATTAAGTAGTTAAACTTACCGGTCCTTGAACTCCAGGGAGGCCATTCTTACCATCCAAACCAGGGATTCCTACGATAAAGTGCTTAATTTATATACTTTTGCATATGCTAAACCTCTATTCTATACCATATAATAAAATCATTTGGACACCAGCTAAAGGTCGGGATCATAATACAATAATTCCTGCTTTGTTTGTGAGCCGAATTGACATTCACAAAAAAAACTACCTTGTCAAAAAGTGAATTAAGCATTTGTAGATTCCTCTATAAATCTAATGTGCATAAGTTCAAATAAAAAAGGCAGATAGGCAATTCTTAGAGCTATGTACTTGTACCCAGAAAGAGATGACTTCTTAGGACTTGATTTATAAAATATGCAAACCTGATGTCCATACAATTTACACAAATATATGTAGTTTAATATTCAGAAAATACTCTTACCAGGGGGTCCCATCATGCCACTTGGTCCTTGTGCGCCCTAGTATCATTATTAGCATACTGTTACGATTTTACCACGATTCAATACTGATAATTTAGAATATACAGAGACTTGTTAATCCTGGATTAACGATTGAAGCTGTAGACAACGATAAATACTTCATGTTTATAGTTAATCTGTTAACTACTTAGGATTAGTAATCCCTAATCATACAGTAGCTAATTTCATTCCTCGTTAAGTTAAATTTGAAAGTGCGAAAAACATGGTTTAAACTGGGTCAATGTATGTACAAATTGCATAAATTCCTATAAGTTACCATTTTGGCTTTTTAAAATTACTATTGAAGCAAATTTTCTCAATACAAAATATCAAAACTTCAACGATATAAAACTGAAAATCAGATTTCTATCAGATCAGTAAGGTGTCTAAAAACATGGTTTTTGCACACGAGATACAAAATAATCTCCAAACCAATTCCCCTTCCCCTCAAGTTCTTGTCCTGAATGCATGCCTGGGTGAACTAAAAAAAACTGTTACCATCATTCCCTGGTGACCAGGAGGTCCAACGGCTCCAGGAAATCCAGTGTCGCCTCTATCACCTAGTGTAAGATTTTTATTGCTTGAATAGACCATCACAGAGACAATTGTAAATTTCGAGCAATCAGAAATTTGGATTGTTAACTTTATGTTATGATAACATAGTATTTAATCATCCACCAGTTGTTACACACCTTTCTGACCCTGTTTACCGACGAATCCAGGGACGCCAGCTTTGCCATTGGCCCCCTGTAATGGACCAAGAGACAAAGCAGATATAACTACATAACCAAACTTCAAATATGTTCACAAACGTTCAATCAGTTTCATACCTGCGGTCCTTCAGCTCCACGCGGACCTATATGAAATAACTATGTGATCAGTCGCGTCATCCTTGGGAGGCCATCTAATTTTGCGCTCATAGGATCAATGACGTGTGAAATCAAGGCAAACAAACCTGTATCTCCCTTCTCTCCTCGGGGTCCCTGGAATTGGAACCCAGTAAATAAGTATTATTTCTAATCTCCAAGACTATGTGCTAGTTTATTTGGAACAATTCAAGAAAGGATTCAAGCTTGCACTGACTTTGTACAGAACTATAACTATTACCCTTGAAAATTAAGGATAAATTTTAAGGATCTTATCCATAAAACATCAGCGCACAATTTTAATTAAGGTGTTAAAAGAAATAATTATGGAACAGCAAGCGATCAATAATGAGTAACGCATATACATATCAATTTGTTCAGGTCGGCAAGCGGAATAAGTAAGAATGTGTAAACCATTTTACAGAATCGCATCACTCCTTTGAAAGTTACCGAGGTTGGACGTTTCAAATTTTAAACAAATGAAAAAAAAGTCACTACATATTCAATCACTATTCTAATGCATTTATTTATTATTAAATAAAGCGTAAAAATGTTTAAAGACTCGTCCACTCTCGGACGTTAAATACCTTTTCTCCTTCCGGTCCCACTTTTCCCTCTAAGCCTGGTGGACCTGGGGGACCATGCTCCCCTCTCTGTCCCACGCCACCAGAATCACCTGTTAATAGCCAAGATAATACTTGAATATAAATTTGTATCAAAAATGCATCAGTTATACACGTTTGCTTCACCTAATAAAACATTTTGACTGAAAAATGTCATGAAATTCCCTGATTTTCTCGAAAACATTAAATAAACTCGATTTTTATAAATATGTATGTACATATCCATCATTTATATGCTATTCAACCATAAAGCGACTTTATATTGCCCAAAAGTATTTAATTATTATGATGATTTGTTCATAAATCAATAACTGGTGAGTTGTATGTAAATGGGCATGGGAGATCTTTTAAATAATAAAGTTAAAAAAAAGCTAACCTTTCTCTCCACGTAAGCCATCCTCTCCGGGGGGACCAGCAGGGCCTAAAAATGCCAATTTGAGTTATTAGCTAGTAGCAATAGTAAGTGAACTTTCTGTTCTTCCATCTGTTCACATTACAACTTTTGAGTGACACATTTTGACGTTTTGTTTTCTGATATAATTAACAGCAGACTTGTGACATTTAAGTAATGTCGAGGTCATTAGTGGACCCGGTAGGTTATAATCTTCAAGGTCAACACTTTGTGTATATACATAAGCATGCGGTAGCGTTTGGTAAACGCTACAAAATTGGACATGAATCTGTGACCTCCTCGGGGTGCAAACCCATTGCCAAAAACTTTCATTGCGTATAAATGTGACACCTGACAATTTGCATATGTATGATATGGGTTGTTGTTTTAAATTTTTGATTCTGACCTCCAATACCATAACATACAATATGCTTAATTTTTTGACCGATATTATAAATTCGATACCCAAAAACAAAACACCAAAATATTGTATCGTTTAGGAATACATCTGAAAATTCTGACAAAATACAGATAGAACTATATAGTACGAATGTTTAGTAAAGTATTTAATAACCTGGTGGCCCAGGAGCACCGGCAGATCCCCTAAAAATTTATTTGCAATTAAAATGAATAATTATTCATTAACTTGAAAAGTTATAATACCTCGCAGCAGCGACTCCTGGGGGACCAATTTCGCCGTCGCGTCCCCTTTCGCCTTATAAATATAAATGTAGGTGAGTGCATTGTAATTAAAACCATAATTTCAACCAACAATTTGATTTAACGAAATTTTTATATAAATTCATGTAACATAATGGTCGAACCCGTGCATAGTAAAAGTTGTATAAGCTTTCACAATATTTTGAACTCTCCAGAACTAAATGTGCCTCGTTACTGAACTTCCATCGTGACATTTTGAAAATGTAATACAAGGTTTTAAATGAATAGTTGAATCGATTGTACTGATATCAAGAATGCAATAATATTTGGTTGCAATGTGCATGCAAGATAGGAACTGTGCAAACGGACATGTTTATAACCAATAAGCCGTAGCCTTACCTTGTGATGTAATATTAATTCGAATTAGATGGCTTAATAAGGTACAATAAATAAAATGAGCCACTAACCTTTAAGTCCAGAAGGCCCCTAAAATTTACGAAAGATATATTATTATTAAATTGAATGTGTTTTGAGTTTAAGAATTATATTTGTTTAGTAGTATTTTATGTTATGCCTGAATTCCTGGTGGACCAATTGCGCCCTGAAAGTTAACAATTAACGAGTCATACATTTTTTAACAGTGAAAAGTTACGTAGCTACTATGGTTACTGACTGGTAATCCAATTAAGCCGGGGGCACCTCTTAATCCAGTTTGTCCAAATTGACCCGTTTCACCCTTTTGACCTGAAAGTTTCAACATTTAATTTACTTTGATTTGGTTTGGTTTGTTGTGACTGCTACAATACTCCCTTAAACAATGTCGAAAAATCTAGGTAAAAAACAGGCAAAAATCTGCTCTATGCAAAATTTGAACATCTAGCATCGACCACCTAATGACTAAATACATGTGCTTTGAGCTATCTTAGCTAATAAGTAATTAAGCATGAATGAAAACTTTGTTTCGGTTTGGTTTTTCTGTGCAAAACGAAGTCGGAATACAACTCCTTACCTGAAAGACCTTGCAAACCCTCCCTTCCGGGTTCACCCCTTGCGCCATCGATTCCTATGAAAGGTAGCATAATCATTAACTTTTCAGTTCATCGTAGAATGGTATGCATCGTTTCATCCATGCGAAACTCTCTAAATTATGAAGCCATGACACTTGGAGTTACTAGATTTGAATTCTTAATTTGGTGAGAAAATCAGAGTAAAATCAAACCCAAACCCACAGAATTTACACTAATTAAAAGTATGTGTCAATTACTTTAGTAATAATTGATACTCTAATAATTGTTGTTCCAGATTTAAATATGTATAGTGAATGAAGATTTAATTTTTGGAGACCTCGTTTCCCCGAATCGCATTGCTAATAATAATAGTAACAGTGACAGTATCATTTTACCTGGAATTCCAGCAGCCCCCTTTTCGCCTAGAAAGATGTAATAATGAGATAAAATATATGATTGATTATCTGTCGATAGAGCCAATTTCTCCGCTTAGAATAGTCTTTGTACATATGTATGTATCTCAAGCAGGTCATATTGTTTTTGTTGCATTGTTGTCTCAAGTATTATTTTTTCCGAGAGTAAATACATATTGAGAGTATTCATTTCATTATTGCTTCGTATTTCAGGCTTACTGTTCAGCCGATATTAATAGTCTCAATTCCTTGGAAATTTTTCTGAGAGGTTATTTGGCTTTTTGAAAATAATATCAATTATCTGCCAGGAAACCTCTCAGATTTTTTTCAGACTATTAATATCGGCTGAACAGTAGTATTCTTCGTAGTATTAAAGTAGTAGTAGTATTAAATTAATTTTGAAAATCCACATAAAACTCAGTGCAAAAGATTCCTGCCTGAGATATCAAACCACAAAACCTTTTCAACGGAAACTGACACTCTCTACTTTGATCCATCGGTTTAATACCTTTGACTCCTGGATTTCCTTGTTCACCAATGACTCCTTGGTCTCCTTTTTCACCTCGAGACCTGCATAGATTATAACAGAACTTAGACCAGCTCGAAAGCTTGAGAGCGCAAGACAAATGGATGGGTGAGACTAATGCATAAAACGGTTTAAGCCCGTAATATGACGAAAATGCTATAAGAATGGACGGCTATACCCTTTTTGACCTTGAATTCCATTGTCACCGCTTATACCAGGGGGTCCCGGGGGCCCTAAAGTTAAAGTAAGTATGTAATGAGTGGGGAATGATTTGGTCAATTATATATATGCTCTTTTTGCTTTTATTGGATTATGGAATGCAGCATTACATATGTACAAGTACACATATTTGCAAAAAGTCTGTTTTACCGATTATTGGCCGTCCAGGCCTCGAATCACCAACGAATTGTCCTGGGGCTCCGGGTGGACCCTGGTAGACACATAATACCCATGATATGAATGTTACTTATAAACATAGGATCTTGAATTCCACTGGCGTCAGTCAGACGTAGAAATTTTCAGATTCTAAATTCGTGAGTCTATAAACTATATCACGCTTCTTTTTCCGTATTCGTAATTTTTGGTTGTAGAATCATAAAACCTTACTGACCTGGCCACACCCCAAATTAGTCCTCGCGTAAAGTTAAGTGATAAAAGACAGAAGTATATACATACATACGCCGTAGTACCAATTTCTTCTTCCTACTGTCAGTACGACCTACGTACATATGTATGTAGGTAATCGCTGACAAGGGTGGAATTCAAGATGTACACATAGACGTCTACGTGGAATAATAACAAATTTTAAAATTACGGGATTTCCGGGCACTCCTCTTGGTCCGATAACTCCAGGGTTACCAGATTCTCCCTTAAAACCCCTGAAAGAACCAGATAAGTGGTATGTCTTATTTTTATGATTTCATACATGTAGAATGAACACAAATATACATATGCAGTGTGTCAGATTACTAAACTAAATGAGTATGCTCGGTTTTATTATTCGATTATTTTCAAGTAAGTTTCTATGGCCATTCGGTGATCTCTTACCTTAGACCCGCTAATCCATTCACTCCGGGCGGTCCAATCGGTCCAACTTCCCCTGTAGCGCCATGTCTACCATCACGCCCATCGTTTCCTGGAAGTCCCTACATTTATTTGCACGTGATATGAGACAGTAGAATATTTGTATTAAGCAATATGCTTGCATTTGTAACATGGTAAATTATTTACGGGTAGTCCAGTATCTCCTCGATCACCCTAAGACAAAAGAAACATTATGGTTCATAAACGAACGTTAATTAGTTTAACAAGGCCCCTTCTACATAATACAAGCTTTCAGGATTTATATTTATTTAATACAACTTAAAATGAGAATTTTCACCAAGTACGGAACATATTGCGGGCTAGGCCTGATTGGTAATTCTATACGGAGGGGACCTTTCTTAAATATTTATGAAATTATTTGTATGTACCTTTGGCCCAGAGGGTCCTAATAATCGTGCTATGTCCCCCGGTGGACCTTATAACAAAGTATTAATCAAATTATTGATTTATTACAATTATAAATGCCCACCTTGCAAACCAATTGGTCCTGGCAACCCCGTGCCTCCTGGAACACCTCTTTCGCCCTAATTTAATTTTAAAATAATAACAAATCAGTAAGTTGCATGAATTGATATAAATAACCATTTTTAGAATTGTGACGTTTCTAAAAATAACTCTTGAACGTCGCTAATATGTAATATGTATGACACCAAACAAATATGATGTATATTTAGTACACGTCATAAACAATTTCATGCAAAATTTTAGCTTCCTTAAAACAGTGACTACGTCACGAGAGAAAAAAAACTATCTAGATATTTCAAAGCGTTTTGTAATATTTGTTTTTTAAATGAAATACAGTTTTTGCTTAAGAACTAACTTTTTCTCCTCGGTCGCCAATGTCCCCCCTTTCTCCCTTTGTGCCTGGAAAGCCGTCAGATCCCCTCCCTCCCACGCCTCCAGTTGCTCCCTGCAGCCCAGGAAGTCCTCTGAAAAATTAATAAATTTTTATTTTAGTAAAAAGGTATCAATACCTTAGGTTATCTAACTCTTTAAAATTTAAATTAATTGCACATTTTGTATTAAACGTAGCAAAAGATAATTTGATGGTAAGACATGAATAGTTAAAATAAAATTGAGTACGAAAAAAAAGTATTTTTAAGGTCTTTTTTCAGACGTGCATGGTGTGTCAGCAATTCGATATGTTAATTTTGATATCCCTGAACGTAGATACTTTTTTTACTTTCACTTTATGCAGAAATCAAATTATGCAATTGATAATTTGATTTTTCTACTTTGAGTAAAATTAAGACCTAACTGTTTATAAATAAATATTTGCATACTTATTGATAAAAAAGGTATTCACAAAAATTAAAATTGTGACCAAACAAAAAAATTATATTTCGCTTTTGAAATAGAGAGCATGTACGTATGTAAATATGTACACATACGAGTATATGTAAATGCGTAATACTGTACTACACTATGTAAATTATTAAATCAACTTTGTACCGTAATCCTTGGGGTCCTTGCGGTCCTTGTGAGCCCTGTCATAAATATTTATCGAACCCAATTAAATTAGACCTCTGTTGATTGATATTTGCATTAAATTAAATTAAACTTAATAAATTAATTAAACTTACGGGTATACCAGGTAAGCCTCTCTCGCCCAACTCTCCTCTTGGACCTGGGTAACTATTTTTCGGATATGTAAAAGTAATATTTTTTAATGTAATTTAATTTGTATATCTACATATTCTATTACAAATATGTAATTAAGGCTATATAAGATTCAGTTATAAAAAATACCAGTTTAAAACTGGGATTTTTGCAACCCATGTTTTTGCATTTATTGTCATGACAGTTGTGACTTACGCCAGTAAGGACTATTCAGAAATTCAATAGAGTAGATAAAAAAAATTGTTATGAATTATTTTGCATATAAATAGAAAAATGTCGAATCCTTGATACAGATAATTAATCCAAATTATTAATTCACAAGACTCAGTGGCATCACTAATCCTTAACCCCCAAACCCATCTTATAATCTCATAATCTCCTAGCTCCAGCTCAACCGTACTTTATTTTACTTTTTTTTGTAGGTGAACTCAGTACTATCATGTTGTGATAAATGTGCGGGGTTTGATTGATCGTTTAATTTATAACCTTAATTATGTGGAATAAATTACGTGTGTAATAAATAACTTACCCAGGAGCGCCTTGTGATCCTCTAGTTCCCATAAAGAAAGTTAAGGTTATTACATAACAAAGGCTTGTATATAAAAAGTATGATTTCATATAAAGTGTTAAAGCACCTTTCTCCCCTTGGGCCAGGCAAGCCATCCAGTCCCTGAATTGTCACCAAATTTATTCAAAATCAATATCAAACTGAAAATTGTATAATGCAAAATATTACATCAGTGCCATTCCAACCCGGTGCTCCTTGCGGACAAATTGTTTCACAAGCAGGTTTCTCTGGTTCTTTCTTTTCCTTTAGCTGTTGCATATCACAAATAAGTTATCGGCGTTGAATAAAATGTGTCAAAAATTGTGCAATAAATAGTCGCATATTTACCGGAAGTTCATTGCATGTTTCTCTTTCCGGTCGTGTTGGATCGCAGTTGAGCACCATCCATTGAAGATCAATCTGTTGATAAACAACACTGTAGGTTTTTCAAACATTCGCAAATTCAGTGTTTCTTGATAGTCAACTCAACTCGGTGAATTCATATTATTTACCGGAACTGTGGCACTTGATCCTGCCATTTTAGCAATGGATATTTTCCCATTCACATCCATTCTGCCACGAAGTTCTAAAAGTTGACTTCCGACTTCTTCACAATCTGCGTAGAGTAGGACGCGCTGACGAAATACTCCAAAATGCAACTTGTGCCAATTTTTATCAAAGACCTATAAACAAAACCACACATCAGCATTTAAAAGGGTGTTTTTTAGGCATGGAAATTCTTAGCATCTCAATCTTTAGCGCGATATTACACGCACACACATACAAAGTGTATCTTCGTGAATGCATATGTATCAGTTGAACCTGAATCTTTCTTTCTGGAGAACTTTTTCCAACAAAGTTCCCAAAAAAGCAAAAGAAAATAAGCAAGTAATGGTGTAAACAGGAGTGTTGAACACTACAACAAATTCTGTAAAATATGTACTTGCCTCGACATTCTTGAACGATAGCGTCTGCAACTTTCCTTCGTAGTCCAATATAGAAAATTCAACCATTTCATTCTTTGGATTGAGAGTGATGGCAAATTGAGATCGGTTTTGTGCATTTGTCATGTGCACAAGATGCCAAGGTGATTTTGGTGGCTTCCTTGTTCTCCAAGTCACAATGAAGCTAAACTGTTCTGGTAATCCACCAGGAAATATGTCTCTACATTTATATACAAATACAGTAAATGTATGTGCAAACCTAAATTGTATGCATTTTTACCTTGTATCCATTGTCAAATCTACTTGTCTCTCTAAACGATATGCCGTCTGCAACCTGTCCGACCCTCGAACTCTGGTGACCGCAGTTAGTTGGCCCTCCAAAATGTCCAGTCTTTATGAATATACAATTTTGATTGTAATAACTCCTCTTAATTTAAAGTTGTAACGGAATAATTATTATTTGCAAACCTAAATTTTCGAATAAAATCAAAAGCTTCCAAATCATCTTCTCCTGGTTTGTAGTCTGCACATGGTCCATTTGCATCCACTATTCCATTGTAATCTGTTCCATCATGAAAAACAATAAAAAATAAAATTTGTTCCGATGACAAAGCAGATACATATATAATCAAATATGTATTTCATGTGTACATACTGTTCCAAACATTACGTTTTATACGTAAGGACGTGAAAAAAAGATGACAAAAAAAATTCAGCTTGGATCAAGTTATGTAACCTGTTAAATCTAGATCATAATATTCATGCTTAATCCACCCAAGGGGGAAGATCTCATCTACTTATTACACACAAATTATGTATGTGAATATATATGAACGTACATAAATTTATCAAAATGAGCTGTTTTAAAATCTTGAATTACACTTTGTTGATTTCATATCAACAATCGGAATCAGTAAGAAGCATTTTATCCCGAAGGACTTAATTTATAAATCATCCCTCCTTTGTTACCCATAAATAACAAGTGAAACAAAGTCAGACAAGTTTCTCACCTTCATTCTCGTTGTAAACTAGACGTACACTATCAAATTCATCTAAATCTGAGTCTTCATATCCATATACGTTATCTTCAGTTGTTTCTATACGAAAAGATAAATCAATTTAGTACTCACACTGCCAAATGGGGCGATTGAAACGATTTACAGCCGTCGGTACTTACGAGCGTTGACTTGTCTACATAGGAAGTTGCTAGTAAAGAAAAATACTAATAGTATTGACCAGGTAATTCTCTGTGTACTTCTCCACCTGAAAATCATACGACTATTCTCATCAACATTGAATGGAGTCACATACTTAATTTGCTAAAAGTGTTTTAACACATTAATCTCATCCTGTCGTCAACATTAAGTTAAGGAGTTTAAAATTATGAAAAAAATAATCAAAATAAGACGTCATGTTTAATCGTTGGGTGTTATTTACGAGAAAGTTGCATGTAGCTCTGCCAGGAAAAGTGTATGCAAGTAATAACTAAAATGTAAAAATGCAGCATGAAACGCACCATCGAATCACCACGGGATGAAGAACGATTAACGTCATCCTGGGCGATTCCTCGATAAATAATAATCCCAACTAGACTGTATCATGCACATCACACACACATGCAAATATATATATGGATCATAAATAGCCCGTTTTTGTGTTAAACCGAATATTTGCTAAATTGACCAACATGCACCACAGACAGAGTTTAACGTACTCCACAAATTTCACTTATTGTTTTTTTTCCTTATTTTAGAATACGGAACTAAATAGCACGCTCCCCAGTAGAACTGATGTTGTTGTTGGTAACGTAGAACAAGATTACCACGACGACTATAAAGATTCTTCATTTCATCACCTTATGCTAATCCTCCTATTTATAAAAGTGTCAACGAGTCAAGCACAATGTGCACAAGAGGCGCACGTATAAATACATGTGTCTCAGTTTCCTCATTTCATTTTCTCTCTGACTTGTTTACAGTGGTTTCAGGTTACAAAGCAAAAGTCCTCAAAACAGTCGTCCACCCACATTTTATATGAAATGATGTATCACATAACGTAAGCCCGAGATTAAGTAAATCTGGTTCATTTCATCGCATTTCCTTCTGAATTCCAGTTTCGTTAAGCCTTTGCCCATAGTAATAATATCCAAAAGTTTGTGCCAGTGACTTGCGAGCCAAACCAAGCCAAGAGACAACTAGCAACAGACTTGCAGACGGAAAAGTAGTGGGCAAACAGATGAAAATTGATTCATTCAAACACGTTCTAAATAGTCTCACATGTATCTTTGTTCGTTTTTCACTGACCGGAAAAATTAATGATGCGTGAATAATAAAGTTATAAAGTATGAATATGGAAGAATTTATCAACATGAAAGTTGGGAGTGAGTGAAAAGGCGACAGAGACCATTCATTGGTTGATCAGTAAAATAGCATTGCTGAACTGATGCCTAAATACCCAATATGCATGCATACATACATCTTAAGCAAAAAGACCAATAAGATGAACCATCTTCACCAACTCTTCATCATGGGAGGAAGGAAATATTGAATTAGTGCCTTCCAGGTCAAAACCTCCAACTTCACAAATCCGTTTCAAATTTATTATACCCAACTGTGCAGTGTGCATAATATGTAACTTGATTTTACTTGTACATATGTAGAGTGGAGCTTTTTCATACTAAAACTTTGAATTTTTTTAGGGAAAACATTTTTCAGGATTTAAGAAGCGTGAATGAGACATTATAGAAGGATGAAAAGATATATGCATGTGCGTATATACGTAAATTCGATGCTATTTAGCAGTCTGTACATAATTTTAGTTTGGCCACATGCTGTATAAAAGGTGCATGTTCTATTATTTTTTATCTGCATGCCGACAGGTTCATTAATACGATAAGTGTTGGGTTAGGAGAAATAGTAAATAAATATGTACTCATCATAATAGCTCCCTGGTTGGTAGACAAATTAGATGTCAAATCACACCTCATTATTTCCAACTCCAGTCAACATTGAACGTTGCAATGAGCAAAAAGTATAGGTGAAAGTGAAATGCAGAGAATACTTACCCACAACAATTTAATCAAAGTCGCACTCGTCGCATAAAACTTAAGCCGGATATTAATGACCTGTTCCGTAAACACAGACTGCAATCTGTGGTATTAGCAAATGCACGAATATTTAGACTGCAACTGGCTTTATTTTCAAAATAAACTTTGTGGGTTTGGCAAGGTAAAATGGCGATATTAGATTTTAAGCTGTGTCAAATCAACAACCCGGAAAGATCATTACATAATAGAATTACCAATATCATTAAATGATGACATGTGGATTACCATTAAATGACCTTAAATGACAGCAACTAATCTATGCAAGCGACACTGAAGAATTGAACGATTAAGATAAAAATCTATGTATGTACAAATAATTACAATGAGAGTGCAAACCATGTTCAACTCAAATTTTTTGTGACTCACACAGTTTGATAGACCAACTCTTCACAAACATTTGGTGCATTACTTGGATCAATCCGCAAAATTTATAGACTACAAGTTCGCGAAAACTCTCAGTTGCAGAAACTGTGTTCTTACTTTTACGTCCTCGTTCCAATTTTACCACTTCCACGCGAGGACCTGTTGTCCAAAACGGACAATAAAAGTCTCAATCATACGTATGTATACCCTCCATTTTATGGGGACAAATTTTATTTTATTGGAAACAAAAGATAAGCAGACTTGTATTTGTGTACTTTTAATATGTTCTAATTGGTGGAATTTTGGAAATAAAAACTCTAAACATTTTGCAAGAAAGTCTTCGCGCAGGACTAGAAAATTTGACGAGGTTGTCGCTGAATTTATCGGATTGACCCTCCTCTTCACAAATGATACTTGTGAAGAGTTGATCTATAAATCTGTGTGAGTCACAAAAAGATCGGAGTCGAACATGGTTTGCACTCCCATTGTTAGTCGTATTAAATGGTATGCATATTTACAGCGCTCCCCGAGACAATAAATAGGCCAAGTGTCAAAGAAAGTGTCTAATCCAACAAAAACGGTGGCAGGCACGGAATCTACTCATGTGTCGGAAAAGGTTAACTAACTATAACCACACAGTTTATCTTGCCAGACAGATGAACTTATTGGGATAGGGCGATTTGAATACTTATGTTCAACCAACATGCAAATCAAACATTTACTGACCTATGTATCTACATATATCTGTAGTGATGAACATAAATATAACTAATTAACGTGTTATGATTGCTTGAATACCGTGATAAATAAATTATTTAATACTGACAAACATTTAAGGAAATTCAACGATTGAATATGGCACCTCACACGATAACAAGGAAATACATGTAAATCTTGTCACCGGTCGGTAAAAAGAGATTTATGTGTGTGTATGGTTTCTTGCCCTGTTGATGAAGGTGTAACTAACTCAGGCTCAGAATCTCATCTCATTGTTTTGTTGGTTAGTTCCTTTTCTATTTATCTACACCGCAGCTCTCGAACTTTTCGAGATCTTCTTGAAATCAACTTTGATTCGTCGAAAAAGCCGTGTGACTAAATAAATTTAAAAGTACTCAAGTGATGACAATGGGATTATGGATAGCCCAATTTGGAGACACGTTAAAAAATCAAGCATTCCATTGCATTATTTAATTTTAAAGGTTTCGACTTGGTTCAATGTTGTATTTATTATTGGTTTGTCGTGATATTCCATAGTTGAATCATTAGAAGTAACCACAAACAACCACTGCCAATTTGCAAGCCATACGCACCCCGCACATTCAAATGTTGAATTATGACGTAATGATGAAATTTTTAGTTCACTGATATGATTCAGCAGTAAATGAAGAAAAGCTGAACTGTAAAATGCAAAAAAACGAATCCCTTTTAAGGGTGTGAATGCACTGCAGACCTCCGTTCAGTCTAGAATCGCCATGGGAAATTATCAACTCGAGACAGCAAGCACAATATTAATTTGCACCCGTAGATTAATTTTTCTGGAAAATTTACCTAAAAACTGATATGGACTGACTTTGCAGATTTAAAACGATTGGCTTACCTCAACCTCGTAATATAAATCTCCATCGCTGGAATATCAGCCTTGCTTAAAAGTCTCATTTAATAACTTTAACTCGAACGCAATAAAAAGTCAATCTACTTCATTGTAGCATTTTTAGAATGGTTTTATCAATGAAGATCAAGGTAACACAAATAGTTTACTCGCGACGATAAATAAACTGGCAATTCTATCATGTTTAACACTTTTTCCTTTCTTTTTCACAACTCTGTAGTAATCCCGATGTATTTATTGCACTGAAACCGAGTCACTACTGGTCAGTCTAAAAATGTTGTGGTAGCACTATTTTTGTAACTGAAAGGCATTATGACGTTGAAACTTGAATCAATCCTTTCAAACGAGAACAAATGGACCAAATTTAGGAATTTTGTAAGACGGGAACACGTATAAATGGTTTAAAATGTACACGATCCGTGTCTCATCTTTTTCCTCTGTAAAACTAATATGCACCAGAGACTTGAGATGAGACAAGCTTTGTCAGAAATGGTAGTGGTTGGATTCCGTCTGTTCGGGGAATCATCTCTTGCGAGACTGAAACAGAATTTCAAGATTCAAGAAGTAAACGTGAAGAAAGAGAAAGAGAAGCATGTTTGGTTGGTGGGCTTAGTATGCGATTATTATTTGTGGCGTTCCACTAAAGCTTAAAATGGTTTAACAACTCTCAAGATTTTCATGGCTGGTTAAAATCAACTTTTTATTCAGACACAATTCCAACGATTATTTATAACAGAATATTTTGGGCTTTGGTAGGTTTAATTACATTTGAATGGAATCAATTAAAGTTGCGATTATTTTATTGGGGATAAAACCCTTTCCCCTTCGCCCACGAGGCAAGCAATATGCATTTTAAGACGTTTTAAGAACTTTTTGTGTATGCCTATTTGTTTGTATTTATCAATATGTACATATTACTAAATATGCTCGAGTTTTGAGCATCGGTTCAATCATATAACACGGAACTGCCAAATTTTCTTGGCATTTTTGTTGCATCGATTGCAAATGGAATTAATAAGTAGGCAGCATCATTGGGTGCATCTATGAACATCTCTTATGAGTTGCTCTACACTTTTTAGGGTTACTTTTTCAAGTCGGTTTTATTTACTAGTTTAGCAGCGAATGACACCAGACACCCCCGCACGCATCGTACAACGGTGTCCAGTTAACCCTATAATAATAATGTCCATTCAATGTATGTCCATCTGCACAAAGGAAGGCCGGCATTTCCACCCCGTTAATATTAATTTCCTGAATTTGCCATTACAATGTAGCGAAATGACACGTTTCATATATCAAAACTTTTAAATGTGGGCAATAGCAGTGACAGTATCCTTCTCGTAATATGGTTAGTTGGGCACATATTTTAAGGCGAGGACTTTTTTATTTGCTTGGAAACGTCTTGGTTCATTCGGAATTGACTTATGTATTTGCTCATAGAACTGCATTGCCATACAGACGTATAAAAGCGAGCACTTAACGAGAACTAATTTATATCAGTCTCGAATGGGGTATATCTGTTCCAATGCTTCGACAAGCTGCAGCTATTTATTTTACATAGAATCCCTTTTTAAGCTGGCATTCAAATGACCAAACGAAATCAAAACAATGGCTGAGATACATTTTATGCACATTGGATGCATAGTAAATTGGATAAGACGTATATTAAAATGATCATTATTGGTCCGAGCTGGTAGAGCTGGTCGGCTCCTTCATTCCTAACTATTAAATACAACACGTAATTCAATTTGTCACGGAACTGGATTGCCTGAGTCAAAATGGTTTGAAATGCATAGTAGTACGACGTATAAGAATACGAGTTCTAAGGGCAGGGTCACGTCTCCTAATCTTGACTTAATTTCTCACTTTTCCCAATTTCGTATTCAATTGCAAGCCCGACCCAACTGATTGACGGCGAGACAACATTATTAGGAAAGGTAAAAGACATTCAAACTTCCTAAAACGAACAATGTTTACCCGCTGGGCTTCAGATTTTAGAGCAAGATATCCAATAGGACAAGTGAAGATGTAATATGCTCCATTATGCTTCCAACGTGTGCTAAATGTAGAGATTTTTAGCGATATGAATGAAATAGTTGCCAATTAATATGCATTCAATGCAAGAGCGTAAAATCCGTCGTATCTTGATAATCATAATACTTTCATGAAAGGATCTGCAGTTAATAGTTGGGTTGGAAGAAGACTTATGTATTGGTACTTAATAATGATTAATTTGCGTCTACGTAGAATAAAGGGTATCTCAAATATCGCAGTAATAAGAAAGAGGTTCTTGAGGTGAAAAGTTCAATTGATTTAATCAATTGAAAATTAATCGTTAAACCGCCTGCAACTGATCCCAAATTTCTTAATTTGGATCGGAGGGCATCCTTATCAATAAATGATTTGCATCTCCTTAAAGAATGGAAGTGCATATTTAAGTATGCACACATACTTATGTATAAGGTTTGGTTGTCGATATTGATTTACTGTTTTCACTGAAGATGCATCACAAAAATATGCATGCACGTACATTTCATTTTTGCGTGGTACATTTATTTTGATCTCATTTATATGTAAGTATATGTACATATGCATTCCTACATATGTTTATTTACATATGTACATATATATTGCTTCCGGTAAATTTTCAGTTTATTTGGATTAACCGTTGAAACTGAATATTAACAAACGAATTAAATGTACAATGAATCGTATCTACGCTTGAAATCAGCGTTAAAAAGTCTGGACGATCGTATCACACCGTCAAGAGTGAATTTTACAATATCTCGCACGTAAAAAGTAATAATAACAATATATTAAGCAAAACAAAACTACCAAGGTTGTGCAAATCCGCTATATGGACATATCGTTGAATATCCTCCTTCCAAATGAAGTGGCCAAACAATTCATTACTGATTAGATACTTTTATAACATACGTATCATGTGCACATGCATATGTAGGTATACGCATACTACTGCCCATTTCACTGCTTTACTGGTTCAGGTGTTTGAGAATCCATGCACATTGCGCATTATTAAGTAGATCAGATATCAGTATATAAAAAATCAGTTGAAAAAATTGAATCCAAACTATATAAATCTCATCAAGATAAGCTACACAACGCCGACGACATTCTCACTCATCCAACAAAACGATTATCACGTACAAATATTGATTATCCTTGACTGATTGTATCAATTTGGCATTATCCACTTTGACGGGTCATTTATTCGGTAGTGAATAAGTTGTCAAATAGAAAAAGCTTGACATTCCTCAACATCATCGTCTCTTCGTTAGTGATTTTTGGCATTCGCTATACACACAATTAGCAAAAAAAATCAAGTATCACCAGGATCCAAATTTGTCTCATCCAGTAGGATCTCAAAGAAGGTACATACATATCTAGTAGACATATTCAGGTTATATGCACATACATATTCGTAGTATTTGTCCTGGTGGTTGAAATAAGTGAACGTAATCCGAGATCAAATTTCTATATCTGGTAAGCCAAGTTGTTTCAGACCTAATGTCTGAGACAGACATTTGGCTCATTTCCCACGTTTTAATTTTTGCAATACGACTTTACTATTTTCTGCACTGGAATCATTCTGATGTCAATTTCTGTGTTGTTTAGATATGCTTAAACTTTTCAAAATTTATTATAGTTGAAAGAAGAAACTATACAGAATTCTGAATTCCAAGTCAAAATTCGGCGTCTCTTTTGGAAAATCCTACAAATATAAAAATGCCCATAAAAGGTGAGCTGTGTTAAATATTATTAAGATTATTACAGGCATTTAATATTTGCACTTGTTTTACAACGGACAGCGAAACAGATTGGAATATCAATTGTAGCTGCTGCTGCCGTTGTCACTGTAATTGTCACAGTTGCCGTTGTGACTACAAGAAATTTACAGGATGAGCCTCAAAGTGCAGCTCAAAAAGCGTCTCGGATCTTGGAAAGGATGCCTGTTATTGACGGGTTCGTTTGTAAAATCTAATTTGATCGATATACCAAGCTTCTCAAGTCGACTTGGATTTAAGAAAAAAAAGGAAAACATTGTATAGTATTTTATAACGTATATCCACAAATTTGTATTCGCAGGCATAATGACTTTCCGTGGAACGTCCGGTAATGCGACAAATGAGTTAATTTCACGCAAATTCTAAAACTCAGTTTACATGGCATTTCCTTTAAATCTTACTTTATTGGTTACTTGTTTAAGTAACCATGACCATTTTAGAGGTCATTTATTCTAATTTGAAAATTTCTATTATTTTTTCTGAACGTTGTCATACTTGCTGTTATGACAACACTATACAAATGACCAATAACCAGAATTTTCATGTGAAAAAATGCGCAAGCATTTCACGGAAATTTCATTGAGTTTGAGTGAAAATTACTCGTTGTTTTTACGATTGACGTGAGAACTATTTTGTGAAATTTGTCTTAAATTTTCACGCGGAGGCGATTTCACGTTTTTTCCTGTTTTTTTCATTAAGGAAGCTAGTTCATAATGACTTGAGCAAGGTCAATTTCAATAGTGATTTGACCCAAGATCCGGTGTGGGCAAATCATCCAGAGTCTTATACCGATATTCCACGTTTGCGGAAAGGGATGGTTGGTGGTCAGGTGAGTCGTAATCATAAATTAATTTAAACTACTAAATATTTAATGAGCGTGAAAGGGAGATGAGGCGAAAGAAAATTAATGATTTTATTTCCAGTCAGTGTTAGGAATAAAAATTAGCTTTCTTGAGTAGCTAGAAGCCGTGTAATGAGGTGTATAAACTCTCGAGTGGCATGTTGATCGCCTGTTGCTCCCAAAAATGGAAGACGACTATGTTGCCCTGTAACATTTTAAAAATTTACAACAAACTGTTATGACAGTTTAAGGGTGCGAGCATGTAACCATAAAGAATGAAAAACTCGGTAGAATTGAAAATTAATTCCTTTAAAGTCCACACGTTTAATTGATCTCACACAAATCTGTGTCTCACACCCACGGTTACGTAGGTCATATGAAGATGATACACAGTTACGTATATGCATACATATGTTGTTGGGCTTTATTAAATTCATATGTATGAGCAAGTTTTATTCGTATTTTTGTATCGAAATCGTCTCATTTCACGCTTTCGTGTTATTACTAATAAACTGCCCTTCCTTAAAAGAGCCGATATTTCACGAAATTAGAACACATTAACATTTATTTATTTCTTGATTCAATGACCTGCATTATGATGATGATGAATGATTGGAAAACAGTTCTGGGTGGCGTACACATCTTGCACGAGTAACTACAAGGATTCTGTCGCCCAGACACTGGAACAAATTGATGTAATCATTTATAACTACTACGAGTAATTACTTGTAAAACTGGTCGTGATTAATAACAACTTTTGGCTTAGGTAATTCGACGCTTGGTTTCTGCTTATCCTAACGATCTTTACCTAGCCAAAAGCCCTGCTGGTATGACTGATAAAATGTTGCGCGTACATGTTTACGTATATTCAATGAGCGTTGATTATTTCGTATTTCAGGGATAAAATATTTTACTGCGAAATCAATTTGTGATTTGTTTTTCAGACATTGAAACGGCAATTCAAAATGGAAAAATTGCAAGCCTGATAGCAATTGAAGGAGGTCACAGCATTCAGTCCAGTTTTAGCATTTTGAGATTGATGTACGACATGGGAGCTAGGTGAGGCGTGAACGTACTTAAGACATGTTCAGTGACTAGAACCTCATGTAGAATTTACTATATCCAAAATTGTATGCAATTCTGTCAAATTAGACAATTGTATATTATTGTGGAATAATAATTCCAAGTCAGATGTAATCTGTTTCGTTAATATGTTGAAAAAATTACACAATGCAAACTATTTAGTCGTATGAATCGACATTATGTAGTAACGTACGTTTACCAAATTTTCGGCTGTAGTAACTTTTAAATTTTAAATTTTACCTTGGGGATCAGAATCACGGAGGATGACAGAATTATGCCAAATTTTTAGCATAAACTTGGCTATAAAGTATTACAGATATTTTTCCTTTATCCTGACAGATATATGACCCTAACTCATAGCTGCAACTTGCCATGGTACTTAACTACCTTATGTGGAACTATATATTTTAAATGATAATACATGCATCCAGTGTATTTATAGCTATCAAATATTATATTTTTTACCAATTCTAGGGCGGACGCTTCCCCAGTAGACGGAGGAACTATTCCCCCAGCTAATGACGGTTTATCCGGGTTTGGACTGGTAAGTCCGGAAGAATAATTTCTAATTTTTACTTATTCAGGGTTTGTAATGATATGAAAATTTTCCACAGAAAATTATTGACGAGATGAATCGACTGGGAATGATGGTAGATTTATCAGTGAGTTTGGTTTTTGTTGACTATTTTATTTGCTTACGAAATCCGCTTACGACTTTTCTTACAGTGCTCAATACTGTTTTATTAAAAGCACATCTGTACCTAGTAATAAAACATAACTTTTCTTATCTTATCATCAGCACGTGTCCGTTGCGACAATGAAGGCTGCATTAACCCGTTCAAAAGCTCCTGTTATATTTTCTCATTCTTCTGCAAAGGTTCGAAATCCTATCAGTGATAATAGCAAGATATTACAAATATTTATAAGACAAGATTACACGATCATCTAAATTTTATCCCAATTAATGCAGGCGATATGTGACCATCATCGCAATGTGCCTGACGACGTACTTCGAATGGTGGTATGACAACACGTTTTTTTAAGTGTGCATATTTATGTATTATGTGCTATGATCTATGAAAATGCATAAATATTAATAATTAATCCAATAGAAAGAACATAACGGAATTGTAATGGTAAACTTTTACAAGTCATTTGTTCGGTGTGATGGTCAGAACGCGACAATACAGGACGTAATCGGTAAGTTAAATTACATTTTCATAAAAGTCAAAATAATAGTACGTGTTTTACGTTTTACATATAGAACATATTGAGCACATCAGAGATGTGTCTGGAGTTGATCACATCGGTATCGGAGCAGATTATGATGGTAAGTCGTATAGGGTTTTAGTTCTATGTATTGAAAATTCTGAGCGGTTTAAATATACACTGTTCGTATTTGCATAAAAAATTCAACTGTATTTTTATGCATTATTAGGCGTTGATCGCGTCCCAATCGACCTTCCAGATGTCTCATCTTATCCAGCGCTTTTCGAAGCACTTGTGGCAAGAGGATGGGGGGACGAGGACCTTGAGAAACTCGCTGGCAGAAATCTGCTTCGTGTTTTCAGAGATGTTGAAAGTGTCCGTGATGCCCTGGTCAACCAGCCCATGAATCAAGATGTCATCAAAAGAGCAGATGTTGAGCGTGCCAATATTAACACAAGCTGCATTACTGCTTCATTTATTGACGATGTCAATGTCAATGAGGTGGAGAACAATAGTACATCAATAGAAACTGAAGTTGTACTAGACGGCAACGATGTGGCCAACAGAACCAGACGCCATATTATGAACTATGAGGAAAGTGAGTTATGAGGGACTTTGAGCATCAAATACTCATTTATGTAAATGTCTATAACTATTAACTATTGACCTTCATATAATATTCAGCGACAATGCCTTGTAAGAATAAATCACCTTTTGAATTTCATAAGTTATGGATGTATCAATTACTTATATGCTACTGACATATGCATAGAATTTAGTTTGATATATTTTTCAATTTATTCCCGAAGGTTTAATAATACCGATCCTATCCAAACATTAATAAATTATTATTACATCCACACCAGACTTCACAAACGTTTCATACATCTTTGTATGTCAATTGTTATTTTATTTGTCATAAATCGATCTGGATCTATGAAATATATAGTGGGTCTGTCACAAAGTTTCGATTATTTACAGCTTTACAGCACGCCGACGCCAACCGTCGGCGGTAACAACCGCCCCATATCACTTATCCTCATCGCTAATCCTAAACATCATTATACATACGATACTACACGATTTTCTGGGACATTCAGAAACTGTAAAAAAACATAAGTTGTAGGATTTAATTCATTTAAATGTATTTTATGGAATATAGTTCATTTTCTTTGTATTTTTTTTGGGCGACCCGGCGTGAAGTCGGCGTGAAAGCTACCAGTAGTAGCCTGAGTTTATGTCTGAAGATTAATCATTGTCCTACTTGGTTAATCTACTAAATGTCAATTTGTATAGTATTGCCATATTTCTGGAGTTACGAACCCATAATAGCTGTCTATATAAAAATGATCGATAATCTCCAAAACTCATCATTTTCCAGCCACTTTTACTGCAATAACAATAAGTATGAGATCCACCCTTCTTCTCCGCTGTGCAGTTTTTACTGTGGGGGTTATTCTTTCCACAGTAAGTGCTGCTCCAAGTCCAACCCCCGTCCAAGTACAAGTAGTCCGTCGACACGTTGCCAAAAGATCTGCGAACGACGACGACAACGTCGCGTCCTCCTTCTCCGTTAGAGTTTCTGGTCAAGGTCATAATTACAATCTTGCCCTGGAAGCTCCTTCAGCGTCTGTTTTCTCTAAAAGCTTCAAATACAATGTCGCGAAAGACGATGGCAAAGGAAATGTCATTTTCGTAGACGACACACCCTCGCAAAAACACCTCCGAGAGATTGAGGAAAAGTTTTACATTGATCAAGATTCAGACTCTGCCATGAGCATCAGAAATACCGAAACTGGTTACAAAGTACACGGAATTATGAATAATTTGGCCATCATCCCTTCCAATAATGACCAATACAATGTTTTTACTGTCAAAACTGTTTCACCAGAGTCAAAATCGAACAACAACGATTTTGTTGACCTACACAGGAACTTGACATATCCCAAAATTAGCACACGTGCCACCATTACTGCTGAACCCGAAATTTGGGTCATTTTTGATTATGAAAACTCGCAACAATTTGGTCAAGATCGTACCAAAATCTTGGACTACTTGGGGGTCTTTTTTCACGCAATTAACAACCGATACGCCACTTTCTCCGAGCCCAGCATTGCTTTCAAAATTTCTGGAGTGACCACAATCGCCACTCGCGACGCACAACCTTATCTGGAAAGCAACAAAGTACCCGACAAAACTGGAAGCGATATTGACAAAGTCTTGGACAGCTTTTCTACCTGGGCGTATACCAACCAAGCTTCTGGACCCAAATTCGATATGGCAGCGGTCATCAGCGGAGTGGATCTTCAAAGCAAGGACAGTAGTGGAGTATATTCCAAAAGTGTCGCCGGCTTGGCATATCTTAGTGCTGCCTGTTGGAAAACTACTACCCGTTGGTATGCCACTTCGGTGACTGAAGATTTGGGCGGATATTACGACGGCATGTTTAGCGTTGCCCACGAATTCGCCCATAATTTAGGGTCACCACACGACGGTTCGGGTGATGCAGCCAGTTGTTCCTGGGACGAGGGTTACATTATGAGCTACAAAGGATGGGGAACAACCAACAAATTTTATTTCTCCCCGTGCAGCATTAACCTTATGAAAACCTACATTTCCTCGAACCAGGGGTCATGTGTTAAAAGCATTCAAGCGTCGACCAACATCCCTCTTTCAAAAGATAACGTGGGAGACCGATATGACATGAAGGCGTTATGCGTAAAGTACACCAAGCAATCAAGCGCTGTCCCTGAACCAACCAAAACTCCAGCAGAATTGTGCAAAAATCTGTCATGCAGATATCCAACCCCAAACAAGCCGGAAGGCTATTATTCCATCGTCACATTGAACCACCCTCCAGGTCACAAAGCTTTCATAAGTTTGTAATGAATGAGACTTTTTACAAATATTTAAATTTACAGGTGATAACACCCCTTGTGGTACTAGTGGGGGGAAATGCGTTAATGGAAACTGTGTCACCCCGACAATTGGTTAAGCCTACGATAATCCAATGTGATTACTCAAAATTTCGCTGATTTTAAAATTTGATCATAAAATAAAAAGTAATCTATGATGCAAAAAAATCTACTTTATCATGCATTTACGTGCATGCATTGTTTTCATGAAAATTGAAATATATACCTAACATCAAGGATATTTGTCCATTCAACGGATCTCTCCTCTTCATGAAGAGATAGGAGGAGGATGATGATGATGATGGCTATGTACATAAATATTTGTTGATCTTGTGGGGCATATAGTTATGTAAGTAGTCTTCATATAAAGTTGCATTTATGTTTGTATACTATGCACCATTATTGTAAACCTGCTGCTGGAGTTGGATTTGGTATCTATGTAAAAACTATCTGGACAAAGTTCAAGTTCCAAACAAGCTCAAATTTTCCTCATCTGTTGTATATTCGTTGTGTTTTTAGTATTAAATTACTGTCTCTAAGAATCTTTATTTATTGGCTGATTTAGAGAGCTTTTACATAGAGCACGACGATACAATCCGTAAAAACATAGCATTTATACAGTAAAAATGGCACTCCACTTACTGAAACCGGTGCTCGGGAATAATGGCCGGTCGTTTTGTACCTCCACGCTTAAAATGACAATAAACAATGTCACTGTTATCGGAGGTGGTACAATGGGGGCAGGAATAGCACAGGTAAAAAAACAATCACCCATCACACCTATGTATCTACATAATAATGAAACCATAATAATTTGCCAAAAAACAAAACCATTAGGTCGCCGCAGCATCCGGTAACACTGTCAATTTGGTGGATGTTAGTGACAGTGTTCTGCAAAAGTCGAGAGCAGCAATTGAAAAAAGTTTGGCGAGGGTGGCTAAGAAACAATTTAAGGTAGTGCGCTTTCGGGACAATAAATGTGTACATGTACATAAAAATACCTATGCTAACTTTATATTTGTATAGGACGACCCAACCAAAGGAGAGGCTTACGTCTCTCAAGCTCTATCGAAACTTCAGTACATCACAGATTCGAAGAAAGCTGTTGAAAATGCAGATTTAGTAATCGAAGCCATTATCGAAGACCTTCAACCGAAAATAGAACTGTTTGAAAAGCTGGACAAGGTATGTACAATAAGCAGTGTACATATAAATACATACACATTTATGCATGTAACTAGGTAAAAATACATGGTATCAAAAATGGTAGCAATAGATTTAGTAATTCGGGTCCAATTTTCACACAGCTTGCTCCACAAAAGACAATTTTTGCCAGCAACACTTCTTCCATTCCAATAACTGAAATAGCGTCAAAGTGTACAAGAAAGGATCGGTTCGGAGGGCTTCATTTTTTCAGTCCTGTCCCGATGATGCGGCTGTTGGAGGTCATTCGCATTTCAGACACTTCAGACGAGACTTACCATAAAATGGATAACTGGGGAAAGTCCATCGGAAAAGTTACCGTGACCTGCAAAGACACGCCCGGATTCATCGTCAATAGACTTCTTATTCCATATTCAATCGAGGCTGTGAGAATGGTTGAAAGGGGTAACGCTTACAAATGTTTATAAATACATAAGTTAGATGCATTTGGATTTCAACTGAATTTTAACTATTGTCGCGTCACAGGAGATGCTACCCATCAAGATGTTGATACTGCAATGAAGTTGGGTGCTGGTTATCCTATGTAAGACATTTAAATATTTAGTTTATTACGTTCACACGTTTAAGGGTAGATTGCATAATTGTTGGAGAATTTGTGATTCGAGTATTTTTCTTCTCTCGCATCTTCCCGTTACTATAAATATAAAATTGTTTTTTGACCATCTATAAACTCCCTTTCCCCAGCGGGAGGCAGTACACGAAATCGGGATCAAACTAACCCTTACTTTGCAGGGCCAATTTTTCTGGATCTTCTTGTATCGTTCTTAAACTTTTTAATCGAGAGGGAGTGAAATTGATTGGATTTAATAAATAAGCAAATACTCGAAACACAAACTATCCAGAATAGATTAAAAAGTGTGAAATCCACGTTTATTTTTTTCTTTTACCTTAAATTTTGTTAACCAGGGGCCCGTTTGAACTCGCTGATTCCGTTGGTGTGGACGTTGGATATTATGTAGCAGAAGGTACATATCTTAATAGTGCTCGAATATGTATACTGTTTATACACATATTCACGATGCTTTGATATAATAATTATAGGCTGGTCAAAACGGTTTCCCAATGATCCGCTTTACAAGCCATCCGAACTTGTGAGAAAGATGGTGAAAGAAGGGAAGTTGGGTCGAAAGACTGGAGAAGGGTGGTACAAATATCAAAAGTAATGATTATTCAAATAAGATCGTAACAGGTTTAAAAATGATCGATCATATTTTTTGAAATATTCAATAAATGGACCAGTTACCTAAGGCTAATGTAAATCATGAATAATTTAATGCATTATTTGCAACACCAAACATACATACGCATGTAAATCGGATTAATGATCTGTGATAAGTATTTGATTTAAATCATTCAAAGTTTGCTACAGGTGAAGCCTGTCCCGTTTCTTTATATGTACTTAAATGATTAGCAAAAAAATTCTATTCTAAATACCAAAATCCATATTTGTAAAAAAAATTATGAAGCAACAGAAGGAAGATGCTCATACAAATTTATCCGGACTTGATCAAGTCACTTAATGAATTCCCAATTGCTCAATTCGGACAATAGATATCAAGGTCCATCAATACTGGACATGTTTATGTACATATGTATGCATTGGGATTATATCGTTTATCATGTATTGGTTCCGTTCAATTTGTGACGCTAATGGCAGGTGTATATGCACATAATACGAGAACGAGTCGTGCACATGTCGTTCATCGATTATCAACAGTCCGTCCTTATTAAATAGTTCCACTGACGTCAATTAAATAAAATTCTTCGTTCGCTCTAAATCCTGGAGATTTTCAAGTTCGTATCAAAACGATTAACGATAGAAAAAGATAAGGTTACTTTAATCTAATGAAACCTAATGATTAATCGTGATTTTCAAACACTTACATACATCAACATTGTCGAATAATTCCATCCCAAACTAATTTTTTATAAACTCGCAACAACATATTCATAATCTTATGAAAATGACTAAATAAAAGCAAAATCTAATAATCAGATTGTTGTGACCAATTTATTAATGCATACATGCATGCAATACGAGGAATTGAATCTCAATACCCAGCTTCAAAAATGTCATAAAAATTCCAGAGATGAAAACGAACTGTGTGACTGATATGCTTTACAATAAGTAATTGACGCAATTGCCTGTTTGATTGATTGTTCTTATAGGATAGCACTCTCAATTCTTGCATATTGTCATGCTCAGGACATGATGATAAGAAATGATAAGCATGCTTATATTCACTCAATTGGTATTGTCATAAAAATCTCATCTTGAATATAAAACAATTGATTGGGTTAAAACTCTCCCACTTTTGTGAACGATTTTCATCTTTCACTCGCACATATCACAGTGATTCATTGGGACGCGTTGACAAATTTCCATAATGAAATTCTTAAAGCATATGACCATTTTCTCACTGGTAGTTTTGCTACTAGTCGGTCACGCCTTATCTCAAACTACGGAGGAACCACCAGAAACAGAACCCACCCTTGGCCCCACAGATGTAACAACCGAACAACCAGAAACCGAACCAACGGAACCACCAGAAACAGAGCCCACAGTTGGACCAACAAATTCAACGCCTAGCCCCACAGAGGAACCCACGGAAGCCACCACGGAGGAGACTACAGAGCCCACCACCGAAGAACCAACGACTACTCAACCCCCTCCGTCGACTACGACCACCGCACCCACAACGACTAATTTTCCAACAACAACCAACCCCATAACAACGACAGAATCTCTTTGTAATCACACCGCACCGGATAACATTGATTGTCCGATCGACGCCCCTGAAGGCATCCCAACTTATTTGCCATATCCATACGATTGTACCCGGTTTATTGTTTGCACGAACGGAGAGCCGGAGGCTGAGTGCTGCCCGGTCGGGACTAGATGGGTAAGCTTATTTGGACAAACCTTGTCCAAGTTGATGCACACCGCAAAAGTGGTCCATAGTTTATTATGTGGTCATGATCTTGAGTTCGTTTCATGATTTATTTTTCATTTGGCTAGGATCAAGACCTTACGACGTGTAATCACCAGGACGCTATTGATTGCGTCATCGTGACCACGCCTATCCCTACGTAAATAATTTCACATACCCAGACGCTAATTTTTTTAGACATTAGCCAGGAAATGATTGTAAATGCATTTTTTCTTTTTAACAGCACCACTACGACAACTACTACCACAACCACAACGACTACGTAAGTTGGACTTTAATGCATATTTACGTATGTATGAAGTAGTTAGAAAATATATCCGATCCGTCATAGTATAGACTTGCATGATTAAAGTGTGTAAATCTCATTTGCATACCATTTCCTACAGAACCACAACAACTACGACCACTACAACCACGGAACCACCCACCACCACAGATGTAAGATCATAATATGCATGCACAGCACTAATTTGTAGTACGGACTATGCTTGGAACTTGAATAATAATAATTCTTTTTTTAATTTGTTTTCAATAGAATCCGGAAACTTGGGTAAATATGCTTATACATTTGAGAGAATATTTGGCTATGCGCATGTTCTTCATGTAAATATTTTTATGCAGATTTGTCCAGATGGATTTGAAGGACCTGTCGGCCATCCGTATAATTGTTCATTCTATTACATATGCGATGACATTGATCGGCCTTGCCTTCTTCTTTGTCCGGACGGTTTTTATTTCAACCCGGTAATTTTTTCATTACAAACTTTCATCTTGATAAGCGTCATAGTAATGTAGTTATCGAAACTAATGTTCAATTTTAAAATGCAGCAAAAGGGTGAATGTGATTGGCCTTTTGAAGTCCCTGAGTGTCAGGGCGGCACAGTAAGCCGATTTTCACATTTTTTTTAAATTAACAAAAAACAATAATTAATACATAAATGTCCTTTTTAGCCGCCACCTGTCACAAGAAACTACAGGAACATGAAACGCGTTCACACAAATCCTTTGTCCATGCACATTGCTCCTGTCCAAGAGGAGTGCTTAAATCGAGAATTTGACTACTGGTCTTATTCATAAGACTATAATTGCTCATTAGATTTTTGTACTATGTAAATAGTTTGTCATATTTTTATTCCTAGCCAAATAAATGAATATTGAAATTAAGATCACAAACATTGGTTCGTTGCATATGTATTTGCATTTGCATTAAAACACCTTTTCCTAAGAAATTTGTAATTTTGCGAGTTTAGTAATCCTCCCACACACGGTTAAGCAAGCACCACCATAAGCAAAGATATAAAGATGTGCATACATAATATAACCCGTGTTGCGAAATGTCCTGGTAGGTTTCATGCATTAAAATTTACTACACTGCCGGGCAGGGGTCAGATGCAACTGATCCCCTGATCTCAACCAGCAGCAGACTTGTAAAACCAGTTGATTTTGTCTCATAAGATTTCAAAATGATGACTGACGCACAATGTGAATTCTTCTTTTTCAGTTGGAAAAAAGTAGGAGACAACTCGAGGTTTTATCCTAAACTCTGTGATCGCATTCAGTTAAATCCCGACTAAAGTTTGAGGGCTCGTTTTAAATTCATTTTTCGTAATTACGAGAATTTGCGATATCAAAATACTTGTGATTGTGACCTCGTCGCAATATAAATAATCAAATTTAAACATCAAAATGGTGGTCATGCACGGTTTACTCGAGTTTTAGAATTTATTTATGTACTAGTCTCATGCATTAAATCGTTACCAAAATAGAAAATTAAAGTAAAAGTCAGTCAGAATGCAGATACTCAAAGTGTCAAAGATTTTGCTCTTCATATTTATTGGTATCCCTTGGACGCACTCCAGCAGAACACGCCACATGTATGGGGGTAAGTATGCAATCATTCATTCACGTGTCAATTTGTTACGTATTTCAACCGCAATGTCAGATTACGGATGACAAGTTAAAAACCAATGTCTGCGTTTAATTGATAAGATGAGATCATATTATTACTCTCATGTATCAAATCCCGTTATGATGGTTGACCGATGTTGGATACTCCAATGGCACCTTTGCACATACTTACCCGCACTGATGCAACACAAATATGTGCAAACCGGTCTTCCGTGTGTGTGATGATGCAGGCAGCATTGTCAGCGATTAGTGTTACTGTACTTCACCTCACCCACAATATTTCATTGTGGGTTACTTTTTATTTGCTGTTGTATGAATGCGTTATTGTCCAAATTCGCATTCGCTTCCCGATTTCCACATAATTTTGTTAGATTGTGCCACCACAAAAATGACTGGGTCAAAACATTTGCACGTATTGCCTAACTTTAATGTTCGTAATCTCTCAATTGGATGATTTAGAGATTTAGAGCTGCAGTCATTTTTGGCAATGAACGAATTGTACCAAATTGTACCCAACAAATTGTAAATGTCTTGTATTATTTTGCAGGAAAAGTTCTCAATATTGCACCGAAAGCATGCACTTCATCCGAGTTTCCCGGAATCGTGGGAACATGTATGATCAGTTTAGAATGCCAACAGAGATCTGGCACAGTTATTGGAGCTTGTCGTGATGGACATTTGTTTGGAGCGTGCTGTTCTGACGCTGCGGCAGAACTTCCAACGGCTGAACCATTGAAAAATGCTTCGTCAACTACCCCACTACCACCTCAGCCACCTAAGGATCATCTTCATCAGTCATTCAAAATCCCACAGAGCCTTCTTGACCTGGCTATATTTAGCATTGCATCAGATAAACAAGATCACAAAGAAGGGGAATCTGATGATCCGAGCAATAACTCTGTCACCACGGACAATCCCATTGTTGAAATTTCAACAATGACAATGAGTGGTCATAATAACACCCTTCGAAATGTTACGCCAGCCATTGTTCCCACGCAAAGTACGACCCCGATTCCAACCACCACAACCATTTCTACTATCACCCAAGCCAAAGTAGTGCATACAACAACCACAACAATTCCAACGACTACTACTCCCACAATTCGGACCACGACAACTGCAGCGAGCACATCACATGCGCATCCGATTTCACAAGAAACTTCCACTACCAAACAAACTACCACTTCGAAAAAGCCATCAACCGAGCCAACCACGAAATTTACGTATGGAAAAATAAAATATTCTCCTCGTCCAGTGAAACTGCGCTCGACAACCGAAAAAATGATATGGACTCGGCCTCCGACCACTGAAGCGTCCTACTCGATCTTCACATCCAGCACTGAAGACGAGGATGATGAGGAAATTGGAAACGAAATTTCGAAACGTTCACCTCAACCTAACACTGCGTCCACTATAATGTTATCCGCCAGCAGTGGCAGTGTTGAGACTAGTACGTTACCAGTACAACAACCTCCTCTGTCCAACGAAGAAGTCGCAACAACTTTAATAGCTCCCACGATAAGTGAAAACTCCTTGACGACGCTCCTTGTAGATGTAACTGCGAAACCTATCGACACACCAATTACAACAGAGAAAGTCAGTAGCACTAGCACTACCAAATCAACGCCTACGAATACATACACCACCACAGCCAACTTTGCATCCTCGTTAGCCCCCAAAACCAATTCTGCTAAGCAATCCCGGCTCTCCAATGAAATTGATGATGATGATAGCGAGTCCAGTTCATCTGCAGGATGGGACAATAAAATTAATGAATTTGTCAATCAGGTTAATTTTTTGTCGAATTGTTCATCGAACCCCAAACAGTTCATGAAAAATGTTTTTTTTTCTTCTTATTTACATAGGTCGTTGCGGGTATTGCAACAGAACTGGACAAGTCCAACATTGATGATGTCGTGTTTAAACCATCATCACCAAGTACCCGAAAGACGACAACGACAACGACGACGGCTACTCCACCGCTAAAAAAGAAGGGCAATAAAAATTCAACAAAATCAAAGCACTCGTCAAAGTCTAAAAATTCAACTTCCAATAAAAAGAAAAACGTTGTACAAACTACCAAGCGAATCCCATCAAAGAACAAGACTAAAAAACCTTCCAAGAAGAAAGTTTCGCCCCCATCTGAAAGTGTAGAGATTGAACGGGACGTGTTGGACTATAGAGAAGTTTGTGGCGTGAGACCTCTTGCACGACATAGTCGAATCGTTGGAGGAAACCCATCCATACACGGAAATTGGCCATGGATGGCTCTAGTTAAAGAAACTGTGTGGTGGGGAATATTTTCCAAAATTAAGTGTGGTGGAGTCCTTATTGACGATAGGCATGGTAATTACATACTTAATAAGCATACAGATTTATTATGCACATACATCTCAAATTATGTATGACATGATTATTCAGTTTTGACTGCCGGGCACTGTCAACCTCAACAAACTGGAACATTATCTGTCGTTTTGGGCGTCACGGACTCTGATCATCCGAGTTCACATGCGGTCACAAAGGCTGTGCGTCGTGTAATTCGTCATCCCCAGTTCAATCAACGATCTTACGAAAACGACATTGCAATTTTGGAACTGGATACACCAGTTCAGTTTCAACCTCACATTGTACCAATTTGTCTACCAGACATTAAGGAAAATTTTGTTGGAAAGAAAGGATTCGTTACGGGAATGGGATTGCTCAAGCACGGTAATAAAAACACCAATGACACGGTTGAATGCTTAATTGTAATTATTTTTTGCGTCAATATTTTGCACGATAATCTGCACATATTTAGACGGTGAAAGACCTTCAATGCTGTATGAAGTTGATGTACCAATCCTTAATAATACCGACTGTCAGAAAATGTTTCGAAAATCTGGAAATATGAAACCAATTAAACCCAGCTTTATCTGCGCCGGGTATCGACGTGGACGAAAAGATTCTTGCGGAGGTACATACTAACTAGCGTATTTGCTTACTTAATATTGGGCAAATGAGTGACTAATCTAACTGTATTTTTTTTTTTACATATTTCAGGTGACAGTGGTGAGTGTTTTTTACTACCAACTTGCTTAATTTCTCAAAAATTAGTTTCTAACTTGACTGAATGTAGGTGGACCACTGTCAGTAAAGCGTAACAACGGTCAGTGGGTTTTAGCTGGTACAGTTTCTCACGGAATCAAGTGTGCAGTAGCAAATCAGCCTGGGATTTACATGCGGGCGACGTGGTATCTTCCGTGGATTGAAAAAGTTTTACGATCTGCAAGGTCAGACTTGCCAAAATGTCACGGCCCTCCACCTGTTTGTGAGCGTCCTCAAGCCAGATCGGGTGGTTTGATGGACACGCTCTTCAGAATTTTCAGAATTGCCAGAAGGCTTTGGAAAACACGAAAATGATATCATTCTACTGATCAGAAGAAGCTGCATATTATGTAATTATTAATGATCTGAGTACCATCTGTAAAAAATTTACATTATGTACAGGGGTTCTATTTTATGATATTAGTATAAGAATAAGGTGTACAATAATGGTGTCTTGTCGGACTAATTACCAGTATTAAAACATATACTTAGTTTGTGTTAAATGATCCACAATTGCAGTTACTAAGGATGTGGTTCGGAAAAACTGGAAGTTATGTACATGTATGCATATATACATATACTCTTACTTTTCATAATGCCATTTCCAGTGAAAGAACGGAATAGCAATATTCTTAATCATTATATTCTCCAAAGCGATGACGTCGTCGGGACGATCTCATTATAATATCATTTTTGCATTGTAACGTATTAGACTTGAATTGATCGTTCAGCAGAATGACTTTACAGAAATCCCATATTTTTCTTTGTTCACTGGATAAAATCAAATCAGGTTTTTTACCTCATCTCCGCCTGGACGAGCTTTTATACAAAACAAAATTTTTGCACATACCATGCACACCGAGTAATATGTATGTACACACATGCTTAAGCACCCTAGTCATGCTAGCGAATAATGGACGGTCGCTTTTCTTTCGTGCCCACAGGCAAAGCTTCGACTACCAAATAATTGGCTGAAACTTTTACGGTTGCATTTAGCGTGAATGTACGTCTTTGTTCTTCGTAGAAAATGCGACGAAAGGATGATTAGATGGAAAAGTCTTGGTAACACACACACACATACATATGTACATATATGCATAGTGGGTGAACGGGTACTCAAAAAATCTCAAAATTTTCACATATAAAAGGATCCACTTTATGTCTAATACACCATTCAAATTACTGGAGCATTCCTTGAGATTATCTTTTAAAAAAGAACACAAGTTTTACACTTTCAAGATGAAGGCCTACTTCGCACTTGCCCTTGTTGCCTGTCTCGTCGTCGCTTCCTTGGCGCAAGAATCGCAATCTGCTCCCGCATCATTGGTTGGTTCCCCTGCCGCAGAATATGTGTCATTGCCGGAAGAAGACACCTCCGGAGGTAATTTAAATAAATCTATCTCATGTAAAGGCATGGTTATAACTCTTTTATAACTTTGAAGCTCGAGTAAGACGCCAATTTTACGGGGGGTACGGGGGGTATGGCGGGGGCTATCGTGGTTTTGGGGGTGGTTATGGTGGTGGATTTGGCAGAGGATTTGGGGGAGGCTACGGAGGTAGGTCTTATAGCTTTAATAAAAATACAAACTGCCCTTTTGTAATTCTGCAGCGATTCACTTATGATTTCCATGTTTAATGTGTTTGGTTTTGTTCTAGGGTACGGACGTTAAAATTTTTTGCCGACAAGGACATTGATTCACAGATTGGTCGCGAAATCCTATTCAAAAAACAAGAGAAATACGCTGTGATATCTTTCATAAAAAACTGTACTTATTTGTTGACCTGTTGTAATTTTTCAGTGAGAAATAAATTCGTTTCTGCTTAAAACACGTATTTTATTACTTCATGAAAATACATATGAATTCCAAATATCACGATTCATATACTAGGCTTGCATATTCCAATAGTACAATTTTGCTGTGACATTGTTTGTTACTGGTTTTTGTATGTGACAATTGGCTTTTTATTATTGATGATCATGCAAACAGACTAATCGATAGAGTAAAGGTCAGTAAAGGCAAAGACATCATAGTAGAATGGATAACATGACAGCATAACAAACAGCATAACATGAATCTAAATAGGAAAAGTTCTGATGATTAGGTTCAGAAGTTTTCTGGAGTTGGTCGGATAACGCTTGAAGTTAGAAATTTGTGCTGCGAGAATGAACTACTTACATACATATTCATGGTAGCATTAAAAGATTAACCGTTTAGTACTCGGTGATTGGAATCAATTAAAAAGCATTGTATTACTTAATTACAGCAAAATTTTCTTCAATTTATGTGCACATAGTGTATTATATACTTTTTCTATGATTTTATTGTTCAATATTAATTGAATATTATGCATTGCGCATGTAAAGCGTAGCAAGCTGTGGGAATAACACGCTTTATTTAATAAACAAAAAATCCGTCTATAAAAAGCAGCTTTCGCTGAATCACTGTCACTAAAGCCTCGTAAGGATTTCAAGGGTTCGGTTAAAATGTGGTTTAGAACTTATGATGGGTTACATAAATTTTAATCATGCACACTGGGTCATCAACCTGATTTTAACAGATCGAATTTTTTCTTAAAAAATAAATATATTGCCAATTTATTTGTCCCAGTGTTATAATTACTGCTATCGCACTAAGTTTCCCAACAACACTTTCAAAAAGGATAATAGGTAAATACTTATCGCACGTTCTTACAAAGTCAGTTATATTAATTCAAGGTGTAATCTCTTACTCGACGCTGGGATGCATATAAATATGAGATCATTTGTAAGATTCATCCAACAAAAAAGCTGCTAAAATCCAACTTTATCCAGATCGCTTTGTTCACTTAGCGTAATGAATCAATTTCTTCACCCACCAGGTGGTTTCCTTCCCTTTCATTCAATATGAACTCTAATAATCTGACTCTTAAAAGCAAATGAAAGAAAAACATGTACTCATCGCATAATGCTACAACTGCTGCGTGAGTCTGGAATTTCCCAAAATTGCGACTTGAAATTAAACCAAGTACATACCTTGATCCTTTTTTTCCTCGGCCGATTGCACGACGCTCGTGGAGATTATTGCATCTCATTCTTATGTAATTACTCGTTTGTGTTAACTATACCAGAGTGTCATGCTTTAACTCACCATGGTTTGTTCGCCACTCACTGGAAATAAAAAAAGTGACAAAAAGTAGTGTAAGCCTTTGACGTGGAAAATCTTAGAATTGTTGTGGCATAAAATGAACTACAAAAATCCACGTAATATACTTTACTATGTGTATAAAAGGTTAGTTTCTTTTATTTGGTGTGATGCAAAAAAATATTTCACAGAACATCAAATTACTGGATAAAATCAGCCGATGTCCTCGTGAAATTGCTTCAACGAACCGACGACTTTATTTTTTTTATTCATACTGAAATAGTGATTTCATTTACGCATCCTCAAATATATTTATAAATATGTATGACTTTTTGTAATGTGAAGACAGGATATAAAAACTTGGTCTCCTGTCTCCGAAATATTTCAGACGAGAGTAATCTTTTAAAGGTGTCACATCCTTAAAATAATTAATTCAACGTCATTCAAACACAAGGCAGCTTCCAAAATGAATAAAATTGTTGCATCGATTTTTGTTGTCATGTGCGTCATCTCAATTTCCTATTCCCTTCCTTTGGATGAAAAGCCTGCCCCTGTGATTAGAGAAATTCGTCCAGCCGTACTTCCTCAAGAAGTCTTCCGTGGCCAGGGATTGGAAGGCCAGGATGAAGGGAGCCGACAGAAACGCCACTTTTACGGAGGTACACAAATATTAATCCGTCAATCTCAAACTGCATGATATTTACAAGATCTATTTTAATTGCAGGATACGGAGGTACATAATATTAATTTTGGCATTTTGCATTTGTATTAATCGGGTTTACTTGGTTTTACTGTTTTCCAGGTTATGGAGGTAAGATTTTCAATCATGTGCATGTCTGTTAATACTTATAACTTTTGATTTTGATTTTGATTTTTTGTTTGGTTTTTTCAAAAAAAATAGGATACGGTGGGGGTTTCGGTGGTAAGAACTTACCTTTGAACTTTCGGTGTTTGTTTTTAGCTGATATTAATTGTTCTTAATTTTTCCAGGTTACGGGGGTGAGTTAACGCTCAACGCTAAATGCATAGATATACGTTTGTAGTTATAACTTTATTGATTTCCTAATTTTCCTAATTAATTTTTTCAGGTTACGGAGGTATTATTTTACATGTTATGTAATAAATTTAGTTGAAATGTGGCGTTTACTTTACAATACTTTGGGGGTTGGGAAAACGAGATCTTACGTCAGCCTTAATTAATTAATTGTATTTAATTTTTCCAGGTTACGGGGGTGAGTTGCCTTAACTAAATATATGCTTATCGTTGTAACTCAAGTATTGACTTTTGTCCATGTTATGGGAGCATTTTTTACCTGTTTAATAACTATGCGGTTTAATTAATTACTTGTTTTTAATTAATCAATTTTCCAGGTTACGGTGGTAAGTTGCAACAAGTCCATTAATCCTTATAAATCTGATTTTCATTCTCTACTTGATTTTTCAGGTTATGGATTTTACGGATGATAAGCTCCATGCTAAAAATACTTCAATATCCCATACAAATTTTGTATTCTTTAATAATTGTCTTATTTATAGGGATGTCATACTTTGCTCACTGTCCAAGATAATTTGATATGCTCAATTTCTAAATAAAATTCAAACCTTTCAATGAATGCATAAATACACATGTATTTTATAACAACGTTTCTTTATTTCTCGCATCAGAAAGTCAATGACACTGTAGACACGTATGTACAAATTTATTTGCATGCATATGTCTCAGCACGACAATGCGAGTAATAATCAGTTACTCGAAACGTAAAGTGATAATTTCATTTGGATATTTTATGTGTCTGCATCGCCTTAATTGGTATCAGGTGTAACTATTTTCAAATTTATGAGGAGGGCTTTGCTTTTGCAGTCTAGTTCCTGTTGGCGAATTACAATACAAATCTTACAAGATTTTAGTCAATATGCGAAATGCTGTGCCGACAAAAACTTTCATTTATTCGCACTCTTACTCTCTTACCCTTTTGTGAGGGGATAAAATAAAAATCTTCTGGTAACATATGCATACATCCCTTTTGCAAGTGGGCAAGAAAGACTAATATTTTGATGCCAGAATGTCTGAACCAGTTTCTCACATCCGTAAACAGCACTAGTTTTTATTCCGCATGATTTGGTACTAATAGTTTTGCTACACATACATATGTACATGCACACTTTTTCATAGTTATATGTACATACATATGTATGCAGTTAGATATTTGGCTGGTTCTTTGTTAGCCGAGTTGTAAATTATATGCATTAAATCACTGCCTAAGATTATGAATGATTAACGATAAGATGAGGACCTTCCGTCACGTCAGTGACCAGTGACAACGTCATCAAATAATGCCACAACCATGATAATTAAAAGTACGTTGCCAGCTTGCCTTCAGCCTTGACCCCTTTTAAGAACAAGTGCAAATTTGAAAGCTATTAAAAGCGTTACAACTCCTTGTCTGACCGTCACTTTGCTTTTGCCGTTGTCTCACCTTGTTCATTGTTCAGCACAGGGGATTGATTGGGTAACACAGAATGACGTCTCTCACAGTCTGCATTTTCCTGATATTTGCAAGTTTGGCAAATGCTGGAATGGGTAAGTGCACATGCATAATTGTAAGAAAAATGTCGTATTATATAACGACAATAAATATCAAAAGTGGAATTATAGTGAAATTTTCTATTTTTTTCATAAGATCAATTTTTGCGAGATTCATTGTACTCAATTAATAGTATGAGAGACGACGGGGTAAGTATCTAGTAAATTTTAAATCGTTTAATAAAGTGCAATTAGCTTGTATTGATTCTTATTTGCTCATTATTAGGCACTAACCCTCAGTGAAAGTCCGCACAGCACGTATAAAATGGTGACTGTGGAAAAATGGAAAAATTCAGAAATTCAGAAATGGATAGTGGAAGATTTTCAATCAATTGGGAGATATCATTTTACACCATTAATCCACAACACGACGACGAATGTTGTAACATATCAGTTCACAAAGAACGTCTACACGTACAAACGACAATGGAAGGTTAACATTATAACCACGCAGCGTTACCAAATTCAAAATCCGGAATCTGGCTTATGTTTGACGAACATGGGATTACACAAGCAAGTTGATGAACACGACTGTGACCCAAGTTATCCAGTGTCGCAAGTTTGGAAGTTCAGAATGTTACAGAAATAATAATTAGTTTTATTTGTTCAAAACTATTTTACAACGGTTATATAGTATTAAAATAAATAGCTCTTGTTATGTTTTCAATAAATAATTACATAAAATAAAACTTTGCATATGTGTAACAGATGGACACATATATTTCACACAGTTATTGTTACATTTTTCTCCGGTGTGATGTTAGGCCAATCGTTTTTCACAAGATCTGCACACATCTCTCCAATCATAATTGTGGGAGAATTTAGGTTTGCATTGCATATGAAGGGCATAATACTGGAATCAGCGACTCGAAGCCCTTTAGTCCCAATTACCCTGAGTAGTAAATTAATATTTTAAAAAATTGCGTAAATAATAGATCGCATTCAGTGTTCAGTATACCATGAACAAAACCCCAAGTAATATGCTTACCGCAGTTCAGAATCGACAACAGAATCAGGATGATCAAGTGGCCCCATTTTGCAGGTTCCACTTGGATGGAACATGGTGTGAGGGTTTTGTCGAATAAAACATTCCCAGTAAGAACGACTTTTCATGGCGTGGTCTTCACAGCCAGGAAAATGATTCGGAGCTAATCTGGCTCCAAGTTCCTTAAATGCTGTTGTATTTTCATACACTTTGACAGCAAACTGGATTCCTAAAATCAAATTATGCGAATACATATGTTTGTAATGCATTAGTAATGTATTCTTCATAAAAGGTTCACAATTGTGTACATTGGGTCAAGCAAATTTATACCTTGAATAAGAACGTCCAAGTCTGCGCCACCCTCATCAGAAAAGTAATTGGGATTAATTAGTGGTTTCACAAATGGGTCGTTACTGGCTAACTTTATGTATCCGCGACTTTTTGGTCTCCCCACAGCCACAAATACGAAATTCGAATCATTCATTGCGTTGTATTCAAAAAATTTTGACAGCCCACTATTTAATTTCATTCCCAAAACCTGCTCCAGTTCCTTCCCCATATTTTTATCAATTCCTCTCGCAACATGCATCATTAATATGTCCGGCCAGTTTTTATTGTCGTTTTGTTGAGAAGAAATTAATCCAGTTGCAGAAATTCCACTCGGGGAGGATAACGGGCCTGTTAATTAATATGAAAATAAATTTGTACCTGCCCATTCTCTAAATGTGTGTATTTTAAAAAAAAATGTATGCATCAATTCCTAGCCAACCTTTCCCAAGGGCTAAATATTCTGTGGCTGCAATTGGAGTCAAATCTCGAAATCTTAAGAACGACACATTTTTTCCAAGTAGAAATGGCCCAGCCATGCCCAAAACATGATCTTGTAGATTCTCTCCAACTTTCAAATTCACGAGGGTATTAATCTATAGATATAGAATAAATGCATTAAATCATAATTATGCTACAATATTGTTTGCACCATGTGCGGTCTTACATTGAAGGAGTCCAATTGTTCTTTTGGACCAATACCAGAGAGTAACAAAAGTTTTGGAGAGTTAATTGCCCCACAGGAAATTATTATTTCATTTTTTGCCGATGCATACTTTTTATTTGCATGTCGATAATATGTCACCCCAATTGCCTTCATCCCACTGTCAAAATGAATCTATATGGGTACATACATTTATCACGATTGAATCTAAATATATATAAGAAACGTAATATTTAAATATGTGGCATAGTAAATACTTACCTTTGTTGCAATCGAGTATCGATGAATTGTCAGATTGGGGTTGTTGAAATTTGGTTCAATGTAACCTCGAAAGGTGCTGAAACGAGCACCCCCTTTCTGTGTAACATCTAATGGCGAAAATCCTTAAAATGTGCAAAAATACATGTGTATGTAATGTACATAGATCATACCATTATATACACACATATTTGTCATTTCGCTTCACATGTTGTTACCTTCACTTTGGAAAGCATTCTGGTCCAGAACACGTTTTCCCAGCTCTTTCCCAGCTTTCAACCAATAGCTTGCAGAAGGGTCATAATTAGATTTTTCGATACGCAGGGGACCCCCTTCGCCGTGGTGTGCTAATTTTTAAAAAAACTTAATAATTTGTATATGTATCTACACATTTCATGAAAATTTATTTACATACAGCTTCCCTTCCAATGTCCATCATAGTCTTCCATACGCTTAAAGATTGGTTCTACGTTTGCATACGACCATCTTTCATCTCCAGTGTATCTGGCCCAATTGTTAAAGTCTTCTGGATTTCCCCGCATATAAATCATGTTGTTGCTGTTACTGCTTCCACCCAGTGATTTTCCCCTCGGCCATGACATTTTCTACACATCAAACATTAAGTTAGTATATGTTGAGTATTTAATATCTAATAGTAAGTACATAATACATACATATGTACAAGGTTTTTCACTTGGAATGGCAGTACTACAACACTACGGTTATTGTAGTAACATCAAATTAATCCTCCAAATTACCTCCCAAGTTATAAAAACCTTGTATGTATGGAACATGTGCATGCATTTCGAATCATATTTATAATCACTTGATTTGGCCAAACGAATCCAGAGTTGTTCAAAGGTTCTGTTGTGTACTGCCAATCAATCATGGGAAGATTTACTAATGCTTCTGCCATTAATGGAACATAGGTCAGTGGGTGTGGGTCACCTCCTGCTTCAATTAGCAAAACCTGATACTGCTCTGATAATCTGGCAGCGACAGCAGAACCCGCTGACCCACCTCCAACTTTACACCAGTCAAACAACAAGCTCCAATTAAATTAACTCTTCAATTAAAAATGTAAAAGGTAGAATTATTATTATTTACCAACGATGAAATCAAACTCATTTTGTAGAGAATTGTGTTTCCTGTTGTATCCAAGTTGAGATTCTAGATTGGAACTTAACATGCGGAATAAATCCAAGTATTGCGAAGTGACCGACAGTTTAATCACAAAATATGGTATCGTGGTCAATGAAAGTGTGATAAGAAATGCAGGTAAAGGCGTAGAAATTAACTCTAAAATTGGTAGAAATCCAGGAATGCTAGAAAGTGTCGACATTATAAATGTCGTTATTATTTATTATTTAAATTCTGTAAATGCGATAAATAAAAATGTTAAATCTCTTTAAAAAAAATACACAAATGCATGCTCCTCTAAACATCTACAAATCTGTAATGAAATAAGTGATGATCATTTTCTTGATGTTAAATTAGCATAAAATCCCGTTTTGGCACAAAGAGAGTTAACAAAGTCAAGATTCCGGTAGGTTGGGTTATTGATCTGGCACTAGCACAATAAGGTACGCACAAACCCATAATATGTACATACATATGTATATATGCGCCCTTCAATATGCATTAAATAGAATACAGAAATTTATTTTTAAGTTGAAGCCGCAGAACAAATAATGATCATTATCTATTTATCTATGTGTAAATTCATGCAAATATATGAAATACAAATAATATTTATCGTAGCTGGAAATGTTACTGGAGTGCAAAGATATTTTTGAAAATTCATGAGAATTAGAAAAACAATAAAAACATTAGAGTTATTTTCAGTTTAAAAATTATATTGATAAAAAAATTATTTGCTGCATTTGTAGTTTATAGTGGAGAAATAGTCATTTAAAGTTTCACGTCTTCTTATTTCAATTAATGAACCAGATGAACTTGATGTTTTAAGGTATTCGGCTGATCGTAGTTTCCCATTGTAGTTGAAACCCATGCAGTGACCATGAGCACCAGCGTCAAGAATTACAAGTAGATCTCCAATTTCTACATTGTGTCCTATGAACCGATCTATTGCAAGTTTGTCGTTGTTTTCGCACAGACTTCCGACCTGTATTTCAGTTGCAAGGTTTATGACATAAACTTTATGTACACATATGCATACAGTAATTTTTACACATTATACTACACATATGCGCCCAATATGAAATCTTGGGAGTTCATTAAGGTTTAGAATGTTTATTAACTCACAACATCGTAAACTCCGTCTTGTGATTGCTCAGATAAAGACCTCTTCAGCTTGCTGTTAATGATGCCGTAGTTGGGATCCTTAATGTGAACAATATGATGATAGGAATTGTACAGAGCTGGCCTCATCAAATTGGCCATATTAGCATCAACTCCTAAATTTTTATCAGTAAATTTTAGCAGTATCCTGTCCGAACTGATATGGTATGTAGTATCAAAAAACGTGTTTAAACAAACCAATAAAATTTTTGTAACTTTTCTTGAGATGAAGAATTCGAGTAACGAGCATGCCTGCAGGTCCAGTTATGTAACGTCCGCATTCAAACACAATATTAAACGGTTTAACGCCGTCTCTTGTAAGCAAACCCTTAAAATATTCTTGCATATTTCGACTTAGGGTATCAAGGTCAAAATCCCGATCCTCCGGTCTATACGGAATTCCAAACCCTAAAGAAAGAGTAAAACATCAAGTATTGTCCATCTATGTAAATTTTAATAGTAGTCAAGTGTCTGCATAGATTAGTTATCTACTCACCGCCACCACAATTTACAGTTTCTACATTGACTCCAGTTTTCTCCTGTAAAATTTAATTATGTAATGACGTAGCGGATCATTAGATAATTTACTAAATGTTTTGTATCTGTACGTACAAAGATCTCTACAACCAGATCAAACATCATCTTTGCATTTGCGAAAATCTCACTTTCATTCAAACAATTAGATATAATCATGGTATGCAGGGCAAACTTTTTTACTCCCAAATTCAGTGACTTCTCGATTGCTGCAAATATCTGATTTTTTGTCATGCCAAACTTGGAGTTTTCTGGGTCTCCTATGATGACATTTCCAGTCCTTGACCGTCCTGGATTGTATCTAAAAAGTATTATTTTGCTTATCAGATTAATTGATTTGCATAAAAATTCAACGAAAATTTTATACCCCAATCACCTAAAGCATAATAGGTCTGGAAGCCCGATGGTTTCATGGATAAATTCGACATGAGACACATCATCTAGGTTAATTATTGCCCCAAGTCCTTTGGCCTTTGTGTACTCACTGTGTAAATATGAGAACCAGTAAGTAACGTTAAATCATAAAAGGGGCTTACTTACTCTAATGGAGTATTATTCGATGTAAAGAAAATATCATTTCCAGAAAATCCAACCAATTCTGCCAACATCAACTCTGCCATGGAACTACAGTCGACTCCAAACCCCTTTTGGAGTGGAAAGTTCACAGTTCACAGTTTTACAAATTGAATAGTTTTATAGTTTCAATAATTTCAATAAGCATACCTCATCCTTAAGAATTTCAAGAATTGAAGGGTTTGGCGTCGCCTTCACGGCAAAGTAATTTTTGAAGCCAGGTGCCCAGTTAAACGACGCTTTCAATTTTTTACAAATTGATCTAATTAAAGCTTCATCATACAAATAAACTGGTGTTTCATGATCAATCGCAAATGCTAATATCTCGTTTTCAGGGATTACAAGTTTTTTTGATTGTTGTGCTGATTTAGCCATACTAAATACGAAATGTGAAATGTATTTAATTGGTAAATGTATACATATGTATGTGCTTTACAAAAATTTGACTGAATAACTGAGCAGCAGCTGGATTATTATATAAGTCTTATGTCATAAAGATGATGATTTTGCTAGTCTAACCCAAGCCTATGGATATTATTAATTAAGTGTAAAGTGGATTAGATTACACTTATAAACTATCGGATGAGACGATGTCGAATTTGTCTCAATTTCTTGTTCTACCCCGTATTCTCACTTTATGCATCCATATTTATTTACCCCTGCTCGTCGACTTTTGTTCGCACCAAATTCCACTCACAAGTTGAATGCAAAATAAAATATTATCGAAATCATCGGCTAATTTTTTAAAAGTGATTTCATCCAGCCATAAAAGGAATAAATAGCCTTGCCAAAAGCTGAAATGTCATCGGAAACAGGAGGAGAGGTTAGAACGCCTGGTATGATAGTTATTTACGTATATAATAGAAAATAAGTAATGCATTGATCTTATTGTACACATAAGTTCTGTGACATAACACTTACCTACTTATTTATTAAAGATTGGCGACTGAAAATGTCCCAGTTGTATGAGGACACGGTACAACAAGATGATAACAGACCGTGCGCTGGACTCAGGTATACTTGTACAATTTTAACCCAAGCTTCATGACTTTTGACCTAACTTTTGAATATTGCTCACTGTTTAGAAAAGAATTAAAGGCTTGTTTACAAGAGAGTGACTGTGTCAAAGTGGTAAATTTCGCAACAAAATTGCTATTCAGTGTGTCTTAAATTTAACATTACGAATGAATTGATTAATTGCAGCATCACAAGTCGGCCAGAGAGTGCTTGGCTGCGACCGACGGATCCGTCCCTCATGACTGTGTTCTACTTCGCCAAACATTTTTCGAGTGCAAAAGGTCCTTGGTAAGCATACATATACTCCATTATTTTCATGATTTTAAGAGGTTCCGATTGGTGATGTCATCGTTGTTTTTGCATTGATCTTTTTAGCTGGATGCTAGACAGCGATTTAGAGGTCGGAAGGGCTATTAAAATTAGATGTACAGATGAATTTAAATGTAATGAACAAATCATTTATGTAGTCATACTTAATACTCTTAATATTCCCTAAATTTGTATAAATAATATGTAAAATGTATATAATACAGCTGTGCGTTTATATTTAGTATGTAATTTTATTTATAGAGTTATAGTTTTAAGTAAAGTGCAATCTAAATACATATGTGCATGCATTTTGTTGGCCCATCATCACATGTCAATTATGTCAACAGAAGTTGTTTTTCCATTATTCGTATGATGTTCTTCATCGTTCGAACCACTACTATCAGTTTGTGAGCCAGATTCACTTTCACTAGTGCTGTAAATTGCCTCTTCTAAAAGGGGACTTCGTCCGAATGCAGAGAGATTAAATAATAACAAATTTGGGTCCATCGCTACTTTAGGTAAATAGCAGTTCAAGTACGGATTCCCTAAATGATTTTCTACACATTTGCAACCAGGTTCAGCATTCAATTCTTTGGTTGTGCGGTTGTAGATCATGCTGGCGAAACAAACGGCGTTGACTCCGCAGGTAAATTGTGAACAGATAACACTTTCGGGAATTACGATAGGCATTTGTGTTGTTGGCATCGTGTATGGTCGATATTTTCGTGGCGTCGTCCTCGTATTTCTTTGCATTGTTCGAGGCGTCGTTTGAACGACTATGGGCGGTGTGGGTTTCTTGGAATTAAAAATCTGGAAGGCAGTTTGATTTGCAGTGTGAGAAGGGCGTGTGTTTTTAAAATTGTTCAACACAGGTCTGTATGAGATCAAATCTTCAGGGAAAGGAAGGCCAACATCTTGCTGTTGGTCGTCAATCTCTTGAGAATATGGCCCTTTTGTAACTGGCCTTAGATTGAATAGTTCTGAAGGATATTTTTCTGAATTGAACGGGTTGGTTTTCACTGTCGGTCTAGTTTTGTACTTGTTGTAGGGTGACTTTGGGGTCGTTGTTTGAACTGTATAAAAAGTTTGGAAGGGTCCATAAGTTGTGGTGCTGTAACGCAGATGGAATGGGACGTATGGCGTTTTCACTGAACTTGTCGGAGAAGGTTTGGGACGTTTGGTAGTTTTTATGGTCGATCGCGTATTACTCGGGTACATTAACCACTCTAAATCTTCTGGTTTTACATATCCAAAAGGTTTCTTGGATGGTCTTTTACCAAACTTCTTAGTATTTTGATCTACAGTAATCATTAATAGCACTGAATAATTTTATTTCAAAACACCTCAGCTTGCATCTGTATGTATGTATTTAATGTATGTACCAGTGCTGGCGGCCAACGTAAAATAAACAAAATCGAACGTGTTGTTGAAAGCTGCTGTGCATAAATATGTGCCTCGGATGTCATTTTTTGGGTAATAACCAGAGATTGGATGGTACAGCATACTCTCATTTGGAATAAACTCGAGATTTCCCTGCACGTTAAATATTTGCAGAAAGTTTTCTATGCAAAAAATGGCAGAATGATTTTATGAATTTTATATTTACCTGCACAAACTTCTGTAGTGTCACGGAGGCCTTTGGATTGGTAACGCCACACGGTATTCGAGCAGCGGATTTGTTAAGATCGTAATACACGTCTTCTGGCTTACGAATAAATAGTTTCTGCTTGGCTAAAAAATTCATATTTTGAGGGTATTCGTTATTTCTTCGTATCCGTAGTATCGTAAAATAGTTTACGAAGATAAAACAAAGGGTCAGGTTTCGTAAAAATGCATAGTAACGCGATTTTCGATGGCAAAATCTTACGACGCTTACAAAATCTCGTAAGCTTGGTAAGTTATTTTACGATACGAAGAATACTAAGGTTACGAAGAAATAATGAATACCCTCATTGTTACATATTTAGGTTATACAGCTACTTTTAATAATTGTGTATTAAGTTAGTCATTAAAATTGGGAAAACCCACCCGGGACGTAGACATGATAATAGGCAGAGATGGTTTTGTACTTCATCCCAGTTTCAGGAGAGGCCGTCAAGCAATTGTACCTTCCAGTGTCTTTCGTCGTCGTGATCCCCGTTTGACCCAGCGTCAATGTCGCAATATAGCGCTTGGCCGCTCCGTTCGTTTCTTCCATGGGAAGTCGCTTACCATCACTTCCGATGTTCTCCGTTGTCGTGTTCCTGATATAATTTGGGTTCTGAAATGGGCAACAGATTAACATTACTACAAAATTTTCGCGTTGATTATGCATCTTATGCATATGCACTAGTTTTACCCCATCGCCACTGTAGACCCTGTAATAAAATTATAATGCTTAAATTAGATGGTGTCCATTATTAGGTTAAGTGTGATTATATTATGAATATTGAATATGTACCATTCTGCCGGTCCATGGTGAGCAATGCAAGTCAAGATAAGACGAGCATCTCTACGAATATCTTCACCCACGACCAAATCGGTTGAACTATATTCGCCCATGTTTACTCGAACAGTTAAAATATCGTCTCCTTCTTGTACATCGTATTCTTGGTAAACAATAAATAATCAATTTTTGGCATACAATCTCTCAATTTAATTACTTATGTATGTATTATTACTTTCAGTCTATACCTTGGTAAACATTTGTTGTGACAGAATCCCACAACGGTGATAAGCTGGATATCCCTTCAAACTGCACCTGAAGAAAAACGATCCAGATCCACTGTGTTTTCTTAATTATGGTTGACCAATGCATATCGCAAATCTATCGAATACTTGGAACCCAGTCAAACTTTTTGCAGAATGTTCGTTTCTGCCTGTTTCCAAAATTAAATATCGCACAAATTCACCGTGAATTTGTAAAACAGTGGCAAGTTACATTATTACGCATTTGAAGTTTTGTAATAGTTTGATTCCATTTTACAGTAATATGAAGCGGTAAGCATCCTGTGTAATTGCTTCATAAATACATAGGTATCTTTAGATTCATGGTTGAAAGCATGGCAGTGTGATGAGCTTAATAATGGATTGAAGTACTTGGTTGATTTAATCAACATTTTTAGGATCAAACTGTCGGAAAACCTTGCAATAATGAACTTGAAATTGAGTGCATGTTACGTTAGCACCTAAAGTTGCAGAGTTTCAGTCAATGTAACACAATGTTTTTAGCGACTGGCGTTTTTATTACATAACATTTTTGCCAGTGAGGCATGGTTTTATTATTATATTGTAGTAGCAAAAGTGGTTTTCCTGGTTTTCTCGTATAATTGAAGCACTGTCAATGACTTGTTCCACATTCTATGGACGTGTATGATACAAATAACTCGGACTGTGAGTACCACAAAATTACATTTGTCGATTTATTTATTCGTAAATGACTGTAGGATTCTTACAAGATTTATTTAAAGCCAAACTATACATCTTCAAATGACCTGAAAAAGAGTAACCTTTCCGCTAATGCTCCTTTCGCAGGTTCACATTCGCCCTTTGGGTTCATGACTGTCCCAATGTGACAAATACATGTCGTCTTATGATTCTCGGCTCTGCATCCTGCAAGCGGACCACAAATATTCCGGTGTCTGCACAAATTAAAGCATTTTCCATTTGCACACTCCTCGTCCGTGTTACATTGGCTATTTTTTAAGCATTGAAGCCCAAGTTTACAGCCAAGACTTGTGGTCGGATCGCCAAAATGACCTGGTGCACAAACACATCTTTCGTCATCATGAAACCTTTTGCAAACAGAGTTTGGTCCGCATTGAAATCTTTTTTCATCGATGCAAGTCCTGTTGGGCATGCGATTATCCGACATTGTTGCATTCTGAAAGGACACACATATGTGGATAGTTAATTATCATGCAGTGTATCATGTTGTAAATAAATTTGCGTACCTCTTTACAATGGACGTTGGGGCTGCCGAATGGGAAATTTTCAGGACAATAGCACATGGGAACGTTATCTTTAACTTTGCACACCGCATTCCTCCCGCATTCGACAAAATCAACCTGAAAGTCAGGGTCACACGGGTGAACGCATTGGCTGCTTGTTTTGTGACACAAGTAATCAATTGATCGTGGGCAGTCTGAATCTTCTTTACATTTTAGCGTGCATCCAATTTCTGGATTTCCTTCGAATGGTCTGATACACTCGCAAATTGTTGAGTTGTTCTCCCTCGAGACACATTTAGCATTTTTTCCGCAATTATTGCAAACTTGGACTTTATTATGGACTGGTTCTGATTCAAGAGGGGTCTTGCCTATCGTTCTTGTTGTTGTGGCGGCTGTAGTGGTGACGGCGATGCTTTCAGAATCTTTCGCTATTTAATGCAAAAATAATTATGATACGTCATTGTACGTATTTATAATTCTACACATAAATTATTTATTCTTCATATTTCATTACAAAATATTTCGTATTGGTTCATCAAATCTTACTTATTGGATGACAAGCAATTGTAGCAATTCCAGTATAGTTTGTGGGGCAGATGCAAGTCGATTTTCCATCGGCAAGTACGTGAATTGCATTGACTCCGCACTGTTTTGTTGTCGTAATGTTCATCGTGTCCAATGGTAAACCTTGTTCAACACATTTTCCAGAAATGCAAGATGCATTTATATTATCGCAGTTGTCATCAGTAGTGCAGCTAATGGGGTAACATTTTATGTATGGATTTCCTTGAAACTTTGCCGGACAGGTACACGAGTTTTTGCCCTCTACACATTTAGCATTGATTCCACATTCGGGAGTGCATTGATAAGAAATATTTGTGCTCTTGGGTGTGGTGGTCTTTTCTGTCGTAACTATTGTTGGTTTATCAGATTCTTCATCCGAGTCTTCGTTGGATTCAGAGGATCCAACTTGTTCATCAATTGGGTAGCATTCGATGTCGGAATTTCCAGTCAAATTGGGTGGACATTGGCATAGCGCAATTTCGCTTGTTACGTTGAGCACCGTGTTGTTTACCTTCTTTACAACACACTCCGCATTCAAGCCGCAAGGAAAGGGGCTGCATGGAGTTATTGGATCAGACGTTGTTGTCGAAGCTGCTGCTCCTACTCGCTCATGGATTTTAATTTGGCCATCTTGTTTTGTGTACACGGAGAGGCAGTCCCTTCCGAAATATCCAGGGGCGCAATTGATGGTTGCACATACAGGGGACCGATTTATTACGCGACACTCGGTTCGACGAAAGTGGACGCAGGCGCCTTCGCAAGGATTTTTACATCTGCCAAGCACGCACGCTCGATCGGATGGACAGTGGCTGTTGACCTCGCACTCTGCTCGACAATATGGCGGCTGGCCGTAGTACCCAGGACGACATGAGCACGATGTAAAACCATTCCGTTGATTACAAACGCTGTTTGCGCCACCTGATTTAAATATAAGCATTTTTTAAGTAGAAATAATGCTACTCTGTGACATGCACATTTAAAATTTGAACTTTCTTTACATGGATTCGGATGGCAAGGGTCGAGCTGCTGCTGTACTTGTTGCTGTTGATAGTGACTGTGGCACCGAACATACGGGTCTCCTTGGAATCCTGGAGCACAAACGCAACGAGCCACGCCACCATGTCTTTCACAAACAGTGTTCAACCCACCTGTGCATATTCATTTATACTGTTTAAAGTTGTAAATTACAAATATCACATAAGACACATTTACTATGGGCGTACATGGTGTAGGTGTGCATGGATCTTTTTCAATGCTCTCAGGTTTAACTTTCACATAACAGGCATGGTATGGGTCCCCAGTGTGACCTATGATAAGGCATAACTTTCTTATTTTATAAATCTGACACACAGCTTATCGTATAATATAATACCTGGCAAACAATGACAGCGTGGAATATGATTGGTCACATCGCACTGCGTATTTCGACCACAGACGGACCCACACGGAGAAGTGCAGGTATATCCACCATTCTTATTTTGAATGCAAGCGTGACTAGGTTGACAATCACTGTTTCTAGAACACGTTTCCTTTATTTGAATTGAAATTGGCTCATTTTCTGTCAATTAACATCACAAGTAAATTTATTAAACTATTCGTAGCGGGATATGATGCGCACAAAAATCTTACCTCTGATTAACGTGTATCTTACAACATGATAAGTGTTATTGAATCCGGCAGTGCAAACGTAAGTTCCTACAGGGTCAAAATGGTTCGAAACCTTGAGTTCGAAGCCTTTCGAAGAGTCGTAAGTGATCGAGTCGTTGAGTGGGCAGGTAACCAAACCCTGTACGTAAATAAAATGGCATGTTAGATAATTGAAGGAAATCAACAAATCAGGAATCAAGTAGACCATAAAGTACACAAATAATTACGTTTATTGATTTTTGCAATGATACAGCTGCCTTCGGATTTGAGACGCTGCATGGAATTCTTACAGTTGCGTCAGTCTTTTTGAAATAAATTATTTCACCTTCTGGATTAAGGAATAGTTTGCCGTCTGAAACGCATTATTTCAAGAGTTTTACTTTCCATACTAGACGTCAATTTTCAAGTAAATAAATACTTATTTATATTACCCGATACATAAAGGTTATAAAAAACTGAAAGATCAGGATTCTGCAGACTGCGGCATGTGTAACGGCCGGAATCATGGTTGGATATCGGGCGTCGGAATCCCAAGGAAATAGAGGCAGCAAACAAATTGTCAGGTCTGGTTATTCCCCCCGAATTTTGCGTTTGTGTCGTATTTGTGGAATACTCTGGCATGCCATCCCCTTGGTAAACCCATTGCACGGGGTACCGGGCGTCACATTCAAATATTAATTTACTATTTGGTTGAATATCTTCCCCAACAACGATATTAGAGTTTGGCAATTTGTCCACTACATGTTCCTCTTCCCCTGCCTCCAACTTGGTAGCTGTTACCACCCGAATTTCAAAGATTTTTATAACAGGAAGTTCATTTCTGAAATTCGCACCTCGAGAAATGCAAATGACTTGAATCAATATGATAAAGCTTATGGTCAATGAAAAAGACGGCGACGACATGATCAAGTCTTGTGAACTTGTGGAAGCCAAGTTGACAAATAGTTGAAACCGATGAAGATGTTGGAGTCAAAATCTCCGAGGTTCTCAACCCCACGAAACTTCCCATATCTCAAAGCTCAATCGCCACTTGAAAATCTCGTTAAAAATATTATTGTCAGAGGTACCAAGCATTAGAAATAAGTAGCAGCAATAGAATAAAGTCTGCATGGACAATGTAGCTGCGTACTCTTCAGACAGCAGCAGCAGAGGGTTGCAAATATTTTACATTATTAGCAGCTCAAGAAAAAAGTAGTTGTTGCTCGTCTCAACAATGACCATTATTCAGTCCATTGTTACGGCGACGATGATGAGAGCTCTTCTTCTACTGCGGTTGCTGTTGCCAGTAGTCTGGTGAAGTTTACTACATATGTACTGCATTTTCATATGATTGTTTCCCTTCCATTTGCAGCGTCTTGTCAAACTGGTTCCATTCCTTATTATTATTGCATTATGTAGCTTGGTGCAAAGTTAAATGAATAATTTCTTGTCCGTGTCTTCCGTGGTTCGCCTTTTACCGGTTTGTTTCCTTTTTATATTCCAAACCATATTTCAAAGTGCTCTCTCATGTCGTGAAATTAGTCATTATTTACAACCCGCACGAATTTTTGCAACTTGTCAGCAATCATGCAAAGAATGTGCGTTGTTGGCCAATTTAGAAATATTTAGAAGATGGGCGGTTTTCTCTGGGCTGGTCATGCATACATACATAAGTCTTGGAATTAATGAGTGAGAACTCGAGATTTGCTTATAATTCATCGCTTAATAATTTTAAATTGTGGATGTAATATTTTCTGATGTTGTGTTAAGTCATCATCTTTAAGTTGACTACAGTGAAGAACATATTGTTCAGTCAACATTGAAGTTATTGTACATATTTACATAACTCTAACATTGAGCCACATTTGGTTGTCAGTGATTGAATTGTATTGATCAACTAATGATGCTATAAAGCTTTACGATAATATGTTCCTTAAAAGTGGAATATGTTCATAAAAGAAAATTCCCGAAAAAATTTTGTTGCTTTAAGAGTTTAATGATTTTTTTTGAAATCACGAAACATGTCTGGGATTATTATCATTGCCATCAGAGACAACTTTTGGCAGTTTTGCAAATTTTGAAATGTTAAACAGTAAAGTAACATTTCTGCTCTAGTTCATTGCGAAATTTATGTATAATGAAGTGTAGGCGCAAAATATGGCACACGTTGTATGGGACAAAAGACAACGTCAATATAATGACCCAACAACATACTAATGACGAGAAGACGTGGTACATATGTAGGAATATTCATGTCCGAGAAATGCTTCGCCCACAGATTTCTTTATAAGAAAACTTATTAATGATCCCACTCCCGATACGGATTATGCATGAGACTCTTAATACGGTTGTAAATTAGCATGTTGGATGAATTGTCTATGATTGACGTGCTGATAACGGAATTTTTTCAAATTGCAATTTATATAAAACAAGAAATGTCTCGTATATTTGCAATAATTTTGTTTACGTAAATGGTGGATTGGGAGTTGTTGTGTTTGGCACTGAACACTGTACAAGTATACGTATATTTAAGTAGTTTGTTTCATTTTTGTAAATAAGTAATAATACGTTAATTAATACATTTTCAGAGTGGTCGTTTCACAGCGCTGGCGTGGTGGCATAAACCATCGATGCAAGACTCGTTAAACATACAGTGTGAATCCGCTTTGCATCGATGTTTGCATTTTGGTGGCTGACCAGTTGAATCAAAATCACAACTGCAAAATGCTTTTCCATTGTAACTTCTGCAGAAGCTGTTACTCCCACCTGTAACAGAATGGAGGCCAATATTAATTTAGCTTTTGGTGTATTGAACATGTCGACAGAATTAAATGTGTTTATGCATACATGGAGTTGGGTCACATGGATTTGTCTCCATTACAATCACGGGATGTTCGGCCCCCTCGTCATCCCCTCTTGGATTGCACCCAGACAAAGAATAAGGGTTCCCCTGGTACCCTTTTCTGCATAAACATTCCGAAAAGACCCCATTCGCTTGCAGGTTTCCGTTGGCTCGAATCATATCAAAGTATAAAGCCTCCTGTCTGTTCTGTCTCAATGTGTTTCTGTACTCCTCCAACTCATTGAACATTACTGCCCTGCAGACCGTATTCCTCCCACAATTAAGCTTGCAGGGATGTTCGGGCTCATTGTCTGGGACGGCGAGTCTTTGACAACCAAACTTGGGATCTCCTTCGTAGCCCAAGGGACACGTGCATTTTACAATGTGATTCAAAACAGCGCAGTTGGCCGTCTCACTGCACATCCAAGAACATGGGTTAACACATTTGCGTCGATCACAAACGTTATCTTCGGCACAGTCAAAGTTGTCGCGACAAAATCCAGAGGCACCGCCTCGTTTCTCATGAATGCAATTTGGAGGAATTCCCGTTGCGTTTTGTGAGCATTCACAAAATACTTTTCGTCCAGTTACTGTACAAACGCTGTTTGGACCACACCCATCACACGCTTTTACCGCATCGATCTTGTCAGTATGAGGGTCACATCGGATATTTGGATTCCCTTGGGTTCCAGACGGACAGAAACATTGAACATCAAGACCACGAATTCTACACTTTGCTCCGAAACCACACCGTGTGCGATTGCAAAGATGTTTCTGCAAATCTACATCATTGGTTGTTGTGTGGTTATTGATTATCTCTGGTTGTCGAACGGGTTCAGGACGATGTTTCACCTGAGAACAGGCCCTATAGGCATTTCCGGTAAAACCTTTTGGGCATACGCAAACTGCACGGAGACTGTGACGATCAATTTTGCAGTGCGCATTAAGTCCGCATAATGATGGGCTACAATTTGGTTGATGTTTGTTTGGCTGACCGAATGCTGATAGGCACCCTTGACTATTTTTTGAAAAATACGGATTGCCGTTAAATCCTGGCAAACATTTACACACTGGACTATGATTCAGAGAATGACATTCTGAATTCTGGGCACAGAACGGTGTGCTATTGTTGCTGCAGACATTTTCGCAAAGTCCAGTTCTTTGGTTGCAATACGCATCCCAAGCACAATCATTGTTGTTCGTACAATGAGGGGAAGCAGTCGTGGGTCTTGCTTGTGAAGCTGCTGGCTGGCAAATAGTTGGCGATCCTTGATGATTCCCTTGACATGTACAAACAGGGTGGCCGTTAACCGGGATGCAAGGATTGTTTCGACCACATGGATTTGGTGAGCAAGGATCTTCCTGAGCATATTGTTGAAAATGTTCACTGATTTTGTTACACATCTTCCAAGGATCGCCAGTATGATTCTCATAACACACACAATGAGCCGCATAGTCAATCACGATGCATTCTGCAAATTTTCCGCAAGTAGAACTTGTGCAGGCTGATCGCAGACCGGACGAGGGCCGAATGTTGTTTGGAGTAGAAAGCGTTGGTGTGGGAGGGAATATTTGTTCCGCGTCACTTTCTATAAATTAAATTTATGTACATAGTATATATAGATTCATATCATCGTTCATATGATTTAATACAGGAAAGGTATGACAAACCAAAATTTGATGATGGTTCTTGAGAGAAAATTTTGTACTCTGCTTCGTCCTCTTTGCCCCTGAATGATGCCTTGCACACGAAAGTCGTAGACCCTTCAGAGTTGACCATTGATATGGGAATGTAGAATCCTGATTTTGGACTATACGTAATTTGCGAACTTGCTTCATTATCATCATATGATGTCTGAAAGGATTATTGATTGGTTATATTTCATATAAATCTGACAGTTCAAAATTTGCATGACGGAATACAGACGTACTTTCGACAATTTTTCCAACGTGACTCTCGCTCCAGGGTGAACAACGCTGCAAGGTATTCGGAAATAATTTGCTTTAGGGTATTCCAGTCGTTGCGCCAACCGACTTGGGACAAACACAGCTCTTGAGGAATCTACACATAAATATGCACGAGTGACGTAAAATTCCAATCGAATAAGTAATTATCCCAATCTTGGCTTTAATTTTTGTCACCTGGGACATATAAGTAGACCGAGTTAAGGATCCCTGGATCATTATTGGGCGATATGCATGTAAAGTTTCCACTATCCTCAGCACTCAGGGGCCTTTCGAAACTTAGAAAACTCCAAAAATATAAACCATGAGATGTTCGTGTTGTGTTTGTATTCGTTGTGAATGCTGGGGCCTGTTTTGTTCAAGAGCAGAATATATTCATGATCTATACGTTCAATATTTTTCACTAATTTGTACTTTTACGATTACATAATATGTAAATTTACAAATTTTCATAATCAAAATTATGCATATTCTATTATTACCCCATCTCCCTTATAGGAAAGTGTAACGGGTCCATAGCCACTTCTGCACTCCAACACGATGACACTCGTCTTACCCACATCTTCTCCGTAAATTATGTCAGAGTTTCTGCTAGTCAAAACTTGCACCAATTTTCCACTAACATTGTCAAACTCCAGAATCCTCAAGCGTAAATTATCCCTTTCTACTGGAATACTGAGCGAGGAAGCCAACTCAAAATTTGTCACAAAACTACAACACATCACCACTAGAGGCAAGAAGACGAATCCCTTTGTCGACCTCATCTTGGACATAGTGATCAAAACTGATACGAAAAATATGTATTTTCGCAATATCGAGTTACCCGGATGTGCAACGTGATTATTAGGTACAAGAAAGCTGATGGTGATGACATGTATGTCGATCTGTATTGTGAATGATGTACGATGATGATGAGTAATAACTACTAACAATCAAAAATAATCACCTCGTCTCATTTTATCTCGTCGCCAAAGGTTCAAACCTCCATGGAAGGAATGCAATAAACGAGTGCACTCCTCATCATGTTTGGTTTAAGACCTAGTCAAGGATGAGCAAATGAAGAATGACCATTCCTGGATATTAATATGATGCGTAACTGTCCATCAATTAAGGATCACACATAATATACTGCACTGCTTTAGTACGCCCATACATGTATGCATTTATTTTCTGCTATGCTGTGTGAGTTTGTGTGAAGAAATACTTATGTTAGTGAGAGATGAGTAATGAGACGATGGTGTTGTAACCCAACCTATCCCACCCAAATTTGCAACAACACGCAATAATAACAGGAATGTCTATGTGCAAAATCTTGGTGGTATTATGCATGCCTTCCTTATACATATTCTTACATTATTTGTACATGTCTTCTTATCCATCATCTGCCAAGTTGAGGTTAAATCAAGAAATTTGGTTCATTCTTTATTTCATATTATAGCCATACATACCTGCAGAAAATGGGAAAGGTGGTCTGGTGGTTGTAAGTTTGAGCACAATAAACAACCAAATACTTACGAGTGGCCTTCTTTTACTCCTTCAGTCAAGATTATTTTGCAGAGCTTCCATTTTTCATCTTTCCTGTCCATCTTCTTTATAGCTTGTATCCTGTGTCAGAATTTGGCTTTGCTAGGTTAAATAAATAAACGTTTGTTGTCCAGGAGGACACAATGGGACTGAAAAACAATTAACGATTCGCAGCAAGTGCGTATTTATTTTATGGTGTGACTAATCGTATGTGAATGCTTGATCTGCGATTCCTGCCCCAAACCGCAGGACTTTCGCATTGTTCAATTTTGGCTATAATGAGTCAAACTAGTATGTGAAAAAATTTGGATCTCATCTATTCATTTCTTGGAACCAAAATAGTGACCCAATCACCCACTGTTCTGGTAATCACCGTGTAATATAGTACACAGGTACAGTGGGCGTCGAGACAAAGTCATAAAACTGATGAGTTGCTCCCTCCAGCAAGAATAAATCTGACGACTTGTTTTTGATGCCGAACTGGACTCACTGCAATTACTTGGATGATGTCATAACATTTTCACATACTAATAATTTTTAATAATACATGTTACACGCTTGTAACATGAGATGTGTCAGAAAGCCGGTTTATTTCATATGTGTGTTGCTTAATCTCACTCGTAGGAGTATATCCGCAAGCATGGACAATTTTTATTTATATTTCACATTTTTTTTTATTTTCTAGTTTTTTTTTGTAGAATGAAAAACATTTCGCGTCATTCTTCTGGCACAAAATAAGGATCATCGTGGCCATTGATCGTGAAATTTATATTGTGTAAACCTTTTACGGTGATTTGCGATTAAAACAACAATTCAATCCAAGTGCGAGTGAGAAAACATTTGTACAAGAGCAATTTCATTGTCTCTCTTCCCATAAAATGTCACACTATTTAGACTAAAATGGTCTCAGTCAGGGGAAGGTGTTTGTCCTTAGCTTATGTATGTATTTAGTCTGTTATTGGACCTTATTTGTATAATATGTACTAATTTCCATATGTACATATCCAATCTATTAAGGACTGATGAGTGAATTAAATCGTATGTGTTTATTACTGCATTAATACTCTTATTAAATATGATGCCTTCAATTGCATGGAGAATTTAAAAATATTATCTATTTATCACCAAAGTACTTAAGTATACTATGCATAGTACTTATATGTAGTTGTATCATATCTTTGTATTAGACTAATTAATTGGAATATGGAGTGAAATGTCGGTTGTTGTGGTCGTGTCTTCTACTTTTGTATCAGTTGATGATGTCGATGGCGGTTGCCGTTGACTAGACCTTTTCCGTTCAGAATCTAGAATAAGATTACCATCGTTCTTAATTTCCTTGGGTACCATCAAGTAATTTGAACTGCCACTTTCAGATTGCTCGGTAATGGATTCAGTATCTTCAGGAATATTGGTGATGTCATTCTCTTCATCTTCTTCTTTCTCCTCTTCCTCCTCCTCCTGCTCGTGTTCAGCTCCATCGTTTTGTTCTTCAGTTTGTTCTTCTTCCTGTTCTTCGTTAGCTCCTTCCTCTTGTTCTTCAGTTGTTGGAACGGGGCTGGAGGTTTCTTCACTACCATCCTCATCAATTTGCTCAGTTGCCGAAATTATTTCCGTAATCGTTGCATCCTCCTCCTCTTCCTCCTCTTCTTCTTCATCGTTTTCATTTTCGCCTTGTGCAAGCTTGGGGTCAATACGTTTCTTGGATTTTCTGGTACTGCGATCCGATCGATCCGATTTTTCAACAGTGTTTCCATTGTTTGACAGCTCGTCATCAGGAATTGCTGATGACTTTTCACCCGAGGAGGCAGTTGCGGAAGTGATGCTTAATTCGGGCGAGGGTCGCTTAAAAACTTCACCATTTTTTTCTTCCAGTGAACGCTGACGAGAATAAATTTCCTGAAGAGCGGCTGCAATTCCTAAATAAGTTCTTCTACGAATTTTTCCTTCTTCGTCAAGTTCAAAATCAGAGTCGAAAATGTCAAAATTTTCATCCGCTGTGCTGGTCACTGGCGTTTCTTCTATTTCATCGGGTGGCTGATCATGCATAAATTCGTAGTTGTCTTTATCATCAATTTCATCAAGCCACTTTTGCGTCGGTCGTTTTTTCTTATTTGCGTTATCATCATCAATCTCACTTGCCAATTTGTGCCACAACTTGTTGGACAAGTAGTCCAGGTCGTGATGCCTCTTGCACGAGGTGATGGTCACTGGTCGTTTTATATTGTCATTCAACACTGGAGGCAAAGGAGTTCGGCTGGTTTGCCATGATATGACTGAATACAAATGTCCCCGTCCTCGACATTGGCCTGCAAACCTTGCCCACCTCTGCTGACCTGCCATCACTCCTGCCATAACCCACGATTTCTCTGACATGTTGTCATATTTGAAATCGTAGCTCTTCTCGGATTTCTCTGGTCCAGGATGTTTGCCATTACGTTTGGGTGTTTTCTCTGCTTGTGTGATGATTTCAAATAGCTCGTCATATGCTTGCGCACCTAACTTTTCGGCTTTCACGACCTGACCTTCCTCCAATAATAGTTTTCCCAGCTCCATTAGTGCATCGATTCTGAGAAGCTGTAGTTTATAAGTGTGTCCAATTTCCCATTCTTCGCCCAGGTGTTCCATTGCTTCTGGAATAACGTGTTTATGCTTGCTAATCACGCCAAGATTACTATTAGCGATTCCAAGTGTTTCATAATCATTGACATTCTGTGATTTTGTTTTCAGTTGGCGAAAAACATTGTACGCTTGGTTGTACAGTCCTTGTTGATTGAGATATGATCCAAAAGTATACAAAGCGTGGAAGATGCAAGAGCTATTTTCTCCTAGGAAGTAAAATGTTAGAATTAGAGATTGATATCCTTATCGAGTGCTTCTAAATAGGTAAAACATACCTTCATTCGCAAACGTTATGGCGTCAACAAAAGTTTGCTGATGAGATTGTTGAATGTCGTTGTGTTCACTTGAACTAATAATGCTGATTAAGCTGGCTGAAGAATATGTCCGAATGTGGCGTTGAACGTCCTTGAGTAGACTTAAGGTGGATATAATGCATGCCATGCGATACAGCGACGTATTTCTTAGGGTTACAATCTCATTCACTGCAAATTCATTAAAAGACAATTTTTTTATATTTTACAAATAATCCTCGTTTACTAGTGTGGTGTACTAATCCACTGTACAACTAATTTTTAATCTAACCTGTCGCTACATTTTCATAATTGTGCCATCCGTGTAATGCAACTGGTCGCTTAATCGCAATTCGAATGGTGCCTTCTCTCTTTGGACTTCCTTTGTGAGCCATTACACTGTACATTTTCTTATCCTTGTGATCACCCAGCATTTCGAAACATTTCTGCAGATGTTTGTGAAGCTCGTTCAAGTTCACTTCATGTTCTAAGTTTTAACACAATATTGATAAGTAACTAAACCAATCACATTGTAATTAAAGCAGCGTTATTATTTACCCATCATTAAAAAATACGCCTTTGTGAGATGAACTTCAGCAATGATGACTCTATTTTCAGACACTGTTTGATTCAATTTCGCCAAAAATTTAAAGCAGCTATTTGCAATGCAAACGGAAAGGCGAGAATCTTCATATTTCTGCTCCAAGATCTCTGCTAACTCCAATCTTGAAATGATGACCTTATTCCACTGTCCTTTAATTAAATCATATTTAGTAAAATTTCATAGTTAAAATAATATTTTTAAAGACTCAAAATTTACTTGATTCCGCAAACCCGTGTTGTTCACAGAATATCGTGGACAACAAGGTTAGTTTTTCCAAGTCTTCCCCAAGAGGAGTCGAGGTTGGAATGCATTCGCGTTTCTCTCGTGCAATCTGTCTTTCACTCGCATCTTCACGAATTAGTTCTCTAATTTCAGTGGCAGCATTGTGAAACCCTGTTTAAATGTTGATATTGAAGTTTTGAAGGATTGAATAATCTTAATCTAAATGTTGTCTACGGTAATTGTGAGTTTAACCTAACCTGCAATCATAAGTTGTCCAATAATCGAATCCACTGGCAGTGTTTTTCTAGGCTCTCTGCATAAGTTGAACAAATTTTAATAGACATAGCACATATGCAAATGCAACAAAATAGTCGTATCCATTCCATACTCTGCCAATTCTGCCATTGTTAGCAGTGGGATTTCCTTGCTTATTATTGATTTAGTCCTCATAAAATCGAAATCAATGGATGTCAACTGTTCTCCTATCAAAGGGGCGGGCGGAATACCTTCGATGCCAGTCCACACCTGTCGACGTTTATATGCCATCGTGATTAGTGGAAGTATTATGTACGTACTTTACGGCCAAGTAGACTTATATAAGTTTTGAGATATCACTGGTCAATTTGAGGAGTGAAAAAAATTGGCTCGGCAAGCCTCCAAATATTTTATATAATAAAATTTGAAGCCTGGGTAACCATTGTACATATGCACGTCGTGATATGTATATGTATAAAGCCAATTGCATAGTAGTAGTAAACTGACATTATTTGTTTGCACACCTCTCGAAATATTCTAAACCTTTTACTTTCTGTACTTTTTTTGTCTTATACAATGTTCGTTATTGAAAAATTGTGTAGAATAATCTGACTGACTTCTATTCTAAGCAATAAATCGTTGGAGTGAATAATCAACCAATTTAGTTTTCATATCAAATACTCAATAATGTCTCCAATAAGTTACTAATAATCATCACAATAGGATAATGGCAATGTTTGGTGCACGTTGGGTCCCTTACTCTTTACTGGTTTTTGTGCTAAATACAATATTAACTTCTAATGGCAATCAGTTAAAATTAGACGCAGTATTAAATAGAATAACAAGATCAGTGGGGACGAAAAGATGCACGATATATTTAGCTAATTGTGACGCATGGATGTTGAATTTCACTGCGAATTCAAGTCCTAACAATACTCTCAACAAAAACAACTTCACCTTGGATGACCGAATCCTAATTGTTTCTGCTGAAGCGTGTTCTATCCCCATCACCACAAATAATACAAGCAGAAGTGCAGTTGATTTGAAGCTATTCGTTCCAAGATTTTATAAGAGGTGTTTAATTGTGATCACTCCAATTATTGTGCGGAATTTGTTGTTGAATAATAAGGACGCGTCAATAGTAAATAATATGTCATGCCTATACAAACAAATATTTATAAATCTGGGTCACGATTACTTCATCTTCCTTAACATGAGTCCATCTCTGCTAATACGAAATAAATCGGAAACGGTGAAACACAATCTTAGAAGAATCAAGAGAATGCTATTTTTGGATGTAAATGAGACTTTTGTTCAATTATCGTACACCTTCTGTCTGTATTGTCTTCCAAAGGATACTGTACAATTTGTGAATTTAGAAGAAACTAGTCAATCTAAGGAGAGATATTTTCCCAATCATTTTTCCAATTTGCAAAACTACGTCTTTCGTGTCACCCTATCAAACGGATGCTCCAAGCAGGACGAAGAGACAATCACTAAAAATTGGCGTGAATTCTATTTTCTACGAATGCTAGGACAAAAGCTAAACTTTAGTTTCCACTTTATTGAAAAATGGCAGAAATTTTCGTATGGCGTCCCAACATCGAATGGAGCATGGAGTGGGATAGTGGGTCATATTGTAAGTGGTCATGCCGACCTTTCTGGTGCAGTTGCAATGACATGGGAGAGGAATTCAGTACTGGAATTTACATCCTCATTGTTCTACATTTGGCTCACCTTCACAACGGGTGGACATAAAATTGACAAATCGTGGGATCCAGTAATTCTTCGAACCTTCGATCAAGATTCTTGGAGATACCTAAGTTTTACATTTCTTGGATTTGCTTTTGTTTGGACTGCTTTAAAAAAGATCTCCGCTTCCACTAATAATTCGATAAGAAAGTCAGGAAACTCATCTGCAATTTCCTTTTGGCAGATATTGGAGCAAATGTACTTCATTTTTCTTGGCCAGCCCTTCAACCGATCGAGTAGGCGATGTGAAAACACTTCTGCCGGAGTTCTCGTGATTATTTGGTCCTTTGCTTGTATGATAATTTCGACATTTTTTGTGTCTAAACTGACGCAATTCTTAACCTGTCCACTGGTCACGCCACCCCCGTCCACTTTTGACGAACTCTCATTGTCGGATTATGCTGTGGAAATGCATTACACATTAAAAGGTGGGGCTGGTGAAACGTACTTGTCCTCAGATAACGCGTCCAACGTAACCAAAAAGTTGTACGAGATGAGCAATCGAATCAACGAATCTTCATCATTTGTTGGATGCTTCTTGAAAGGACTAATTTCAAATCGGGCATGTATTGGCTACAATGTTTACGTCGATCTAGCTAACGAATATTACTCTGCAGTGACTAATAATAATCTGCCAGGATTCACGATTGCACCAGATGTCAACTTTTTTGTGCCCACATGTATCGTTATGGAGAAAGGGTCCGTTCTACCCCCCGTTTTCAGTCCATATATTAATCATGCAGTAGAAACTGGTTGGCCAAGTCATTGGAGAAGATTGACAATTTATCAACTGAAAACTAATGGAATATGTGACCCGAAATTGGAAAGATCTGATATTGAAAATATACAGCAAGGCATTCATCAGTATTCACGAGGGAATTCTCGTGATTTTCTAAAGCTTGAAGAGTTGATGAGTTTAAAACACATTTTCACTCTTAACATTCTTCTGATAGGAATTGCATTTAGCATCGAAATGTTGACTGAAAAGGCTAAATTATTGGTCCGTAGTGTAAAGTTCAGGGTGATATTGTTAATAATGATATTCCCCTCAACCACCAACAACTACTTACCTTAAATCTACAATTATCTATTTGCTATACAACAAAGTTTCACCTATTTCACCTACATATTTGTGAATACTCGGTATTTATATACACTTGGCACCAATTTCCACTTTAACTTGTGTATATTTATTTAAGTGGATTCCTTAAAACGGCAGTGTAAGTCTGACACCTGCGTTTATTGATTTAAAAAAGTGGCTACTCATGCTGCCTGCCAGGATTTCTTAAATTTTCAGACGGTTCTAAGGCCAAGCTAATTTTGTATATGGATATATATAGGATCTGTTAACGTCAATATTATTATGTGTATCAAATCGAGTATATAGTTTAAATCCTGCTGCCAGAGCTAAATTTGGCATTCCAATTAAATTATTTCCGGTCAAACAGCTTCTTAAGCCTTTAATATATGTAACGACAAGATGAGAGTGAAAGAATGCATGAATTTCTCTAAAGAGCTATTGAGACGGTTGATTACTCATCGTAATCACGTATTTATAAGTGGTTATACATTAGGTGTCTGTCTGCAAATATAAACACGTACATAGGATGGAAATGCGATACTTCAATGCGTAATGGATTTTATCTAGAAAGCGTTTTGTTTTTACCGAATGATAAAATGCACACCAAGGATGAGATGAAAGTGCATAGTTTGTTGTAGGTACAATGGTTTGTTTAAACGTTTTACACGACAAACGACAAACCTTTCTCAAACATTTTTTGACACTGACTTTTACTTTAGGAAGTTACCTACTTATTAAATATATCCTTAAACTTGTGCCCGTATTTTGTGGATTCAAGAATTTCCAATTATCACCGAGAAGCTATTAATTCAGACAAGAATCACTCAACGGTCTCATTGTGCTTTGGCATATCGACACAACTACACTTCAATTTTAACATCTTTCCCAGAGCAAAATAAAATGACTTTCAGTATGAAGATCATTTATTGTGTTGCAATAATTTCCATCCAATTTTTAATTACAATCAGTGCTCGGAATGTTCTAAACTCTGAAATTACTTTCCCAACTCCACAGCCATCTCAGGACAGCGTTGTTGAAGGCAGGTCCTTTCTAGCAGGTACGTACATCTTAAGGAATTATAATTATTTTAAAATCAATGTTTTCCAAATTATTTATGACTTCACTCGTTCTCTCACGTCAGAAATCTCAGATTTCTCTGGAAGAAGTTTGATTATCAAAAGTTTACTCCTGGCTCCATTAGGAATTGCGCTAGTTCTACTTTCAGGACTTATTTTACTTCCAATTCCCGTAATTTCTACTGGAAGGGGAATAAAAAATGGTAATAATGCAGTCGACCTAGTCAAAAAAGTTATCACGAGCGAGGAGTGCGTGGAGAGAATTTCATGCGAAATTTCCACTTTCACGAGAAATTACGAGGCAACATCCTGGATTCCCAGGTACTTTAATAGTTTTAATTATTTAACTAGCATAAACTTGTGTAATGTTTAATGGTGGATTTGTTGTTGGTTTTTATGCAGAAGGATCGAGACATTTATGAAGAACAGTAGCTTGCATGAAAAAATCTCCCGTGGGTTCAGTGCCATTGACAAATGCAAACAGTTTACTTGTCACCCAATGAGATTGCCAAAAAGATCGGATAGAACCAGCACACATAGCAAACTGCATAAATAAATTATTCAATACAAGGTTAATTGTTACAATAATTAAACATATGTATTTGTTGTGTTTTTATACCAAGGTTTTTATCAATTTTATTTATTTTAACGAATAACAAAGTGTCTGACATAGTAAATTGAGTTTAATCTTTTTTAGTAAATTATTTTTCTGTTGGCTTGTAAAGTGCGGTATTTTGACGAGAATATCAAAACTAATTACAAAATTTGAGAAATGACTCCTGCAGCAATTGTAATACCAGACGACCTGAGGGTGAATCTGCCCAACTCTTTTACATCCCTATAAATAAGTAATAAATATATGGATTAAAGAAGCATGTAAATTCGATCATAAATTGTTTGAGGATATTTTTTAGTGAACGTTTACTTGAATTCTTCAAGGCAAACACAGCGAAGGGCTTCCAGTTCAATAATCCCGTTAGAATTTTTTGGCAAGCACCGTGGTCTGGCTTTGATGACCTCTCCCGTACCCTTGTTCAGCTGGCTTATCAATCTCGTTACCGTGACTTGTTCACTTATTGTCCCAATGTGCATAACTCCTGTAAATCCTTTGATCAATGGTACAGCCATCGCATCAAATGTAACGATTCGTGCTTGCAACTTGGTGGCAATTTTACAAGGGAAATTTGGATCACTAAGAACACAACCAATGGACACTACATTCATGTCACTGTATCCTTGAAGGGACAGAAGAACTGGATCTCCTGCAAAAGCCTTGTTCCCAAGACCTTCATCCAATGTAATGCCTGTGATTAATTATATTATTAACTCATCACCCTTGTCTATGACATACATCCATATTTTCAACAAACGTATACTCACTTTTTACATTAACAATTTCCCCTACAGGTTGTATCATTATTTTATCTCCAGCTAGAAATGAAAAGAATTAGCCCCCGAGTTTATAAATGTTATACTGTACAATTGACTTACCCTGAACCATCCCGGTTTCGACTCTACCACTGACGCACAAACCCCCTGTTCCTTTGAATACGTCATTGACTGTAATTCGGAGAGGTTTGCCAACTGGCCTCTCTGGAGGTCGGAGCGAATCTGAAGAAATGCATTGCATATTACAATTGCACACATTATTCTTTGAATTATTTTAAAAGTATTACTGATGGCTTCCAATAATGATGGGCCATTAAACCAAGTCGTTAGTAAAGGTTCAGTGGATCTCGTTGATAAATTTTCGCCAACCAAGCCACTACATGGCACATACGTCAAGTCTGATTCTTTAAACCCAGCTTGTTTGGTCAAAAATGTATTCAACTTGGCATGAATTTCGTCAAATCGGGATTTGGACCAGCTGACGTTATCCAACTTATTTACTGCAATGATTAGCTGATTGACACCTGAGTACAAATAATTATAATAAGCTTCAAATAGTTCATTGTGCGTTCTCTCGTGTACAATTTAAAGCTTACCCAAAGATCTCACTAAAAATGCATGTTCTCGAGTCTGTCCACCACACTCAAAGCCAGTCTCAAACTCTCCATTTGTTGAATCTACAACCAAGACTGCAACATCTGCTTGTGATGCTCCCGTGATCATATTGGGAATAAAGTCTTTGTGTCCTAATTAAAATAATAATCAATAGTGACGCATTGCAACCAATATGTATCTGTAATCATGAATCATTGATTTGGTTGTTCTTACCTGGAGCGTCTAAAAGGACGATGGTTCTGGATTCAGTTTCAAATTTTGACTGCCCAACATCCATTGTAATTCCTCTGGACCTGATATTATGGACAGGGAAATAGATATTTGTTGTTCATTGTTAGGCCTTAAATCATAATCTGACAGCATTCGGTAACAGCTTATGATTAAATTCTGGCTCTACATGTACGCATAATGTACCTTTCTTCTCCTGTTTCATCCAGCACCCAGGCGTACTTAAAAGATTGCTTTCCAATTTTCTTTGATTCTTGTTCAAACTTGTGCATCGATTTCTTTGGAACTTGCCCCATTTGGAAGAGCAAATGTCCCATTAGCGTGCTCTTTCCAGCATCAACGTGACCAATCACAAGTAAATTGAGTAAATCTTTTCCGCTCCCCCTTTCTTTGGAATACTGGTCCACAGCAATTTCACCTTTGAATTCCACTTCCTTTTTCCTATGAAAATGTATCATTAATTAATATTAAGTGCAACGGAAGAAAATCAATATTTTTAGAAGTGATCGGAATATTTGTACTTTGACGTCTTGGTGTTCCTTGTTGTAGACGGAGAAGCGCATTTACTCCCACTTCTAGAGTCAACAACTTGGAGGGTAAGTGGGGAGCTGCCCCTGTCTTTCTCTTTAGCAGGCACATTGAATCCCAGAGTCACCGCAGCTTTGGATGCAGGGATTACTTTAATTAGTTCGGGTTTCTTAAAGAATGCTGGTGGTTTCACAGTGATTTGGGGTGGACCTAAAAATTGTTAAATATACACAATTGTGAATTAGTAGGCATTTGATTGTATTTTGTGCGAAAGGTTTTAATGTCTTTATGAAAAATAAATTATTAGGTCAACATGTGATAATTAAAAATAAAGAGCTGGATAAATTTATATGTCGAGTACTTTTTATTCTTTGGCTTTAGGGGAAATGTATACCTGCATACATTTAGGCTTTCTTTATACTCCAACAACTGAGTCGCGTTCATGATAATAACAAATTGGTATATTCTTATACAGTCTACACATTTAAAACGAGATCTGTCTACGTGCATTACTGGTAGTATCTTAAGTATACATATCTATAATATATCTATAAATATATAATCATAATTGTTAAATTGTTAATATATAATATCACTTTAATCATCCAAAAACAAACCTACAACTTTATGATTTATATAAATACTAGTAATATTGAGCATTTTGAATGACTGTAGAAATGACATTAAGATTTTGATTTATTATTTGACATTTACATTAATTGAACATTTTCTAACGTAATTTTAATTCCCAGTGTGTTGGCATGATATGATTCATGTAGATATAATTTGTCCAGTTTTAAAATTGCTGGACGGTGAAATAAGGCAAGTTGTTGTTCAATTTGCCTACTTTGACTTAGGAATCTTTCGCTTGGACGACTTCTTCGGACCTGTCTTGGGAAATTGTTTCGTCTCTACAAAGCTATCTACAGTACTTGTCTCAGGTGTCGCAGGTTCAGCTCGATCTACAAGATTGAGTGGTGTTCCAATACCAATACCAACTAATTTGTCTGGGGAAGGAGTATCAAACTTGAATACGCGATCAGCAAATTTTTCACTCAGCAAGATCCACGTTTGAAAGCACGGAGGTTCGTTTAGACCATGTTTCTTCCTTTGCTTTTTTAGAGCTGCTTCAGCTAGTCGAGAGCCAATTAAGGACGGTTTATTGCAAATAATCTCATCGCTTACATGATTACTAGTAATATCCCATTTGTCATTGATTGTTAAACCTTTATTTTTCTTTTCGGTTACTGGATGTAGGCTAGGCTTGGTTACAAAGGCGGCAGCGACTGGAGAACCATTGACATGTTTGGCTGGCATAATAGGCTTGGCAGAAAATAAAGGATTTGAAACGGGAAATATTGGTCGAAAGGACGTTGAAAACAAGGGATTTCCGGGAGCTGAAGAGTAACAATCAGACGATATTGGTGACTTGGAGAAAATGGGACTCTTTCTAAATAATGGATTTGAACCAAGTTTAGGAGAGGTGCTTGAAGAAGGAGAAGTGGGATCAACATTATTATTTGCTTGACTGAAAAGGGGATTTTTGTTGAGTCGGATATTACTCAACAGCCCAGTGTCGGATCTTGAGGTTGATGTTGGCGTTGATGTCGGAGTCCGAAATAATGGATTAACTTTTATATTCATTTTAGATTTTGATTCTTCCATTGCTTGTACGACTTCAGACCCTTCGGTGCCTTCTTTAATATTAACAGTATTACCGGGCGAATGATCTAAAGACGATAACGACGATACATACGCATTCCCATTCTGAAAATTAAGGTTCCCCTGAGTTCCATGATTTTTAGGCTGCAATTTTAACTTTGACAGCCCATGAAGTTGTTTATTTATTGAAGAATTCTCTTGAGTTTGAGTTGATGGCTTCGATGAAGTAAAAATATTGGATGTGGCGCTCGGTGTGGCTACATTTTATGATTTTTTTACCATTCATTTACTACATATGTTATAAATAAATCTTAAAATTAAGGGGCTGAAAAAAACAGAGAGTATATTTACCTGGATATACGTCCGTTTAAAATATAAAAACAATTTTATTGTTTGATAAAAATTCGTAGTAGAAGGAGCAGCATCACGAATCATAGAAATAAAATAAATATGAGTTAGCATACTTTCATTAAAGAATATTAAACAAGCCTTATAGCATTTCAACAACTGACCTGCAATTGGTGGTTTTGCAGAAGGTTCTGAATCTTGTTTATGCTTCTTCCATAAATCTTCCGCTGTAAAATGAGAATACGAATAAAATTTACTGAATATTGCAGTCAAATATAAAATCATATTAATAATGAATTTTATGATAACATACGCAGCACAGCAGCAGGATCCAGTTCCACTCCACTCAATATGTTATCCAAGGCCTTTTCTGAATTAAAATTGGCTTGAATAATGTGCGCTTTCATGATGTTATCCGTGACCGAATCCCCGCAAATATCTCGTATTGTTTCCAAGCAATGCTTCAGCCTGATTTCTTCATCTGCTCCCAATTTGGCCACTGCCGACTCAATTGACAAGGAGTCGAGCCGCCGTCTCGCCTTTTCTAGCCTCTTATCCACGGATTCTGTCGGAGGTTCAGCATGTTCCTCTGACTCTTCAACAATATCGTTTTCGTGACCAACAAAGTGAGACAGTTGCGTCTGTCTTGAATTCCGATCGTACAAATATTGAGAGGCTATTTCAATGTAAATGGTTAGATAATAGTAAATCTTTTAATTGTATTAGCATTTTAATCGTTCACTTACCACTTGGACTAACACCATAGTCATCGTCGAGAGAATGACCGTACACGTCATTATACCCTTCATAATCTAACATAAAGGGGAAAGAAGTCAAAAAATTAAATTGATCAACAAAATACATTTCGCCACTGAAAACTGTTCAAAAACTTCAGCTTACCGTCGTCATAATTCATAGTTCGGACATTTCTGTGCCGCGACATTGTGAATTTTGTAGAAAAACGTTGTCTTCAAATCAATCAAAATCGCCAATTTTGTACTTTCACTCGATTTATTACTTGAACCATAAACTGTACTCTATAACTTGGAAGTATTATTGTCACCAATAAGTAAAACTTTTGATGTGTGATTAATTTTATTATTTAAAACGTTTTAATAATTTCTAAATTTGTATTTATAATCAGCAGCCGAGTTGAACTCGACTGTGAGCACTGAGCAGATGTGGTTGTGGAAAAAACGAGACGAGCGAGTGTGTCGGTCAACAAGAAAAAACCTTGAGCACATTTATTTTGTTGAACACGTGTGAGCGCGAATGTTTCTCGTCACAATAATTTGCTGAGCACTATTATCTGTGTGAAATTTAGCCATGGCAGGCTTGGAGTTGGCCAAAAAATTACTAGCTGTTCGGATCAAAGGAGGAGGTTTCGATCGGCTACTGCACAAAGTAAGTTATTTGGTCCATATTTGGCAGTGTCAAATTGGCACTCTCATTTCTCATTGAGAAAATTGAGACTAGGAATTGCTGCAGAAGAGGTTGAGAAAAATGAGAACTTTTTGGTTTATGTAGGTGCGAATAACGGAGGCTGGGGGAGGTTCGCTTGTGGCGGAAATGAGGGTTGAGGAGGAGGACTGTGCCCCACAGAAGCGTTTCATGCATGGGGCCATGTCCACTCTGCTGGTTGACTCTTTATCGGGTGGGTATGTATATCTAGATATATGAAAAGTCAGATTTCTTGTCGTGTCGAAGAATGAAAATGAAGAGTTTGGGTGGGTGTGACAGGTATCGCCCTAATGACAGCGGAACATGTACAGCTTCAAAATGCTGGGGTTAGTCTTAACATCAACATGACGTGAGTAAGCTATATGTACATACATACATAATGTTGATAGCCTATCTCGGCATAAAGTACTATTGTCAAATTTTTCATTCAGGTATATGAAAGCAGCTCAGGTGGGCCAGGATGTCTTGATAAAGGCTAGGACTGATAAAGTGGGTTCAAAAGTTGCATTCTTGTCCGTGGAAATTCTCAGCAAGGCTACAGATGAATTGTTGGCAAAAGGAAGCCACGTAAAATTTATTGGCCAAGCTGTACTTCCAAAAGCGTAGGTAAAGGTAGGATAATGTTGCATATGTTGTATGTACGCGTCAATTAGAGACACTTATGATATATATAATCTAGATAACCAATAAATTAAGCATGCAGAATAATAACCATTCTAACTGCATTTATTCCATATTTCTTTTCTTAAATTATTCTTTGTGTTTACTCTCATACATTTTATATTTGGTTTTCAAAAAGTCCCAGAAGCATAAACTTAACAGCGTATTACTGGTACGTTTGGCTTTGTTTAATTGTCTTGTAATATTCGCATAAAAATTAATAAAAAAGTACACACTTAAACTTGTCTCACTTTGCCCCAGAACTTTATATTTCCCGCGTCTAAAAAAATCATTTATATGCACAAAAAATATGTTAGTTTTCAATTAATTGTTTCTCGAAAAGTAGCCAACCTATCGGGTCAAAACAAATGCACATCTCTTCTATACAAACGATAGTTTACGAAAAAAATTACTAGAACGTTCAATTTCTTATGGGGTCTTATAATATTGAATAAATGAATTGGTGGAATTTTTCAAAATTAAAATAATATGATTTTCAATTAATTGTTTCTGAAAAACTATTAATCGAATCGTGACAAAAAAAATTCCCACACATATTATATTAATGCTAGTTCATGGAAAAAATTACTAGAACGTTCAATTATTTAATGGGGTCTTATAATATTGCATCAAAAATTGACTAAATTTTCAACAAAAATCATCACTAACCACAGATTTTAAATTAATTGTTTCTCGAAAAGTACTTATCCAATCAGGTCAAATCCAATGCACGTTTGTACTATATTAATTGTAGTTTATGAAAAAAATTACTAGAACGTTCAAGTTTTATTTGGGTCTTGTAGTATTCGAATAAATTAGTTGGAAATTTTTTAAATAAATTTATATCAGCATGTATTTCTCATTTCGCCCCAAAATGAATTTCAAACTTGCCGCTCGTAAAGTCAATGCAAAAAATTGTACAGTTTTCAAATAATTGTTTCCCAAAAAGTACTTGTCGAATCGCGACAAAAAAAATTCTCAGCTGCACTATCATTATAGTAGTTTATGAAAGAAATTACTAGAACGTTCAATTTTCAAATGGGGTCTTATAATATTCCTTCAAAAATTGTTAAAATTTTCAAAATAAATTTTTGAACATAGCTTGACAAATTAGGCCTAAAAGTTGTTGGTGGTGTTTCCAGCTATTCCAGGAATGATGTTGGATACTTTCCGATCATTCCAGGGGGGGTTTGGAACAACCGATGAGGGTCATCGGTCATTCTTAGACCCCCCTTTAGAATGTCATTATGTCGTCAATTAATTGTTTCCCAAAAAGTACTTGTCGAATCGCGACAAAAAAAATTCTCATATGCACTATCATTATAGTAGTTTATGAAAAAAATTACTAGAACGTTCAATTACTTAATGGGGTCTCATAATATTGAATAAATGAAGTGATGAGTTTTTTATTCGAATATTATAACATGACTTGATGAATTTTGTCTAAAAGTTGTTGCTGGTCCATTCAGTCATTCCAGTAATGATGTTCGAGACTTGTCGATGATTCCAGAGGGAGTTTGGAACAACCGATGAGCCTTATCGGCCATTCTTAACCCCGATTTAGAATGACAGTGGGTTTTCAATTAATTGTTTCTCAAAAACTTTATCGAATCGCGATAAAAAAATATTTCTGTGTTTGTTTTTGTTCTAATAAAATATAAATGCCCACATGCCCAAGTTGAACCATAATTATAGCACCACCAAGCCAAGCCGGTGTCAGTCAGTCAAGATGAGACGCGATGAGACGCGTCTTTGTCGTCAGCTAAACGTAGTAGAGAAAGAGATCGAGGAGAGTGAGACTACCAAACAACCACGACACAATCGTCATTGCTGGAGAGAGATTCTGTCGTCTCAACACCATTCTCGTCACTCTTACTTCCATTATTTTAATCCACATAGTTTTCAATTATAAAAATTTAAATTACTCTTAATTAATACACTTGAGACATTTACTCGAATATTATTAAAAACCAAATTTAAAACTAAACTTCTCATTGCTGGTGATAAATTCGTCGTCTCATCATCATCGTCTTCACTTTTCGTCGACTGAATATCATTTAAATCAATTCTCGAGTATACGTTAAATTAATAATTCCAGTGTTAAGTTCGTCTCCTTGAATTAATAGACTCTACAAAGAACAAAATTAATTATCCAAAAATTTATTTCCAAAAAACTAAAAGTGAAAAATTGGTTCCAGTTTGAATGAAACAGCAAACAGTAACGAGTCATTCTCAATCAGGTAAGACATTGAATTACTTTTGCTTATTCTTGTGAGATTTTTTATAGAGTAAACGTGAAATTTATTAATGTTGATGTTAATTTTATCCTAATTTATGAATAATATATAAATTTCAGTACAAAATGCCCAAGAGGAAGAAGCAGTATGTAATTTCTTCCGACGACGACGACGACGATGCAGATCTGGACTACTATCCAAGCGACGACTATTCTAAGCTTTCGAAAGAAGACGAGTAGCTCTGTAAGTTGATTTGTCTCATTATATTTTGACTTTAATTTCTTATAAATTCATAATTATTCGTCTACAAAAAAATACTAACTACTTTTCTAATGACCTCTTAGTTAAGGAGAGCAGCTTGAACAATCGATACAAGTCAACGTCGACCACAAGAATGTACACAAGATCAAACCCAGTAAGCACTCTGTCAAGTTCTGACAATGAAGATGGTAAAAAAGAAAACCGTGAGTATTAATGCCACAATTGATTTAATTCAAAAATACTTAATAATCTCTTTAATAATTTCATTTATTATCTATGTATTATTCGTGTAATTACATATAGGTGCTTTTTAACCTGAGAACGAATTTGAACCTTAATAACTTTGTCTCTGTTTGTAATTATTAATTGAAATTTTGAGGATTGGTAAATACTATATAGTCAGCAATATTGACGTAAAATTTCAATCCACCAGTATCAAAAATAAACTTTCCACTGACCCTAAAATGAAAACATTGTGTTTCTAAGTTTTCCAAACATCAATTACTGGACACAACACTCGATGTTAAACTAATAAGTTCAACATGTACTACATATTTTGCCCTAGTGTCTGTAGCATTAGAAACAGTTGGAAGTTCGATAAAAAAATTACTGCCTTGACTTTCACATGAAGAGTTATAACCGCCTTAAACAAAACAATGGGAGCATCACCGTGTCTTTTTGACTCCTTACCCAACATTTGAAATCTTATAGTGGCAAAATAAATGGTTTCGAACTTTATGCTACCTAATCCAACTATGAGTTCAAAAAATAATTCAAACATCTTCAACCGCCTGCATGAAAAAAATTTAATTTATCATTTCATAAACTTACTCATGTACTTTTTTCATGAAGTAGCGTGGTATGGAAACAGTTTTAATTTTTAAAACTTACTTTGGATTATTTATAGAAGCCAGATAAATGACAAAAATAATCGCACCACATCAAATTATGTGCACAATTAGCAATTTTACAGAGCTTTAAAAATATAAATAAATTCAAAATTTCAGCAATTTTGAAAGTTTTTTTCGTAACATATTTTTTAGAGACACATTTCTCAAGTGTTACTTATGCTAGCGAATTGAAATTTTACGCCAATATTGTTGACTATAGTACCTGCCAATTATCTAAATTTCGATTCAAAATTGCAAACATAGCCAAAGTTATTAAGGCTCAAATTCGTTCTCAGATAAACAAGCACCGCTCTGTATTTGTATGATGGTTTGCACCAAATTTAATTAAATTTACTATTACACAGAAGCTCCTACATCGGGGTCATCACATGGACGATCCAAGGCAAAGACAGGTTCACTTAAACGGCGTCACCGCGATCGAGAACCCTCTCGCCCATCACTAATCAACAACAAAGATGGTGAGGTTTATTTATTCAGAAATAACTATATTATTCGTGTAAAAATAACAACTAAAGTAAGTATTTATACATTGCTTCTATTTCTATTTTTAGTTGCGCCACTAACAACTACCACTATACCGTGTTCTAGTACACGAGTATTTGATGATGACAATGATGACAAAGTCGGATCAATAAATGAAGGTTGGTAATAAAATACACGTCTAGATTAAAGAATTTATGACTGAACGTTTCCTATATATATAATATTGAAATATGTATGACCGTTGTGAGGAAAATGGGGTGTCATTTTTTAATCAATGGTCAATACACGAAGCAAAACGTGATAAAACGCGACAGGCACATGTGCATACCATGCGCAAAAAAGTTATACGTGCACAACCAATACTTCTCCGCTGTTGGTAAATGTGTTTATTAACTCGGTAATATTTTTGCTTTTTGTGTTCATACTCCCAGACACCGATGCACCTGCGGAAGAAAGAATCGTCGGCATCAGTCATAATGTTCCGCATCGAAAACGGTCCCCTTTTTTTATCCGGACAGACATTCCCAACCCGATGTCTTCTGGAGTTGAGGGACCGGGGATGCGAACAGGTGGATAATTTGTTTACGTGTACACTTAGCTTATCAAATACTAATAATTATAGTACCCATCTGTTACACAGATTTAACTGAGCAAGAAAACTCGCCAATACGACGCTTGTTACTAAAATATGGCGACGAAGAGATTGAATTCATCGCACCATCTACACTAACAAGTTTGAATGACCCTTCCATGTTTGTTGAGCTGTCAATGAAGCACGGCACCGGAATAATGAGACAATTGATACGAGCAAGTGAGGAATGTCTAAAGCAATGCTGACGAAATTATGATCGGTCAATTTAATAATGCAACAATGCGTTTTATACGTAGATAAATTCGAAGCTTCGCACGCACCTGTTTGTTCAAGTTCACTTCAATCGTCTGTATCGGCCAATCAATCCGGTCAAGAAAAACGAGTTATTCGTGGTGATAAGCCAAAAAAACCCAAGCTCGGTACTATATGGGAGAATAAGTGTGGAGAACGTCGCCGGTACGAAGTAATGAACAAAAAGAAGAACATAAACAGCTGGAAACTTTTGTGCTCGAAGTGTGACACCAAAGCAAGCGTAGGAGGTTTATGCAAAAAACATATTTCAGGAAGGTAAGTACATCAGCAAATCTAAGTCATGTAACAAGTTTTAAGTCTCAACTATTTCGAAATAGGGAATCGTCTACGTCCGCCGTATACAAAAATCCAAAACCAGGCTCTATCGTGATGAACAAAATAACCAGAGTTAGGTCTCGATATAATGGTAAAAGATGGGTTGCCCTTTGTTTAATTGAAACATGCAAGAGCGGTAGAACTACAGGCGCAAAAGACAAACTTTGTCATTCACATCGTACCCTAAACAAAAGAGAAAGGTAAGCATGTGGTTATGAGTATACGCGTAGGAAGCAAATGTACAATGATCCGTGTCATATTCATATATTGCAGTAACGATGTAATTATATGGGGAATGTCCTGGGGCGAACCCGAATCAGGTACACCTGCCTGCACGGTTGTGAATTTTTCCGTAGAAGACGACGAAATACAAGCGGCTAAAAACCACGTTTTACATTGCTGCTGTACTGATCGGTAACCACAGCGAAAGTTTACATTGTTCCTTCAAGCATTTTGCGTGTGTAAAATAAATTAAATTGTTGCCCTTCCAGCCATTTGAAGCATTCCGGTTACATTCCTAATATTAACGATGCGTTTGTCATTATGAAGATTCCGAATGCCTTTAAACACCCCACGAAATTCAAATCACGGGATATGATGTGTGCCATTCGGACGTTTGGCAACAAAAACAGCCGACTTCATTGTCCAGAATCTATAAAGTTGCAGATTAGGCCAGCCATCATCAAGATCCTGCACAAATTACCAGAACCCACTCTACATGAAATGAACAAATTAGAGAGTTGGCAAAATGATGTTGATGTGAGTTGTCAATCAAACATAATCGTTTGCATTCTGGGTACGTACATGTAAAGCTAATGGGTTTGTATGAAAACTTAAACAATTTCAGTTCCAACAATACCTGAACTCAAACCCATTCAAAATGTCATCAAAACAACTTGACGATATTACAAGAAGAGTAAACGCAATTATTGACGCGGGTACTGACAACGATGTCCGATTAAATAAAGTAGACGATAGCAGAGCCAGACGCAACAACCAAACCGAGAGGAACACAGCAGATGATGAGGAGAAAAAAGAGAGGAAATAAAGGAGGAGCAAAATTAAGTACATGTTATTTGATAGAAGCAGCAATTCGTGCATTAAAAAAAACGACAAACAAATCTGTTAGTACCAGGTTTAAGCTAGATATTCTTAGGGAAGTTTTTATTAAAAACAATCATAAAATAAATAAAATACACGTAAAGTTTGATTTGTGAATGACATAGATAATAGTAGTTAAAGTCATATAAACAGTAAATCTTTCCACTGTAACTACACGTTCACAAACATTTTATGTTCTCTGTAAAGAAAGAGAACTTAATGTCATCATGCATAAAAATATACTACACTTCATATTGCCACATGTTCTGAATCAGGACAATCGCTGACTAGGGCTGTAAGAAACACACAGTTAATCATTCCATCACCATGTATTAATATTTTTCACCGGGACTGTTCACTCACGACTCATCAAAGTTACGTACGTCTGGACACTAAGACGAATTGGGAAGAGTCTACGAAAGGAACCGCCTTCTTAATATAAGTTTCAAACGAGTTGGCGTTTGGACTTTCGGTCAGTCCAGGACTGTCCTTTTGCCTTTTCGGTCAGTCCAGGACCGTCCGTTTCGACTTTCGGTCAGTCCAGGACTGTCCTTTTGCCTTTTCGGTCAGTCCAGGACCGTCCGTTTCGACTTTCCGTAAGTCCAGGACTGTCCTTTTGGCTTTTACAATACAAAAATTTGTACACAATTCGAAAGACATGAAGAACCTCCGTTCTTAGCTCGCCCTGCGTAGCACGGGAGCTATTGAATTCCTCCTGTCCGTCCGTCTGTCTGTCTGTTAGTGAATTTGGTGCAAAATTATTTGCTAATTATTGTTGCAGGGCGAGCTAACCTTACAACGGTTTATTTTGTACTCTGAAAAATTGTATTGTAAAACTCCGCGAAAATAGGTGAATCAAAAACTGAGGCAAATAAACTCGCGAATATGAAATGAGACCCCCTCTACGCAATGCGTCTAAAACGATAAAAACCTATAGTACAGCTTTGCTTAGCCCGAACCAGGATAAATCAGTAAACCCATGTTTGTCAGTAGTTTCTAAAAAAAATAACGTGCTACAATTTGACACTAATTATTGCATTAACTACCTAGCGTCAATTATTCATATTACTTCCCACCAAATTCTAGAAATAGTTACTGTTCCTTGACTATTCACAATGACCAGTGGAGGTCGCCCGTATAAAAATTTCGAAATTCAACCGTCCTAAATGCTAATCATAAGTTATTTTTCGACTCCATAATTTCACCTGAATATATCAATTTTTAGAAATCTGTATGGGTCATCCCATAGTGTCCATCTGGTTACGTTTTGTTCATATTTAACTTCATATTATTGCATGAGTATGCACCAGGGATTATGAAAGTATGAAAATTTAACAACTTGGGTGGCACAGGTATCGCACTAATGACATCAGAACATGCACAGCTTCAAAACGCTGGAGTTAGTCTTAACATCAACATGACGTGAGCAAGCTATTAATGTACATAATATGTGCATTACATACTATTTGATACATGTAACCTGTCTATGTCACATTGTTCACTTAGGTATATGAAAGCAGCGCAAGTGGGTCAGGACGTCTTAATAAAGGCTAGGACGGATAAGGTGGGTTCACAAGTTGCGTTTTTGTCGGTGGAAATCCTCAGCAAGGCTACAAATGAATTGTTGGCAAAAGGAAGCCATGTAAAATTTATTGGACAAGCCATAGTACCTCCAAATCCGTAGATATTTATGGTTCATGAATTATTAATAGACGATCGGGCAATTTTTTTAAAAATCGCCATAAAATGGCTATCAGTGAAAATTTCTAAATTCCTGATGTACCGTTGCAAAGGTGGTAAGGAGTAGATTCAGAAAATGTATACTTTATGTTGAATCACACGTTGAGATTCTGTAGACCACACAAAATTTTTGAGTTTATGTTTTTCCAATTACCCAGAATTTAACACTGTGAGAGATTGATAGCTTACATTGCACGGTATAGGGAACTTCGCCCAATCGTCTATTAATTATTCACAGACCATAGTGTTGCTCGTGTGTAAGTTATTTAAGGACGATGATATGTAACTAACTAATAATATAATCAGTATAATAATTAATAAATCAAGTATCCAAAATAGACAACACTGACTGCATTTATTCCATAATATTCCTTTGTCAAATTATTATTTGCGTTTACTCTCATATAATTTGTATTTAGTTTTCAAAAAATCCCAGGCAACCAGCGTTAACAGCGTATGTGGCCCTAGTCGAAAGTAGTTAGCTGTCCATCCTTTAAAGAAACCAAGTAAACCTTCTGATTGTCCTATCTTCATTCCACACTCCATTATGTTCTTGTAAAGAATTCCTATCACAAAAATATGTTTTTAATACGATAGGTTTAATCGTTTAAATTTTTAATTCGGATTTGTACATTGCTACATTCTAAACGGGTTAGCTGACTCGAACATCTGAAAAGTTTTGTTCAACTTACCATTTCCATACTTATCAACCCCTTGGTTATAAAATCTTGTCGAAATTAAATCGAACGGTGCCATAAAAAAACTGACAAAAACCCCTGCAATCATGCTGGCACAAAATGGATTGAGCAAACTGCCTTCGCTAAACAATTTTTGACGTCGTATGAATTCTGTAGAAGACAAGAAAAAAATATGATTTTAATATAAGTTCATAGAGGTTATAAATAAAAGTGCATTACGGATTGACTCATCAAACACTGGCAATTGTACTGCAGATGCAACCTACAGAAAATGGGAGTAATTATTATAATACTGAACAGTGAACTCCTTTGAATTCTTTGAAAATTGATAGGAAGGTTATTTACCACGACTCGAGGCACTGAACTTGTGCATCCTCTCCAGAATCCTGCTAATCCCCATTTATTATAAATTTCTCGAAATGCTGGAGTCATTCGTGAATGTGAATGCTGCTGCCCTACAGCTATTGTGGGATCATTGGCTCTTGACTGAAGTTGAGTTTTGACCTAGAAAATGAACCCCGCGTTTAATGATAATTATTCAGTAGTATCCTAAAAAGTCAATCAAATCAATTAAATGATTTAAAGTCACTTGACTTGTGCATGCATACCAAGAAGAAAGGAGATCCGACTGTCGCCCCTATAGCTCCCGCACACGAGGCTACTAGGACGCTCCCAGCCATGGACACTTGAAGTAGAAAAGTTGATTACGTAAAAAAATAATTTAGTAAAAGAACGAACAACTTACCTTCCCCCTTCTTATTTTTTGTCCACCCAGAATTCGTACCCATTTGGTATATCCCCTTAATTAATTAATGATTATTATAGTTACATACATTATTATACGTGCATATTTTAGTTAATTATTTAATTACCAGCCTCAAGCCATTCATAACCCACTGATACCATAATGCTGGAACCAATCCCTTCTGTAAAGCTACTACGCCATCTTTCATTCCTAAATTTTAAATACAATTTTTAATTATTAAAGTATAAAATAACGTGAATATTTTTCTTTTAATGTATAAAATCCACAGAAATATATTTACCTATTGTGTACGCTGCATGAAAAACATTTTTATAATGAACACTGTACTGTCCCCTGGCTTGGAGCTCGCCTTGAAGTTGCATTCGAATTTTAACAACTGCAAATTTTAAATTATTCAATGGTCAATATATGGGTGTGTCAATCGATAAGCCTACGTATAAATATCTTACCTTCCAGTGGGTTTGAAAACTAAAAAATGATAAAAACGTAAAGTAAATCCAATTACATATGTGTGTATTATAATAATGTCTTACAAAACCGGCGCCCACTGCGGCGATTCCACCCAAGGCCAGCTCCATTATTGCCTGACTTAATTAATTACTGAACAAAACTTACAACTAAACTGGGGCAGAAAGGAAGTGGGGAAGGGGAAGGGAGCTAACAGCGAGAAACGTAATTTCTAACTGTTCGCAACCAAAAATGCGAATGAGTATTTAACTTCATTTAACTGAGATTAAATTATGATAACTGGACGAAACAAGCTAAGAAGTAGGTGAGATGTGTACTGTCACAACGTGACAATACATCTGACCGTGTTGGAGGAGTTGCTTATTTTTTTTACATGGAACATGCAGTGACATCATTGTTCTGTGAGTTTCAGTCTTTTCATAAAGCCAGGTAATAGGAGACATAGAAGTCAAGGTGAAGGCTGTGGCTACAAATTGTTACAAATTGATATACGGTAACTTTTCTTCACACCCTATTTTCTCCGACATGCAACCCTGGAATAGATAAGTAAATCATTTCCATTTAGCGGGAGGAAAGATGTTAATTATTTCATTCCGGCTGCTGCCCATTTGAGCAATATTGTTATATCATCGGATGTGTTGTTTGAGAATTGATGACTTACGATTTCAAGGAGGAGAAGGAGAAATGCATTAGACAAAATTATTTTGGTCGTCCGAATGCGATGGCAGAAAGTTCGCAACAACCAACCCCCTGATCAGCAAGCAGACTCTCATATCTTCATAATGATTGCAAGATTAGAACCTCCGATCTGATAATTGACGCCATGAGAAATTAAGATCACGCCACACATTAAACCCAACCTTCATGGAAGAAGTTGACTTACAATTGTACTAATCGTAACTTAGCTGATGCATTCTTCTTCAACCATTAGGATTAGTACGGATTACGGAAGTACTAAATGAAAAGTCAGAAATCTTTGAATTTTTAAAATTAATGCGTTCCTTTTTCTGAATTTTTAACTGTATATTTCTCGAAAAATAATTAAGTAACTCACCGAAAAGCTCAAACCTCCATAGTTTGTTTGTTTCTCAAACCTCCATGGTTTGTTTGAAATCTCGAAACAATGGCACCGGGGAGCTGACATGCCACAGACGTCAGACGTAACACGGGTTATGACAAAGCATTAATTACGTATGTGAACCCAATTCCTAACATTTAGCGTGTTTGGCAGAACTTGTAGTTTTGTATAAGAGTCAAACACCTGCATTCATTCCGTGCGTGTTCCCAACAAGTTTAAAAATCATAAACACAGGCACATGAACTCGTGAACCCGAAGAAAACCCGGGTGTCGCACAGAGTTCCGATTATTCTGGTATTTACGAGAGGATGAAACATGAGAACACAACAAATTACATATATGGTTTTAAAAGTGTGTATATGTTTAAAATGCTACCAATCAACTTAACACCTTCCAATTCTCACAAACATACATGCATATGTATTTATCACCGTGTAACTGCCTTCTTAGTATGTTGCTTGAGATTGGCATGCTTTAATTCATACATAATTTTCACGTGATAGAAAATAACACTTTAATTGCTCATACAAAACAGTTTTTCTTCAAGAGCGTTTTATTTTGTTGAATCAATCAATCAACTCGTCCAAATGTAAGATTTGTAAACTCGAGTCTGACTTGTGACACATTTTTTGTAATATATCGTTTGAACTTAAATGGTAAATTTGTATATAGTTATTCGAAACGCAGTCTATATTTCGCTACATCGAAATATTTTAATACTGATTAGCGACGTGTCTTTGATAGGATTGACAAGAGAGTGCAGTTTACATATGTAAGTATCATTTTGTCATCAATTCGCGTACTAAGTAAATTCAACAGTTCTACACTTTCTGTGAGCAATTGAAATTTACTAAAAATAATCATTAAAAGTGCGGCCAACCGTTTGTTTAGAACATTATCGCTAAATTCTGCATAAATACGTATACTACTATGTATACTGTTTTGTGATAGCATCAGAGAGTAGTGGACTATTTGGCTTTGTATATGGTGAAATTATATAACAATTTGTGGTAAAGCTCCTAAAACGGGTTTTGTCTTTGTAGCTTTCACCTTATTTTGCATTTGAAAAATATAATTTCCTAAACTAATGATAGTGGCCATCTCCAATTCAGTTGTTATTAAATATTAACATTATAAATTTAAGCCTTTGTTCTTTTCTTCGTAAAGTCGATGATGGTGCTTTAATCGATCCCAGGCAACCAGCAGCAAAAGTGTGTGTGGCCCTAGTCTAAAGTAATTTGCTGTAAAATAACATAACACATATCACTGTAAATATTGTCATCATAGCTTTATCTTGTACATTTATGTCTGTATTAACTTGTACCTGTCCATCCCTTATAGAAGCCCAAAATCCCCTCTTCATGGTGAACTTTTCGCATGCAGTCAAGTACTGAGGAGTATAGCAGACCTATAGTGCCATTTAATGTACATTTACCTCCATGACTTTAATAAGATATGTAAATCATTGTCTTCAGACCTTTTCCATTAATATCAACTGCTTGATTGTAAAATCTTGTGGCGACGAGGTCGAATGGCGCCATACTGTTTGATTATACAAGCCACAAAATGTACATATATTTTATACTATGCAATTGACCATATTATCACACTGACCTGATGGTAACAAAAACTCCAGATATCAAGCTAGCAAAAAACGCAGTCTTCCATGGTCCATTATGAGGGATATACTCGCTGGCCCGGACGAATTCTATTTTTATATTATGAAAGTATTTATCATCTACAAAAAACTCACTAATCCAATAAGAATTACTGGCTGGTCAATTTACCTAGAGCCTTTTCAAACGTTACCATTTGTACCGCACTGCGAAATTAAATAATTGTAATAATTATTAGTGTTTAATTTAATACCCAGTTTATATACCTTCCAATTGCGACTCTTGGAGCGGCACTCGAACTACCTCGCCAAAGACCAGTAAATCCGAATTTTGAGTAAATGGATTTAATAGCCTGGGCCATCCCTCCCGTATATTCATGCTGATGACCCACAGCGATTGCGTTTACGTTAGTTTTCGACTGCAAATGAGTTTTTATCTGTAGAATAGATTTAAATATATTATAGTAGGACTTGAAATATTGTATAATCACCCTGTGGACATAGGATTTGATAACCACAGTCGTTTACCAGGTAAAAGGGAGATCCTACGATAGCGCCAAAGGCACCACAGGCGGCACCTGCAATGATTGAACCCCAGGGATTGACCGTTCCGTCTTTTCTTTTAGTGAGCCCTTGTTTTTCTGCTAGTTGATAACTTCCAAGCCGTGTACCGTTCATGACAAATTGGTAGAACAGAGCTGGCGTCAACCCTTTTTGAAGGGCGAAAATTCCTTCTTTCCTCCCTTAATAAACAACATACTAAATTTAAATTTAAAAATTTTAGATCGTAGTACTTAATTGATAATCGCTCTACGAATTACCTATAATATATGCAGCATGAAATGCATTCCTGTTTGAATTATAAATGAAATTCATCGATTATAAGAATACATACAATTTCAATGTACAAGAACTTATAATAAATACATTATTAGCCAGACTTCACTGGGAATTAGTAGGGATTAAATAATAATACGGTCATTATGCGCAGACTTGCATATTATTTTAAGTCTGTCAATAAAAATCTTTTAATTGTATATACAATACGCAATATTTGAGAATTAGGAAGACATTACCGATAATGGACAGCATATTTTCCCCTTGCTTGAAGTTCACCTTGTAACTACATAAAGAACAAACAAATTTTGATTTCTCAAAACCAAAAAAAAACGACCAAATTAATTCTGACTTGACATGAAGATTACTAACCTGCATTCGAATTTTAATAACTTCTAGAGGGTTACTAAAACTCCCAGCGAAAACCGCAGACATCCCTCCAATGACGAGCTCCATTATAATCTTAATTTAAGAGTCTTAAATTAAGATTCTTAAATCTTATTTATATTTATTTATGGAACTCGCATTCAATGACGTACCACTAAATAACAATACTTGGATGATTAAGGTTCTAGCTTTGTCTCAATCTATAATTTATCACAGGGTACGAATTCTTAAAATATATCTTTACAGTTTACATATATATTTCAAATATTTTAACACGAGGTGATTGCGGGCAACGGTTGACGGTAAAACAAAATGAATGCAGCATGTGAAGGCCATGCATGAGACAATAAGTCAATAGCACAGATATATGTGCATAAGGAGTCGAGTTTACGAAAATCCCGTAAAAAACTTTGTACCTAAATGCTCTTGATGATGTCCATATACGTAAAGTGTAGCATTTACATGGCCATGTTGACTATTATTCATTCAGTTTTAAAGATTATGGGATTTGTTTAATCTGAACCACTGCCTACATGTACTGGGCATACACATAATCCAATTTTTATCGCGTGCACTGCGTACTATTAAATAATTACGCCCGAGTTGTGGTAAGGTTAAGGTGACTTTAATCGTTAGTTATGAAACAGTGGCACCTCATTCAAGCTGAGTTGAACATTTATAAACATTTATGTCCCACATAATTAATTATGGATAACATGCGTGCAAAACGTGGGCTCTATTAACGGAAATTTTTCAAGTGGCATACGCGAAATCGTCGAATTCAATTCGCATTCATTCCTCGTATCATGTGATGAGGATAGAATTTTATTTGCATATATGTCTGGCAATGCACAAAATAATAAAAATAAAAATATTGTGCACATAGATTGCCTTGCGAGGAGAAGTGAGATTTTAAATTAAATCTGTCATCACATTGCTGGCATTTAGTTTTCTCCATTGTCAAGAAAGACAATACTTTAGAGTCCCAAGTCAACCGATTCAGCTTTGCACCGAGGGTCAAGTTTTTCTCTGCTTATGTCTGCATGCTAAGCATGCAAGATATGAATTGCCAATAAAGTCAAAAAGTATGCGTATGCTTATTTCCCTTGCAAATCTGGCAGAAAAGTGATACCCATGATTATGTTTGATCAATAGAACTGATTCTCTCTAGGCACGGAATTGTCAACTTTGCCAATTATGAGGAGAATGGAATCCAGCATGATAAATGACGGAATTCGGGTGAAAGAACTTTGGCAGACGAAGAAGTTCATTTCTTGATTTTCTCCGCGCACCAATGTTCCCTACAATTTCATAAATAAAAATGTCGGTAAATGACGTTCAGTTTACTTCCGATTCCAGAGCTGTTCATATCTCAAGTTGAGTTCCTTGATTTGTAGTCAAGTTATGCCAATATCATCTGAACGGAGATCTGGATTTGGCTTAAGCAAATGGGAACGAAATTATCTCAAATGCCGCTACAAGGCACATCGAAATAAGGTATGTCAGTTGTCCTAATAATGAAGTAATAATTACTGCCAATAGCAATAATTCCCAATAATTGGGTATTCGTAGCAAAATTGTTTCATGAATATTTGTTCAAACTCATTTGTAACAGATCGGGGTCGCCAAAGCAGCCGTTGATTCTAAAGCACCACCAGTGCGACCCCATGTGCAGTTTAAGGAGAAGAAGGCATTAATGGAACAAAGACGCCAAATTATTGTAATGCAAGAAAATTTTCGGGTTCTTAACCGGACTGCTGAAATAATGAACTGCAGTGACCCGGTTTATTCCAATAGCCTGGTGTCGTCTAAAAGCACCAAAAACAAGGAATTGACCTCGGTCACGAAGAAAAATATCCATGTCATTTTTCAGTGGTTTATTCACAAGTTTGGAAAATACGTACCGTGGTGGGCTCATATTAATTATTAGGATGCATATTACAGTAATTACATATTAACACAACTAAAAGTGTGCAGAACAAGAATAATGTAACGCATAGATTGGAATACTTTACTGCCATTATTATACATTTGTAAAAAAACGGATTGAAGAAATTTAATAAATGCTAGATTATCGCATTTTTACTTTTGGGACAATGTACAATAATGTGCAATGTTACATTCTACATTCTACATTAGTTAATCATCGAAATTCACGAATTATGCATTTTAATTCACAAAGCGATATAGGTAAATCATACTGTTTGGAACCTTCAGATGGCGCAGATGTAGCTTATTCTTGACGCCAATCAGAATTTTATCTTCCTAAGTTAATTGAAACTCGGGAATATCTATGAAATATACTTATCATTTCTAAATATATGTATTGTGGACACAATATTAAATGATTTAATTTTAATATCTTAATAATACAATTTTTCAACTCTGACGCATTATCGAATTAAATTATCTAGTTATTGCGTAGTTATGTACGACATTCACAAGTCCCACCGAACGAGACTAGAAATTATTTTGAATCAATAAAATGTTAAAAAATAAAATTATTGCAGTTGAATGCTGTAAATATGTGCACATCTGCGAATCTTCAAGTTTTGTTCAATTTGTAAAAAGTATGAGTGTAATAATAAACATTGTGGAGAAAGCAATCTGGTCTGTTAGCCCGTGTGGAAGGATTTTAATTAAAACTGAAACTTTGACATTTTTGTGACATTGGCATCAGATAGTAATGAATGTATGTATCTACATTTGTATCCTTATGTATGCATGACATTGGAGTGACACAATGCTCGACATCTCTATTCATACAACGTACTGAATAAATCTCGGTCATCCTTTCATCCCGTCGTCGCTTTCATGATCTCTGATTGAAAATGAAAATCCGTCGAGATTACAAATTAGAGATTATACCGTGAAAAACCTTGGGATCCGTTCGAGTATGAAAGTCCACACTTAATTTTTGTTTGTTCGTCACCACTTGGAAAGAGGCCATTATGATCACGGAAATTTCCAGGATGATGAAGGGAGGACCTTCAAAGTGTGAGAAAGATAAGCTTTGTGCTCTGTTTGCCCACTGAATGCTCTCGACCTCCACGCGCCCTTACACAGAATAGAACACAACGGGAGCGAACTTTCCCCCGAAAATTGGTGTACACGGAACCTTGGGTGATGACGATGATGAGGAAGTGAAAGCTATTCCGAATACCATGGAACCATTCAGTCGTCATATTGCTAAAGTATATGTAATGGAGGCCGATGTTTCGATGGTTTTCTGATATGAAAGGATAGGCCTCGAACTGTCGACAAGGTGAAAGCATGTATTCCCCGGACTGCAAACTTGCATTTCCCTCTTGGTTTCTTCTAAACTGTTGAATGCACATTGAACACTTACTTAAAACTCCAGCGGGTGGGGTACCTACTGACGACCCAGTTTCGAAGGACAAGGTCGCGCCTCGGCTCGTGTTTGCTCATATGCCCACCTCCAGGCAGTCGTCAGCTATCACCATTCGCCTCCTCCTCTCCTCTCACTCTCGGCTTTCTCCCTCGTTGGAGAGGAGGCGTTAAGCGGCCTTCCAGAAAATTACAGTCTTTGATATTTCCGCCTATTCAATAGTTGCAGTGAAGAATCAAACAGTTTGATTGAATTCAAAATCCCCTTTGTGACGCACAAGCCCTTCTGTGGGTGGCATTGACGGGAGCCTCTTCACTTTCCTTTCTAATGGAGGGTTAGCCATGCATTCCGACCAATTCACTCTTACTTTCACTTCCGGGGGCGAGATGGCAGATGGTTTTTTCTGTTGCCATGCATATTATCTATCTCCCTCCGCCCACGGTCCGGATAAATATAGTTCTAATATGAAGATCATGTTTAGCTAAAATTGCATGGAATTGTTCAATAGGTTAATTTTGAAGGAAATCATTTAGCCATTAGATATTTATTATTTGATTTGTTTGTAATGTGCTATCTTCGGCTTTCTCTGGATGATTGTTGTGTCCGCAGAGATAAATTTATAATGCAAAGTGTACCCATTGCATTATCATCATATCGACGGAAATAAGAATTCCCAATGCATATTTAATGATAAAGACCTTGCACTTCAAACCAGACATGAAACCTCCAGTCTCAAACCCACGTCAGCGTAGCTTATGGGTTTCATATGATAACGATTATTCAAACCACGTCGTTCAAACAAACTCTTAACACACAACTTGTAAATTTGCAACTGGCAACTTTCACTTGGCAAGTATTGCTCCATTTCACTTACAATCCATGTAGCTATGTATGGGCGTATGTACATATGCACATAGATTGAATACCTGTCCATGCTATGATAACTCCAAACTGCCTATTTATACATATGTACAGAAACAATGCATACATGCACCTCTGTTCAAGTCAATGTCAAGTAGATATAAATTTAGGCATAGTTATTTCAAATAGAATATTTATAAGCATTGCGCACAGTCAAATACTAACATATTCAATATCGTCCGAAACCGTCAATAATAATAGTACCCTAAAAATACAAGGAAATATTTTCATCTAGGAAATAAGACATTGATCTGTTAAGTTATCTACCACTTGAATTTTACCTTTTTTCCTGCTGCAGTCTATACACCATGCACCTTCCACCCACATCTACGGATCTAAAATTGGAGAAAGTTTCTGGCTTCTTCGCATTCACCTCACTTACTCAGCATTCCCTGCGTTGGCTGCGTTAACGGGGTCAAACGCACTACGTACGTACGTACGCAATGGAAAACGCATAACGCCCGGAACGAGTTTTGACCCATTTTCCTCCTTTGCTCGGTCGTTTTCAAGTTCGCCACGTGGCTGGCCCATTTCAGGCTTTTCCTCCCAATTCCAGCCCAGGCCTCAAGTTTTCTTGCTCACCGAGAAATTTAGTTTGTAGGACAACCAATTTAACTGTCTTGTTCGTGTTCCATCCAGCACGCTCACCTTACGTCGTGGTAAACCAGGCCAAACTTTAAAACCTGTCGGCCTCTCTCTGCATATTTGCATTAACACCTTGTCGAACATTGTTTATTCGGAGAAAGGAGTTTATTGGTGTATGTATCATATGCGGGAGATGGGTTAGACGTCTGATTTTGACCCAGTTATACGAACTCGATGGAGAAAAGTGGGTGAAACTCTCCACGTGGATGAATTATTTGGTAGCATTCATCCGGCATCCAATGCTATATGGGATGAATAAGTTTTTTCTTGTATGTCAGTTGTATCGAATAAATGTATGTATGATATTGTGAGATGAGTTTACAAATTGTGCGGAGAAAATGATAAGTCAACGCAAAGTTTTTTTTGTATTTGAGTAAGTTTTATTTTCGTTTATTTATGAGAACATCATATTTGTATATTTTACGATAAATAGATAAAATTAAACCTTAGAGGCAATTCGACATGCCGTATAATGAACACATAAAACGTAGCAGTGAAAACATGAAGATATAAAATTGATTTCTTCAATAAATAAATAATTACCGGTAGAAATTACAGGTTGAAAACTTGATTGAAATTTTCATAACAAACCACGAGTTGGACATTAAAAACAAAACAATTACGCACGTGAATCGTATGCAATATGATAAATATCTGTACAAATTGTTGTTTCATTGCGGTGGATTGAAATAAGTGACAACTTTTGATTACAAGTTAGTTGCAGTAAGAATAAGTAGGATAACGATACAAATGATTAACTAATTAATGATGATACAATGACATAGTAATATATTTCGTGTGTGTGTATATATAATCAGTAGTTGATCGCACTTGTCGCAAAGTACGGAATGAACACTTTTTGGTGTTTATATACATATATCTCCACTTATCATTAGATTATCTATAATAATATGTACATAATAATAATAATATAATGATTGGTGATCCTAGCTTAAGATTAGTACTAAATATGCATACATACTTATACAGAAGTTGTAAAGTAATGTATGTATTACTTTGAAGAACCCGAAGTGAACAGACATCACAATGGTCTTCTGGACTTTGAACAACGGAATGAGATTCTCTTTTTACTTTGTAACCCAAAAGAATCCAACAAAATGCATTTTTTAAACCAGACTTTTTTTATATATAAAAACAGTTACTTAAAAGGAAAATGGCAACGACACAATTTTAATAAACTTCCAGGAAACAATTAATGAAACCACAAATAAAATAGATAAAAACAAATACAATTTTGATAAAGTGTGAAGAATAGTTAAAACTTTTTTTTCATTCCCCTGCTTCCATTTCACATTGTGATCTCAATTAAAGTCGTTCTTTTTCTACTGTTGGGCTCTGTGTGATTAAACCTATTTCAAGTCTCGGATTTTGGAGCCCTCATTTTTTGAGTCTATATTGTTAAATATAAATCTTTCGAATTGTCGTGTCCAATATCTTAGTTACCTCTTTGGTTTGCTCTATTTAGAAGTCGATAAAAGACTTTTTTGTGTCCCCCACCCACCAAATATGTACAACATTACAATTAGTTAGTAACAACAAACAACAAAACCTATTTGTAATGTACTTATTTAACGCTATTTTAATAAGTAATACATATGCTAAAATTACCTAAAAATGCCTGAGTATCTAGTAGAACTTCAAGTCTTATTAATAAGCTATTCATACCATACCTAATAAATATATGTATGTACCTATGTACTTTTATAGACAAGACAATACGAGTATGAATGACGCAGACCAAGACCAAGTACAAACTTCTATAAATTATGTACTTTACGACTCATCATAATCATTTTTAATTACTGTACAGCACCCTCCAAATCAGCTGACCAAAACGGTTTTTCAAATAATAAATATTGTAGATAGACATCTTTTGAAAATAAAATAAATTTTCTCTACTCTTATAGTTCTGAATAATTAGATTTCTAATTAACATTACCGACAGAGATGATGTAAATATGTATGTAATAAGTATGTAGGGATAGCCATGCAGAATGAAAATTAACTAAAAATCCACTGAAAGGAGGTTTTTATGCTTCTTGCAACAATAGATTTCTCTATTTTTGACTGTACACCTATTCTGATGATAAGACTACTTATCTAACGTCTACATATACCCAAGGAATAAATTTGTAACCAATTATACAATATTTTTTTACTGCGTAAACTAGCGGCACGTTAATTAATTATGTAATATGTACTTTGTAAAGCTTTGTTCGGCAAACTAGATAAATATGAATTGCTATTATTTCTTCTTTGGGATACAATTAAAGCTTATTAATTTTAAGACAATAACAAGACTCGCATCATTATTCATAAGTAATTACACTCATTTCATACACTTGGTTTTTAAAGCTTTGTCGCAAATTCCCGTGTTGGTCGTGAAATTTCTTTCTGACCAACTTTCTGGGGTTTTGGTATCATAGATTAGCACATACTCGATCTCTTTCGATTTTTTCAGTAATCTTACCTAATAACTCTAGTACACACAAAGGATGAAATTAATCGACAAAACCGAAACCACTCAACCGAATCTTCCTTGACAATGTAATATAATAGTAGTTGTAGTAGTAGCAGTAGTAGTAATATACTTTACATAAGATTGTACGCAATTCCTTTTTCAACTATTTTGAAACCCAATAAATTATCATTATTAGAATTTCTCAAAAGTTTTTGTGTTATTATTGTATTATTGTTTAATCTTTGCAATGTACAGTAATTACATGAAATGATGATCTTATGAACCTACCACTCACACCACACGATACGACATTAATATTTTTTACAATCTTTCGTTGTGCGTCTGCAGTTATTCAGCTTTGATACTACAAGTTAGCCATACATAGTTCAGTTCGGAAATTTAAAATTTTGAACACAATTTGGTTTATTTGATACGACCGGTGATAAAATTCGTTTCAATTTAATTGCCTTGATGACTCTAAATCTTATCTTTCTCATGATCTACCAAGTGGCGTTTGGTGAACCATTCATATACCTACACAAATTTTGAAGTGAGATATCTATACTTGCATAGTGACAGTACTTGTTTATGTATTTTTAGTAGTACGGCGGAGCGAGACATTGAAATGAGAGTTGAATGGAAACGGAGAAAATAGGACGAAGCATATAAACCATTGAGCAGTCTGAGATAAGTCAAGCCTTATTATTTATTATTTTAGTTTGTATAAGAGAAAATTGATGGATTGAGTGACTACAGTCCTGAATAAATTAACAGTCTTTGAAAAAGCAGGCAATGGTATCAAGTTATATATATATGTCCATATATATATTAATATGTATGTAAATGTATGTGTAATTACTACTCTTTTACGGCCCGACAATTAGTTTTCTGATCTTTTTTGGTGAAAAGTAGTAGCAATTATTTACGACACTGAATTAAAAAATATTATTTTCTAATCTTCTTTCCATAAATAAATTTGTCCATCTCATATAGTGGAAAATATTTTAGTTTCATCTATGAAAAATTTTAGGCTTTCGCAGTTTCAAGAACCAGGTATCGCTTGGTTTACGGAGAGGTACCAATAAGAATTACAAGTTTATACAGCTACTAAATACATTACTTTTTGTTTTAGCTTTTGTTGAAACAAGGCCTTCTTGGAATTCTTAAAATTTTTGCATTTTTTAGAAAATCTATTCATTGTAAGTCTTTCATTAGAATTTTATCCATCTCAAATTGATTTTTTTTAATTCAAAACCAAAAATAAACATGGCGAACTGTTCTTACTTTTTTCTTGTTAAATTACTAATCTGCATAATTTGAAATTTTGCAAAGGCTACATACTCGATTTTGACTTGAAGGGGTTGTTTATTTTATTTAAGAACATTTTTCAGCATACTGGATAACCGAGGAGAGTCTCAGTCTCTGAGAAAGGATGGACTCTGTGTTGCTGTTATTATTGGGAGCAGGAGTGGCAGGGTTTTCTTGGGCATATTTCTCTAAAATGAGACTGGATCGCTTTCTCGGACCCCCACCCGAGGAAGACGACCTCCTCTTTCCTACTCTGTCCCCATCGGAAGAATTGTTGTCATTATCGTTGTCGTTGTGATTATGGTTGTTGTGGTTCATCAACTCTTCCTCCGACCTTTGGCTACAGTCATCCATCAACTCCTCGTTTGACTCACTCAAACCTGGAGTGGATCTGGGTGTGGAGGTGGGAGTTAGACTGGCCACACTATTTCTCGTCGGAGAACCTGAACCTCGGGAGGAAAAGTCTAGTCCGAGGTCGGGACTTTGAGAATTACTTCTGGGGGGAGTTGTAGCCTGTCTAAAGTTGGAAGAAAACTGACTGCTTTGCATGACAGCTTTTGAGCCCCGAGTTAAGGCCAAAGCCAAAACTCCGCCTGGGGTGTAGTTTGAGATGGGATTGTACTCTATTATCTCAGGGGACCTATCCCTTCGGTCACCACCACCATAATTTCTTATTTGACTCCCTTCAAATGATGGAGATCGACGATACAAGTCTCCCTTTGCTCTGGTGTTATTGTTAAAGTTTTCAGAAATGATTGAAAAATTTTCAGGGATTGGGTGAACTGTAGCCAGATTTTTAGCTGAACGACTTTCTTTCTCAAAGTCGTTGGATTTTCGAGAAAAATTGAAATTATTGTTAACTTGCAAATTATCTTTTGGAAGACCGTACCCAAACTGCTCAAGGAAAGGTAGTACTTTCTTGTCTCGAATGCTCGCATTTGCCAAGAAAAGTTTGTCACGATGATGATGTGCAGTAGGTGCCTCGTTATTACAGATTTGTGCTTTCCCTACAATGCTACTCATGCCGTTGCTTAATAAGCCTCCGAAAGCCTTAAAATTAGCTGGATTACTGATAGAAGAAGCCGTGCTGAAATTTGTGGCTTGTTGTTTAGCTGAAGAGATTTGGCTAAAATGCCTTGGAGGAGGGGACTCTGACGAAGAACGGTGACAACTGTTTGTACCAGAAGAAGGAGATAATAGGGAGGACGAGGATGCATTATTTGTAAGAGGAGTAGGAAGTTTTGAGGTGACGTACAAAAATGTAGTTCTGGATTGTGGGCTTTGGTGTACTTGCACCCCTGGAGGAAGCATTGGGTACGGTAAGTTTGTCGCTGGGTTCAACTTAACGCTACTGCTCATCTTATTACTATTAGTATTATTACTGTAATTGCTATCTCTATTGGTATTGTATCCATTATAATTGTTACCGCGATGGTGGTGATTATGGAAGTTGTTGTTTCCACTGTTGTTGTTGTTGTTACCGGAGTTGGATGATTGGGAGGTAGACTTTAGCTGTGCTGGCGACAGATGATGAGGAACATCGACATATACAATCGGACTGGCTGGTGGCGTCTTGGGGGATTCTGCGTGCGGCGAGTTTTGGGAAGAGATCTCAGAGTCGGAAGATTCTCGATTTTCCTTGTCCGAATTCTGCGGTGTTTGCGACAACGACGAAGGGGAAGGTACGCTGGTGGGCTCAATCATGGTGGGTGGAGACGATGGCTCTTGTGGGACGCTTCCCTCGGAGTGGGTTTTGATGTGCGACTCGAGGGACTTTTTGGAAGTGAAAGTCCCATTGCATAATGTGCATTTGTAAACTTTCTCCCCGTAATGTGCCACCTGTAAATTGTAATAAGTCGTATTGTAGATACCGGTAAGTGATGCTAGGTGTTAGTTATGACTTCTGATACGTAGATATACATAGGAAAATAAATGTCTTTCTATTTACCTGATGCAACTTCAGCACGTGATTGTAGCCGAACGATTTTCCGCAGATATCGCAGGTATATGGTTTTTCACCTGTGTGGGTGCGGGTGTGGACCTTAAGCTGTTTGGAGCAAGTGAATCCCTTGTTGCAGACTTTGCAGACGTACGGTTTTTCGCCAGTGTGCGTTCTCATGTGAATGACCAATTGACCGCTCTGGATGAAAGTCTTCTGACAGATCTGGCACCGATGAGGTCTTTCTCCCGTGTGAATTCTCATATGACGATGAAGCTTTCCACTGTGCTCTTTATTGGGAAAAATGGAGGGGAATAAATTAATTGATGAAATTAATTTTAGCTCTTTATATTAATTAATTTTAGCTCTTTATATTAATAAAAGGTGAGTATATACTCACCAAATGCTCTTTGACACACTTCGCATTTGTACGGTCCTAAGGGGTCGGGGGGAATAAAAAATGATGTTAGTTTTCAAATTTTTCAAAAATAATCGACTATGAACATTTTTAGCGACCTCCCAAGTCAAAATACTCGCGGAAGGTCGCTAAAAATGTGCATTTCTTTCCTATGCAACTTTAAAGACTTCACTTACGTTCTTTTGTATGTATTCTGCGGTGAACGGATAGATTTTCTTTCACGGAAAAAGATTTGTTGCAGTATTCACATTGGTAGGGCTTTTCTCCCGTGTGCGTCCTGTAATGCCTTGTCAATCTTGCTGGTACTGAAAATCAGAATAAATATTATGATTATATGTTTGACAGAAAAGTGGAATTAAATATACTTATCAACTGACATGACATGTTCCAACCCTAACAAACTGAATAATTGAAACTTATTCATGAATAAACTAAATTGCGTAGTAGCAATATAATTATTTGTAAATAGTCGAGGTTATTAACAGAGTTCGTTGCATGATGTTTTTGGCGTGGCGAATATGTAGGTGATGAAATGGTACTACCTGCATAAACCTCAATTCGCTTCTCAGAACTAAATCATCGCCATTCCAACCATTCAAATATTCTGTTTGGCAAATACATACGTACAACTGTGCAAAGCGGCCCTGAACTAAGTAACAAGCAAAAAATTTTAGCTCGTTTCCGTCCCTCAAATTTAACAGACGAAGAGTGAGAGGCAACAACATAGCAATTATAAATATATCAACCTATCTATACGTACATACACCTATGTAAATACCTCTGCATTTTCCCCTCGTGCATATATGGCCTTGTACATACATAGCTTAGTCTATCATTGTTGTGCAAAACCTCACGAAAAGGTGAGACTCAGACTAGACTCGAATTTTGCTCTGACATGATTACTCTTAAAATCAACAACCTCACATTCCCGACTTCAATATAAATGAATCACTATGTTAATCATTTTTGGATGATTGTCATGTGAAGACTTTGTCTCATCTTCCCCCAAAGTAGAAACTGGAGTAGTCGGATACAACAACACCACCACCAATCAGGCACCATAATTAACCGTGTGCTGACAAACTCTTCCCCTTAACACATTCTTCATCCAGCAAAATCAAAATCATTTTTATATTGAAAATAAACCGTTGCAAACGAAATGTAGCAATAGGGTGAAACCAAGCCGGCGACCCATCTACACGGTCACGGGGTCATCGAAATCATGTGCATCGAATCACGTGCGTCGAAATCATGTCGATTATTGAAATCCCCGTCCCAAAATACGTCTAAAACTATCTAAACGACAACACTCGATATTTTAGACATTTTTTGTCGTGTTCACGGTCATCGCACGTCAAAATCATATCGATTTTCGAAATCCCCGTCCCGAAATTCGTCTAAAACGACATCTTTGACCGTTGGCGTCATCACCGTGGCGCCGTGACCTTACGACGTACAACGCCCATCTTCGAACTTGTCCGTACTTTTTGGATTGGAAACACTATTGGGAAAACCGCATGTCGAAATTCGAATCCGTTCTAAAGTTAGAGCACGAGCAGACAAGGCATTTCCATTATAGGGTTTCACCCTATAATAAAACTTATTTTGCTAGTAATATTTATTTTGTGTGCGCAACACTCGAATTTATTAGCAGATAGATACATATAAATATCTATATTAATACCGCAAACAGTATTTATTTAACAAGAAAGACTAGGAAAACAAAAGAATTAGAAATTATTATATTTTCTTATTTTTTTTATGGCCAAGTTTGACTTTTATAAGTCAGTCTCAATCTGCCTCAGTCAGCGACATCTCGGTGTGGGATTGTAACTCGAACCCCGAGTTGCGCACGCTATGGAGAGACTGCCAGCTGCTTGGGGAAGATCCATTAATTATGTCCCGCTGGCTAAGATGGGCGGGATAGGGAAAAATCCCTATCTTGCAACTATTAGCCAGCGTGACATAATTAATGCATCTTCCCTTGCTTGCTTGCTTGAAAGTGGTGGTGGTGCAAGCTCAACTCACGTAGTAGGCTCATATGTGTGCTGGACGTCACCGAGTACACTTCTTCCGCTCGCACGCACTTCTTCAGAAATTCAAATCTTTTTTATTTTTTGAATTATTATTATAATTTCTTTGAATTTAACTAAACCTACTAAGCAATAGCAGCATAACACAATTGATGCGCTTTTAGTATTTTATGAACGCAGGAATTGTAATTGGGAATCCGTTATTAAAGTCAACATTAGCAGTTCAGGTAAGTTTTCAATATTATTTCATATTTTGTAGTTATATAAATTGATTCCAAAGCGAATTTTCAATTTTTACGAATGATATTTTAATTTGTACTTTAGCAAATAAATGTAATATTATTCTTAATATTATTATTCGAATTTTTAGGTAAACATAAATCTAAAATTATGATGATTCCTTCTTGCATAAATTAACCTCTACCTCTCCCTATTCAAAAGTTATTCAACCTCAAACTCGTTGGAACAAACTGAACAACTTTTGCCCCAACGATTTAAAAAATGAAAATTTTGTTTCAAAATAAGTCATTTGTACCAATGGTGTCATAATTTCATTCATTTTTATGTCGACATTCATTGAAGTTCCGTTTTCAGCAATTAAATCCAAATTTTAGCCAAATGTAAATGTATCACATGAATAATTTTGCTTGAAAACAGTCTGGGGTTTGTCTCCCCAATTTCCCCAATTTATTAGTAATATAAACTTGATCACATCAGCTGTGACAATTTATTATATCATTTCTCTAAAAACTTATTCCAAACACTCGAAATCTGTACGAATCCAGTATTACAATTTTGCAACTGTAGCTATGCTTCAATATCAAACCGTTACACATCTCGAGCCATCTGCTCCGCCTCCTTAAAGTTATGTACGTAAATTTTGATGTTTTATGCACAATCAAATGAGTTTTCTAATTAAGTTAGGTAGCTACACGAGTATTTATCTAGCAATTAGTCAATTATTATAATTAGATAAAATAGTGTTGCCGTCACACGTTGGTGACTGGAACGATCATCGTTTTTTCTTCAACTCGCACACCTTCAGCACTCTAGTTATAACAGTTCGTGCTATAGTTAGGTAAATTCGGTTAGAAGTTATCAGGTAAATATTTTAAGGAATCAGTCCCACTTCAAGGTGAAGCTTTTTAGTAGAAGCCAATTGATGAGGTAAATTTGCATCTGATAAGTTTTTGACAATCAAGGAGAAGCATCATTAATATAATTTCGTTGGCAATCTGGCCATTTTCCTTTTTTTAAAGGCGTAAACGAAAGTTTAATTTGTTACCTTATTAAACGGAAGCTACCAGTAGGTCCACAGGCTAACACAATATATATATAAACTCATGCAGGAAATATTACATAATAAAAATGTCAAGTTGAATGGAATTTGTGGCAGCATTAGGGGCCAACTCCCATAACAAACGCAATATTTTTCCAATTGCAGTAATCATACCTTCGTAGAGCAGAGTTCCCAAGGATGAGCTACCCAAGTAAGAAACGAAAGATAGACGAAGACCCTGAAGGACCTTGTCGCTGTTTGTGGGTTTCCAATGATGGTGAAATATGCGGATTCTTTGCACTAAAGAGGTTGAAATCGGGTGGACATCCGACTAAAATATGAATCATCTTTAATCATTATAGCATAGCGTGGATATTATGAAGAATGAAGAAGGAATGTGGGTGAGAGTTACACGAAAAGTCAAGATTGTAAGGAAGAAGTCTCCAAAATCTCGTTCAATTTCTTTTGAAACGAAAAAGACAAAGGTTGAAGAACAACTGAAGCAAGAAAATGCTGTACAACTTCCGTCAGAAACAAAATTGATTGTTGAAGCTATAACCACCCTGGGAAAAGCTCGGGGATCAAGCTACTCGGATATTGAGGAGTATGTAAGTACGACGTCCGGGTTCAAGATTAAGTTTGAATCGTTAAGCAGGCTTATCAAACGCAAAGAAGTAGTCCAAACTCAAGGTGAGAACTCATTTAAGACGTACAAACTTGGGAAAACTTCAGTAAAACCTATCAGGGAACCAGAAATGATCCTAGCCGCAGTAACAGCAACCCACAAACCAACAACCAAGGAAACGATTAAACGTTATATAGTGGACAAATACAGAGTTGACTGGACGCAATTTGGAAAAAATTTCAACCATAACCTTACCGTCTTACTTAATGCGAGGAAACTAATCGCATCAACCAGTGGTTATGTTTTGAACACCAAATTTTATGGAAATAACCGTGAAGCTACAACCGTAGATGAGAAGAAGCAGGTCGACGAGAAAGAGGTCGAGGAGGAAGAGGAACTCTTGGATGTCTTTTAAAGAGGACGATAAGGAAGAGAACGACAACGAATCTTACGGTAGGCTATATTTAAAGATTTTAATACGACGATAAAAATCTCAGTTTGCCTCCAAGACACCCAAATTGATTATATGTAAAAACATCGGCTTTTCCTCACCAATCTCATTTTCCCCACTAATCTCACTTTGCTCTAAAAACTGGAACATTTATTTACGCCTTATTGATTTCAATTTAACAGATAGAATTGAGGTAACAGCCCAAACAATCCACCTGCTTCACATGCTGCCTTTCAGCTTTCCAGTTAACGTAGAAAAATTTCGATTTTAATGCTTCACAATTATGTATTACAGCGTTATATTAGGATATATTATTTTTAGATTTATTTGTACATAGTAGGATAATTAGCTTAGTATAGTATGAATGTGTGTGTGAATGGCCGTGGATGTGGAAGAAGGGAGGACCGTTTTTTATTCAAAATTTATTTCAAAACCCCAATTTGGCTAATTAGAATCTTTTTTCTTCGACAAACGGTTGGGAGGTGAGGGTGGATGGGCCCTCCTTGATGTACCTCAGTTGGCCCCATAATCTGTGGTTGCGAGATGCTCATCTTTTCAGAAGACATCGAACCATAGGTTATAGGGCCAACGACATACCTGCATCAAGGCCACATCCACGGCGGCCCACTTGTCCCTGCGTTCAGTAGGCTCACGATTCGGTCCCTACGCACCTAGCGGAAACAAAGGGATGCTGTGCTGGTCGTGGCGCTGGCGCTTGGCGTGGGGACAAGTGGGTCATGTATGAATGTTTAGTTATACTTCTAGGTTATTTAGTTATTAGTTATTTAGTTGGATGCAACCCTAAGCGTGCTTTTTTCAAAAAATAAAACATATATAAGGCCAATTATCTAAATTGTTTATTATTAGGGCTTTTCTCCAGTGTGAGTCCTATATTGCCTCGTCAATCTTGCTGGCACTGTAAATCATAATATTACAACTAAATGTGATGCTTCGCAGTTGGCATTTGTTTAGAATATGAGCCATTGTTTGGTGATGAGTTGTGTTATATACAAAAGTTGTAGTTTAGTTAGTGCCCCTTGAACGAGTGTGAGTCAACCTTTTGTGCTTTCTTATTGTGGCCGAATACCTACATATGTAAATACCTCTGCATTTTCCCCTCTTACATATATGGCCTTGTACATAGCATCATAGCATAGCATCACTGTTGTGCAAAACCTCACGAGAAGGTGAGACTCAGGTACTATCAACTTCCGGATCTCGATGCCCTTTGGATATGTTGTAGTGTCCCATGAATGAACAACAACCCTGCAGTGGTTTTATGCCATGGCCATATTTGCGCCCGCCACACCCACTCAAAGGTGCCCAAAAATCGCTTTCACTCCAGCTTTCACTCATTCAAAACCAAGCCAAAAATCCAATTTTACTCCTATTTTGAAATTTATTTCACCAATATACTCCCAGGTAGTTGTTCTCTTATCTCCAATATCAAACTCAACTTTTTTGCTGATTATTTCGCAGGCATAATTTACTTTGTTGATTACTACAACAAAGCTCATTCAGAATTTTAAATTTTAAAAATACTTACAAGTTCAAAAAGTTGAGTTTAATGTTGAATATAAGAGAGCAACTATCTGGGGGTACAATAGTGAAAGAAATTTCAAAATCCGACTAAAATTGGATTTTTGGCGTGGATTTGAATGAGTGAAAGCTGGAGTGAAAGCGATTTTTGGGCACATTTGAGTGGGTGTGGCGGGCGCAAATGTGGCCATGGCATCAAACCACTTATTGCTCATTCATGTGACACTACAAAATATCCAAAGGGCATCGAGATCTGGGAGTTGATAGTACACAACCTCCCCTCCTCAGACTAGACTCGAATTTTGCTCTTACATGATTGCCAAAACCTACGCCAATATACATAAAATAAAAACACCTACCAGCAAACGTTTTCCCGCAGATATCGCACTGGTAGGGGTCTTCTCCCTCGCGGTGAGATCTCAGGTGGTTCTGGAAAGTGTTCTTTTGCTGAAATGTCTTCCCGCAGAATCCGCACTGAAAACCGGATGTGCTGCTTGTGCTGCCCGTGACGCTTTCCCCACTACCCGGCTCGCTGGCTCTGCTGGTTCCCGGTGGGGTTATGGGAAGCAGTCCAAGATCAGGATGACCTTTGTCCTCCAGCCGGCTCAAACCGCTGTTATTCGGGGAAGCGTTGTCCGTAGGGCTGTTATATTGGTATAGGCTTACTTCCGGAGTGCAGACCACTTTCTGACCTCCAGGACCTGCTCCTCCTTCGGTCGTTGTGGTGGTTGTTGCTGAAGTCTTGTACATGGCTGGGAATTGCTGGCTCATAAATTCAATCATCGACGTGTTTGACATCTTTTTTCTCCAAAGTGTGTAACCTGCCAAATTTTAAGAATACAACAACTATGAAATATTTGTCAATCATAGACAAGACAAAAAAATCATTTGGAAATTGAATGTCAGGATGAAAAAAGACATGAGCAGACTGTGACGTGCGTCAATTTTTGCAAACATAGCGAGTTACTCATTACTCATGTCGTACATGTATGTGGTACCCGAAGCATGTGGAAATTTTTATCCCCTGACGCAGCCACCTAACTAACCTACCTGAAGCTTGTAAAATATTCAATTTGAACAAGAGAATATCCTGCTGAAGACCTTCAAATGACTATTTACAATGCATTACTAACCCTTGTCAACTATGTATAGGTACCTTGTCAGGTGATGCAAAATAATAATAAATTTCCATATTTCTGAATGACGAACTTTACTACGAATTTAATAAGTTGATACGAAGAAAAAAAAATATTAGTCAGCAAAGGAAATCATTCACTTTGTAATGTTTTCGTCATGTTTACGTCCAATTGAAATTTTATTTGATAAAATAAGGTCACGTAATTTCTTCTTTGCAAACGAGTCGCAATGAAATGCGCATGCAAATCAGGTATTTTTATATTGCAAGATGAGCAAGTTTTATGTCGGTTCGTTGGCCATTCTACATTGTAGTATGAGCTACATACATAAATTGCAGTCTGCAATTTGCAGATATGCAAAATTTAAGTGAAAAAATAAACAAAAAAGCAATTTCATAACGTGGTGAGTGATAATAATTAATATTACTTCTCATCGGAATCTTAATCTCCGACAACATTGCGATTGGATTATGTTTTTATAATTTGTATTCTTCTTCTTTAATTTGCCATGTTTTACGTCATCAACCTTGTATAAGAATTATGTAACAAGGATGATTATGGCATCTGCAAATGGTTTTAACACCTTTCAGACATACATATCTCCATAATTCTTTGCAACTAACAAACAACTCGGGTAGCAAAAGTTTAAGGTAGAAGTTACATATGTATTTACTTGTGCACTGCAAAAAAATTCAATTTATTAAGACTCTGGTTGAGTCAGAGAAACATCATGTTCATAAAAAATACATGTACTTTGAGTACTGCCTCATCCAGAGATAATTTTCTGGTACTCAGAAAGGCTGACTGAAACCAAGCTAAATGAACCAAGTTTGGAGGAAAGAGAGCACAAGAATGGTAGCGTTAACACAGGTCAAGAATTGCACATCCCATACACACTGTATGTATCTAGAATGTATTTATTACATTTGTGGCCGGATTGCCTGCCCAATAGTTTTTGCGGCACGTCATGAGGATCCACTTTTTGCACATTTAACCTCCCACAACATAGCAAGCATCCACAACCAGGCGCCTCGCAATTTGTGTGTGCAGGTCTTGAGCGAGTTGAGCAAGTGGGAAAGGCTTGTGCAAAAACTAACCTCAGGGGTAATACCTATCTATGAACTGCAAACTCCGAGAGGCCAACCCTCCTGCCAACTAGTTTGCAGAATTTTTAGCACTACTGCGAAATGGATAAGTTATCCTGAGCCTGGGTTGTCTGACTCTGCTAGGAACGTGAAACGTTAGGTTAGGCCATGGTATAAGTTCCCCTTTGCAAAATGAGTTTCTACCCTCATTGCCGACTATGTATGTACTACTACTATACTGCTAGTTTGGCCTCCGTGTACATTTTGCACACATTTTGCACATCCAGTTTGTCGCATGGTAAGGCTGTGCTAGCAATCAATAATGCCTAAGCAACCATTCCCTTTCCTAACTCAAATTGCATAGTACTACACACAACTTCGTCATCCTGCTGAGTGAGAGACATCATTTATCATTATGATGGGTTGGCTGAAATCACTGGTAGTCTGGCTGGTTTAGTGCAGGATTGGTCCGGCTAGCTTAGCCTTGTATTTTTGCAATATTGTTTTATTACACTGTTTTCTCTAACCTTTTCCTCTCAACGGCATAAATGGCAGTCTAGCACGAACCTTGCAAATATGCATAATGCTTTAAATAAATATGTTTTACATCGATTTTGCGACTTTATGCACATTACAGTATATTGAGTTACATAATAATGACACGTATAATGAATGACACATTCAAAATAAGGTCGAAAGTGCTGTTGGTAATAATATTTGTTGGCGAAAACTCAGTTTTTCCACCATGTTTATGTAATATTAACCCAAATCTCGTCTCAAGATGTGGGCTCCAACTAACTAAAGCTCACGATAAATAAACACAGATATCTTGGAATTGGTTCAATCACTCAGGTCCCCACATGCAGCAGGCCTTCCACTATTTTCACTCCACCTCTCTCTAGACTCTAGACAGCTCTTCTGCCTAAATGTGTCATGCATAATTGCATTCCATTTATCAATTAATCATCGTTCAGTCTTCCTGTTGATGACGCAAAGATACATCATCCTGCAGCCTGGCTTTTTAAACAAAGCTCATCAACTGCCGTATTCACCTCTACCTACCCTCACATTTTTTGATTAGGGTGACATCACAATATTATCAGCCCAGCTTGTTCAAGTGTTTAGGTTCATGCTTAATTATGCGCTTACATGAGTTTAAATTCTCCATATGACTGATTACGTGAACTATTTGCAAATTTAATTTTTGCACACGAAATAAATAGTTGCGACTAAAGTTGAGGTAGTCAACTTACATACATTATTGTACGCTTGGTTTACCTTTAAGCTCATGGTTCCTATCCCACTTTGCTTTCATTATTCAATAACAATGCCGTTAGGATAGGTTGTGTTTTTATGGTTGAATCTGGCATTGAGAGAATTTAATGCAAACTTTGAATGAGGTATGTACAGATTGCTGTTACACCGTTCACTTGATACACTGTTATCTTTAACTTTTGCCAGAATTAACTGATCACCATCACCATTGTTGTTGTTGCCGTAGCTCAGCTACAGTAGCTGTTACTATCTAAGTTTTAATTCTTTCCTCAAATTCAGACAGCGACATCCGTCCCTAATTGATTCAGATTTACCCCAAATCGTCATTCTAAGCATTTACGTCATTTTGAGCAATTCACAATAATGTCGCCCTCCTCCCACGCAATGTTTTGGGTTTAGCTGAATACAATCAATTTTGCAAGTGCTGCCACAATATCAATACAATAATGGGCATAACCACCCACCAATAATGCATAAAAAGGAGTTGGAACGGGCCCAGGAATAATATGCATCAAGGAGGAGGATTTTCTCATCCATCCCGTAAACAACTAAAAATAGTCTTATGATGAGACAACATGCATGGGATTCGTGTCGTTGGTGAATCAGTACATTATTATGATGGTGATGAGAGATACCGTCTCGTCATCGAACCACTACTAATTCCCATTCAATCCAGATTGTCTTAAGCAGAAAGTTGGTAAACAGAGTAAAAATGCAGACCCAATAAGTAAAGTACAGACGAAGTAGTGTGTCTCAACATTTATATCAACCAACTACTGCCAAATCACCGTCTAATTTCCTGATTACACATACAAGTACCTATACCAACTCATGTTCTTAGAATAATGTATGAATTAAATTCGCGAGCAGCAAAACAAAATATTTTCTATTGACAACAACTCTTATTACTTAACATGCGAACAATCTGGAAAGTAATATTTATGAAGGGAAGAGAATAATGAAAATTTGGACAACAACAACGTCGAGGAAAAAATGTAGTAAAAGAGTGCATCATTTGGGGGAGCTTTAAAGCATTGGATACTACCCGAGAGTGGTGTTATTACACAAAGAATGCACTTGGTCGTTAAGAGGGAGCCCGTTTATGAGAATGTCGTTTGTCCAACCGAGCTTTATTTGATCATTTTTCAATGATTTTCATCTTTCTGATTGAGAAAAAAGGCTACGAATCAAGGGCTGATGTCTGATCATAATACGGCACCAGTACAGGTCAAAATTTTCAGAAAATTTCGAAAATTTCCGAAAATCTTTCCCCTAGAAGAGCGTCGCCTACTTTGTTACTCACGGTTAGTCTCCACGCGTCGCTTTGTAGTAGTGCTGGGCATTTGGGTATGATGTTGTGCAGTTCATTCAATTCGACGCTCCTCCACGTGCGATTGCATTGAGAACTGGGGTGCTCTTCGACGCGGCCGTTGGCATTGTGACCATCTACTGCGCATGGGAGCTCTAAGCTGTGCCTCCACGAGTATCTCGCTAGTTGACGTCCTGATATTATGAGAGAGTTTTTTAGGCCGTTCTACTGCCTCCCCAACCATAGCACTATATATACGCAGTCGTCCCCTACCTTACCTTACACAACATTCATTTCAGAGGCACATTCACACATTTTGCAGGATCCATCACCCCAAAATGTACCAGCATCTCACTACTCTCTCAGCCCAGTGATAGCGTCAGCAATGCAATAATGCACAGCCACACCCCTTCATAGGGTCTCATAATTTCAGATGCAACACTATTATCTGTCCCTCCGAAAATACCTGCGAAATGTTCCACCAAAATTTCATGACATTGGTCTGAAATGTGTGAGATGTGCTCATCTCGACAACATTTCCCAGGGGGCACGCTGACACGACCCCGTGGATGGATGGACCCCGATAAGTGTGATGCTATAAGTATATCTATATTATCAAAATAACACCAATAAGTATATCTCTCTTTTGCTGCAGTCAGACCTTGTTTCCCGTCCTATAGAAGAGCATTTGGTATTTATGTGGCTCTATGTTGGATAACTCAGGTTTAACCAGGGCCGGGTGACTAAACTAATTTTACCTTTTCCCCGTGCACCACAGATTTAATAAGTTTGCACATGACATGAGATTTGGATAAGATAAGTTGGGAGTTTTGGTGCAAAAAAGTTTCGAATTGCTTCATGATAAGCGCGGCATGTGCAAGCGGTGCTACGACGCTGTGGACGGCAAACAAGAAACTATACCTATAGTTCATCTTGTTTATGTCTTTATAGAGGAGAACTTTCGACTACCGACCTAACATACCCTAACCATAATACCATAGGTTAGGTTACAGACTTAGCTTACAGAAATTCGACTGCACGTGTCGAACGGTGCCCCACAAGGCCCCAGAAAAAGAAACGAGCATATCCTCAACCTCAAACCTATCTCAATAAGATGTACCTTCGAGAGAATCAACCCTGCATTTTGCCCTTATTCTGTGGGGGCCCTTCCACTCACGCAATCCATCTCTTCCCCAATTATACCTGTGCCAATTACACTTCATCCCTTGCAAAAAGCGTCCCTGAATTCCTACCATGAGGGGCAATATGAGCCAACAAGGATGAAAAGTGAATGACTTTTGCCTCAAAGACTTTGCACGACTGCAACTTTTTCAAAAACGGTTCAGAAATTTCAGAAATTTCTTCCGCAGATTAACTAAAGTATGCTTTTTCTTGGAAATGTATGCAAAATTTGACCACTTTTCTGAACGGTATGCTCCCGATATGCAGATGAAGGGGTGAAATTAGATAAGTCTCAAAATAGTTTTTCCTCTTACCTTGCAATTATAGTGGCGGAATCCAATTATATTTCTCAAAGTTATTCCTCCTCGTCAGTCTGGGGACGGGTGGACTTAAATTGTGGATCCTCGTAAGAAACTTAAAGCTTAGATGAGCACCAATAAGAAATTTCGAGGGATGAAATTTCCGACTACATTTAGTATTTTTGAGTCTGTTCCGCAGCAGGTAAATATATGAACCACTCTCTGAAAATCAGGAGCACGGGAGTGGTCAAGTCTTAATTGTTGCTGGGATTTAAATCCGTTTTCATAAGATGTAGCCTTTAAACTAAGGCATAAGTCGGCGTTGTATTATCCCCGAGAACCGTCTCGCAAGGGTGCTAAACTGAATGTGAGCTGCCCCACACAAAACTGCTCGCTCTTCTACCGTAGCGTACGCTCGTACATACGCGATGCCTCTGCTGTATAGCTAGCTGCACTTCTTCCTCTTTCTCCTCGCTTGTCCTTTGAACCAGCAGCTTGGGCTACGATGATACTACGAAAGGGATGCACTTTTGCCTACTTGGTGGAAAAAAGAGAGAGACAGAGAGATAAATTTTGTCAGAGAGCTTCAGATGCAGAGATGCGAGTGATTGACTCTTCTATGTTAATGAAAATGCACAATTTGCACTTTTTTAACCCTAGCTTTTGGCCAATTAAATACTTTACAAGAGCAAATTTGAGATTGAGTTTTATTTGGCTTTTAGACGTATAAGCTCGTCCGATGGCTGGTTTGGCTTTGGTTAGATTTTAATGAGTGAGTGTACGTAGCAGGGAATACGTGGGATCGGATTGTGAGCTTAATGTTCGGATTGTGAGCTTAATATTCTTAATGGTGACTGATGTTATTTGTGTAACTCAACAACTTTATTTTTTCGTTATCAATTCTATATCTGATACACGTGCAATTATTTATGAGGATTGCTTACATTCTAATATTACCCTGAGTCATCGCAGCTACTTGAATAATTTGATTCGATGGATTTATTTAGTTGGCCAATGAACAGGATTGATCTTGTATGACTTGTAAAATAATGTCCAGATTTAAGCAAATAATAAGTACAAATTATGTACGAGATGAGATGATATAATACAGTTTGAACTAGAGCAGATGAGTCTCAAGTTGGACAGGGACTGAAAAAATTACTATTCTCAACTTCCCCAACAATGCTACTCCTACTTTTCTGGGTCAAAGCACAAGGAATGATTAGTTCTGACTGGATCGGTGTCCGTCTAGAAATATTGTGTCGAGGAGGCGATGTTGTGGCGTTGGTTTGGTTCTGGGATAATAAGCAGGAACTAGATCAAGCAACGCCTCCTCTTCTTGTCCTGACATTGCCCAATAACTTTGACATGACATTCAAAATATCTTGAGCAGGATTGGACGGTTTTTCGAAACTCTGTTGCACATGTATTACACATTAACTGAGCAGAGATACAACATGCATCATCAGAGGAGGCGATGGTCGGGAGGAAATATTTTAACATTGAGAGTTCCGCACAGGGATCACAATTTAAACGGATGGTAGAAACCTCCATCCTGTATCGGGTATCGGGTTTTGCGGGTGCAGTGCAAGGAGGGAAAGGTGAAGTTGCACTTTCTCTCTCACTCTCGCACTCTCACTTGCCAGGCAGCAGGCAGCATTAGCCCAGTTTTCAGAGCTTGCCCCCTCAACCCGATGCATATGCATGTTCGGAGAGGTAAAAGTGATGGGCGAGACTGTAGGCAGGATGGCGAGGAAGGAGACGAAGTGAGAGAGCGAGAGTGAAAGTGCGGCAGTTGGAAAGCGATGCCCCGATCGGCAGGATGTGCGTGGGTTTGGAATAAAGTGCCTTTCACTCATTCGCCCCGTTTTAAAATGACATCCAAATTATCCTAAAACCAGGGAGAAATTTTCATGATTATTATGATGATGCAGCGGAAATTAATGTATCACTTTGTACTGCTTTACATTATGCCTATGTATCCTGTATTATGTGTTATGTGATATGTATACGATGTCAAGCTATTATGTGCATATTTACAACGGTCAAATCTGGTGCTTTACTAGTTTGGTGGTCTCTTTTAAGGGAGATGTTTTATAAGAATAACAACATTTCTCAAGAATTTGACCCACTTTACGGGCATAATTTTCCAAGAAATAACTTGTAATAGTGGGTGGAACACGGACCACCTAATTTTAATTTCATCGTCGATTCATCACCACTTTGAGGATTCAAGTTCACTCGCATCGGCAGTCGTCTCGGCTCGCTTTGAGCGTTAGATGGATGGGTTAATTTTTGAGAGTGGCTGATTGATAGGCAGTTATGTAAGCGTGATGTGATACACAAGACAACAATGGAACAGGCGCACTCTTTTCACTGTATTGTATTTTAGTCTGGCTAGACCATATAATGTGTTGGATTTTTTTTCCATTCGAGAGGTCAAAGTCTGAAAAACAGCCTAAGTGAATGATGTACATACACAGATGTATATTATGTACAGATGTATGTACTGTGCATGTAATAATCGATTGTTTTTTAACTTTCAAGGGTCATATATCCACCAGGGGTGACCTTAGCCATATGTACATATATGCAGAATATGCACACCTCTGTGCCTTAGACATAAAACATTTTGTCATTAAAAGACAAAAAAATGGGGATTCCCTCCCTCGCCGGAGGTTAATCTTGGTTATCCGATTTTAACCCCAAAATTCAAGGTCTTTGCAATTGGGGGTTGTTTGGGGATTAATGCATGTTGTTGGGTACATATGTGGGTGGAATTATGCCCAGTTTTTGCTCAACAACTCGAAATCTGACCACATTGGCCCTAATTCCAGTGATTCCAGACTGAGCTTTTATGCATATGCTTATCATCGTTAAAGCTTTATATGTATGTATGAATAGTCAAAAATTATGAGAAACTTTGAAAGTAAATGCATACCTTAATTAATAATGCACCGAATTATCTTAATTTTTGCCACACATTAATGTACAATTTATTAAAGTTAAGAATTATGTCGCGGGACGCGACATAACTTTAAACTTTCGAACCTCGAAAGTACGCGCGTACTTAATGAAAAATTCTAAGTGTCTAAGGCACAGAGCTGTGCATATTCTGCATATATGGCTAAGGTCACCCCTGGTGGATATATGACCCTTGAAAGTTAAAAAAACAATCGATTATTACATGCACAGTACATACATTTGTACATAATATGCATGGAATTTTCGATCTCCAAAGTTTTGGAATTGGAAGAACTAAGTAAAAATATAGAAGATCAACCAAGGAAGACGACGACGACAACGCATCCTTCTGAACTCTGAGAAATTTTGACCGAAAAATCCAAATTGTCGACCAGACTCGATTACATTAATATGATACATGCCGCACCGACCGACTCTCATTAAAATTACCGACGAATCTTGGACTCCCCTCAGGATACTGAAGCGTACAAATGCATGATGACTTGTTGGCAGTGATTCATTTTATTTACTTGACTTTTCGATTATTCTGGAAGCAGCGGGCGCTTGTTTCATGAGGAGCTGGCTATTATAACAAACAGCATTGCTCTACATTACAAGCCAGTAAAAAAATATGATACGGAGGCAAGGAACATATAATCAGAGGGGCTGCCGCTCAGATTTCTCTCTTGGCCGTTGGGAAACTCACGACGTATTTCAAAATTAACGTTATTAGGCTTGGATGATGTGCATGGCTGGTGGTTTATCATGTTGCAAGTCTGTTCCAGTTGAAGTAGGCTGAATTGTACTTACGAGCCTAATGCAGAGGTTGTTGGGAATATGTAAATACTTAGGAGATCATCTTTTTCTGTTGCGGGGACCAGTTCAACACTTGTCCACGTCTTTAGAGCGTTGCAAGATACTGCTCAGCTTTGTGGTTGGTTTCGTATTGGACGAAAAATTCTTTCCTTGTTGTAACTTGCTGTACACGGATGGTCGTGTCGTGTATAGTTGGACAAGTTACTTACTTATTTATCCAATGCAATGTGCTTCTCCATCCATGCAGCAGTTCGTCGAGTTTTGAACGGTATTGGTTAAGTTGCCCACTTTTCTCGCATGACTTTGTGTGTGTAACATTATAAAATGCGTGTGATGTGAGAGTCTGATAAGCTCACTGATTTACATACTCTCACATGTTATTCAATTTTGCTGCCCTGTTAAAACCTATTATATGACTACTAACTAACTAATAATACTGCCATGTAGCCAAACTTTGTAAGTGGCTCAAGTATCGAGACGACGACGTGTCTTTCTATGCGTAGCTTTGTTTATTGTTTACGTTCACCTTACTCTTTGTAAAAGGGTTATTATCTCTTGAAAAACTTATTTACAACATGACGTAGGTTGACGGAGAATATTATTTACAACTCAGCATTGATCATACATAATGTTGAAACTAACTCAACAAACTTTAGTCGAATTCTAAATAGCTTTTATTCGTTTTAATTCATGTGTAATACATAAGTCAAGTTTTAAGGAAGCTATGATCTCCTACATATGAATGAATTTAAATTATTAAAAATATACGCTTAAAGAATTAAGTTATCATTTTTTTTTAGAGCGGCATGGTGTGAAGCAGATAAGGTAATTAAGTCGATAGAAGACAGGTCCCTTATACTTCTAGTGTTATTGTCTGTTGAGAGATTGACAGACATTCTCAACACAAACTTGTATGCGTAAGCGACTGTATTTGGGTGAGGTAAAAAATGAGCTAAAAAGTTGCTTGGCAATACAAATGTACATTGCATACGCAATGCAATGACTGCACGATTGTGGTCTTCTTCTTGGCCTGGGAGTAGCTTGGTTGGTTTGCGGGGTACGTAAATATATGCGTACTGATGACTTTGTAAGGTTTCTTGAGGCTTCAGAAGGAAATAATAAAAAATGTTGAAGCCATTCAAATTCAAGCCGACCAGAACATAATGAATGTGATCGTACGTTACAAAAGTTGGTTCTTTCGTATTGACGAATATGTTGGCAGTGGGATGGGATGGGTGCTGCTTTTCCTACATAAACTTATATTCCCAACGCATTACAAATATTATACTGCCAAGTTTAATATGGTTACCCATTAGCATTGCAAGTTGCGTTCTTCGTCGACCAACGATACAACGTGTTGCTTTGTCATTTGCACGCACTTTCGTAGATAAGCTTACGTATGTACATGCATGAGGAGGGGGTAAATCTCACAAGAATGCAAGTGAATGTGTATCCATCCACATTTTATATGTATGAGAGCTGGAAGAAGAAGAATCCTTCTCATGAAACTCCCAGTGGATATCTGTTGCATATTTCTACTCTCTTGTTCCATCTTCATCTCTACCCCTTTGGTTTGAGCGTTGCGTACGTACACACATATTCCTGCGTTTGT